TGGACTAGGCGTCAACGACGATGGCGGAGCGATTGACCGGGTTCGATAGGCCCACCGTGTGGCACGAGTTCACTCCGCTTGCGATCCAGCACAATTCCGTCAACTTGGGCCAAGGTATGTGCTCCGCGTGATGTCGCAAGGAAGGTGAAGGGATCTCTTCCCGCAGGTTTTCCGGATTGGCCGTGCGACGCCTTCGTCAAGGACGCGGCCAAGATAGCCATCGAGACTGACATCAATCAGTACGCGCGTCCGGGCGGCCACCTCCGCCTTGTGCGTGAAATCGCCAAAACGTACACGTCGACCCTGGCCCGTCCTGTTCCGATTGATGCAACGACAGAAGTGGCGGTGGGGGTTGGAGCGTCCGAGATATTCTACAGCGCCATGATGGGCCTCGTCAACCCTGGCGACGAAGTCATTCTCATTGAACCTGCATTTGACATTTACGCCCCCCAAGTGCAAATGGCCGGCGGGGTTTGCGTCTTCGTCCCGTTGCATTTCAATGAATCGACATCACAGTTCGAGTTGGACATGCCAGCCACGGCAGCTGCGTTCACGGCTAAAACGCGTGTCATCGTTGTAAACAGTCCGCACAACCCGACCGGTGCCGTCTTTTGCAAAGAAGACCTGAAGAAGCTCGCCGCCATTGTCCAGCGGTGCGTCTTGCCATGCTGTCTTTGGTCCCACCACCGACTAACAATCAGGTCGGTGCAGCTTCCCAAATGTAGTGGTCTTGGCCGACGACGTGTACGAGCACATCGTATTTGCACCGCTGACGCGGTTTGCGACTTTGCCGGGCATGTGGGAACGCACGATCACGGTGGCGTCGGCGGGCAAGACATTCTCCGTGACGGGGTGGAAGGTGGGCTGGGCCGTCGGCCCGGCGCACTTGATCAAGTGGCTCAACTTGGCGAACAACTGGGTCATGTTTTGGTAGAGTCATGACGATGATGGTGCATGCACCAACTTGGCTGATCTTGCACGAACTCGTCTAGTGTGGCGGCGCCGTTGCAGGAGGCGGTGGCGACGATGCTAGAGAAGGCCGTGCTGCCTTTCGAGTCGTTCCCGAGCTACTACGCGCATCTTGGCGACAAGTACCTGAAGAAGCGCGACCGCCTGGCAACGGCGTTGACTGAGCTGGGGATCCCAGTCGTGTTGGCCCAAGGGGGGACGTTTTTGTTTGCCGACGTGTCGCGCGTGGCCGTGCCTGCGTCGTATTTTGCAGACGGCCACACGTCCAAGGACTACGCGTTCTGCAGGTGGCTGACGATCGAGAAGCGCGTGACGGCGATTCCGACGAGCGCGTTCTACAGCCACACGAACAAATCGAACGGACACTGCTTTGTCCGGTTTGCGTACTGCAAGTCGGACGAGTCCCTGAACACAGCCATCGAGCGCTTGCAGTCGATTCAACTCGAGTAGCAGGCTGCGAAATCGAATTGTCCACTCACGCGGGTGAACTTGGATATCGAGCCCACGTGTACTTGCCTTGGTAGCGATGCTTTGTGTGGCGTAGAGGGGTCGCTATAATCGTGCCTATCGCGCTTAAGCACACTAAATTGCACTTTATCCGAGTGGCCATGTCGATCCTTCGACATTTTCCTGTCCTGTGATTGGTCGAGGGGACATCTTGAAACGTCGCGCGGCCAAGGCGAAGGCAAGAATTTGGTCAAGGCGCGAGGCATACCATGGGCATGCTTCTTGGAAAGCACCGATACAATAGCGACGAGTCGGTCGAGCTGCTGAGGGAAACCAAGTACTTTTCCCAATGTGTGTATCTACCTCTCTCCTGTCGTTCTGCTTTGATCGGGTTTCATGCCAGGGACGTTGGCGGACGTGCGAGAATTGCACGCGCGGTTTCAAAAGACGTGGGGATTTGCCATCACAGAGAGCCAACTCGAGTCGTTGATTTTGCTCAAACAGCCCGAGGCCGTCTCGTCCAAAGAGATCTTTGCTGTGTTGGACGCGACGCGGGATGGCAAACAAGATGGCCGGATCGACGGACTCGAGTTCATTGGCGGATTAACGATTGTATGCCAAGGAACATTTGAAGAACGCGCTCGATGTACGCCACCCGCATTTCACCATGACAGCAATCGGCAAGGACATGCCGACGCCCTCATCACCCTGCCCCTCTTGTAGTTGCATTCGAAGTGTTCGACTTCAACCTGAACGGGTCTTTGTCCCCAATTGAGCTGGTACGAGCAATCGCGACATGGATAAATTGACATCGTGTTTGCGGCAACCAGGCGCTCTTGATGAAGTCTTGCTACAGCGGAATCACAGTCTTGACGGGTGGCCGTCTAGCGATGGTTCCGTCGATTCCAGCCTTTGTCGAAGTTGCCCAGCAAGCGTTTTCCCGCTTCGACAAGGTTTCAAAATCCGTTAAATCTTGGTCGAGTTCACAGGGGCACTGAGTGCATTGTGTAGGACGAGTCGGATGCACTCAACTACGACGAATTCGTGTCGTGGGCAAGGAGCAACCGAGACTTTATGATTTACATGGAGGCATTTCGAGCGATCTCCGAAAGTGCAAAAGAACGTGTGCCCGAAGCCGAGTGGCTCCAGGAGGTCGCGTTCCTCGAGCCTCATGACTCGGTGTGATGAATTCGAATAGGCCAGCGACGACGACTCGGACATCGAACTTGAATGTATTGCCCCGCTGCCTTTGGCCACCACATCGACCCCGTCGAATGGCCACACCAAGCCGTCGCAACCCCACCAGTACGAGTTCGAACCGTGGATGCTCGCAGAACCGTCCAATGCACCAGCCGTGGCGGCCCCGCCGCGCCTTCCACCCGTAAATTTGTCACTCGAATGGGTCTATGGGTACCGCGCTCATGACACCCGTAACAACGTTCGGTACACGGCGTCCGGCGACATAGTGTACTTTGTGTCCCGGCATGGGATTGTGTACAATAGCGATCGCCACGAACAGCGCTATTACCAGGTACGAGAATTGTTCGCCTCGACTTGCATCCTCAACGAGCGATAGGGCCATCGCAACGAGATTCGGTGTCTTGCAATGAGCCCCACAGGAGATAAGGTGGCGACAGGAGATGCTGGTGCTGACTGCGCGATTCATGTGTGGCATCCGATCACGTTGGAGTGCTTGGCTCTGCTCAGCCAATTCCACGACACCGGGATTGGCTTGTTGGCGTTTTCCAACCGCACCGACGTCCGTCTAGTGTCGGTTGGCCTCGACGAGAACCACCGCATCGCTGTGTGGAACTGGAGTGCCAAGACCGTGTTGGCATCTGGCATCGGGTCCACGCAAAAAGCATTGGCGGTCGCGCTTCACGACAACGGGTCCGAGTTGGTACGCATTCCACGATCCGTTCGATGCAGACGATTGAAATTGTGATGTTCCCAGGTCGTGGCAGGGCACAAGAGTTTGGAATTTTTCACGGTCGAGCACCGCATTTTGAAAAAGGAGCGGGCGAGTATGGGAACCAATGGACTCTTGCAAGGGTTCCTCTCGGTCGTGTTCTTTCAGCAATACGTGATTGTCGGGACAAGCCTAGGCCAGCTGTACCAGTTTCAAGGCAAGCAGCTCATTCGGACCGCGCAAGCGCACCCAGTACGACCGCCATCACCACCCTGTTTGGTTGAGCAACATGTTTTGCTGGTAGGAGAAAGAATCAGTCAACTGCTTGTTCGTATCGATGGGGTCCTTCTTTTCCGCCGGCAAGGACGGGACGATTCGGCAATGGGACACCACCCTGCAACCGATCGGGCAAACCGTCGACTTGAGTACACTCAACCTGAACATGCACGACTACCGGATTGCCACCCTATGCTACCGCTCCGACTCGATCCACGGCGGGTACCTTCTCGTGGGCACTCGGTCCAGCGTCATTGTCGAAATCGAGGAAGCGACAAGCGTGGTGCATCGTATCACGGCATTTCACCAAACGCAGCCGTGTACCGGCCTGTCGACGACCAACAAGCGAGCCGAGTTTGTCACGTGCGGGGACGACCGCAAGATCCGGCGGTGGAGTTTGCGGCGACGGCAGCAGGTGCACTCGCTGGCACTGCTCCAACTGTCACCAGGCCGATGCATTGCGTATTCGACGGACGCCGAGTGGGTCGCGATGGGGTGCGCCGACGGAACGGTACCACCGCTTCGCCCTCTCCCCGTTGCCCTGACTTGCGCCGTCGCTAGATTGTGCTTGTCGACCACGCCCTGACAGCCATGCATTTGAACTTTCGACACGCGTCCAAGGAAATTGTCGCCATCAAATTCGCGCTCGGCGACCGACTCCTCGCCGCATCTTGTGCAAACGGCGTCATCTACCTCTACCGCGTCAACGTGTCAAGCTCGCGCATGCAGCTCACGCGCCACGCACTGCTCAAGCCCATGCCGAACGAACTCGCGACGCCGGCAACAACGCTCGACTTTTCCATCGACGGGCGGTACTTGCAAACCCAACACGGCTCGACCCTGCGATTCTGGGACGTTCTGTGTGCATCTCGCGTGTACGTGATGCAGAAAATCCGCGACGTCGTGTGGCATTCGTGGGAAAGCACGATCGGGTATTCAATCCAAGCATTCCACGGCGCCCAAGATCAAGTCGCGTGTGTATCGGTGAACCACCGCCGCAACCTCGTGGCCGTCGTCACCCACGACGGGTATGTTGGTGTGAGTGCTTACCCCGCGACGACGATGCAAACGTTGCAAAAACAAGTGCTCGGACACGGCCGCAGCAAGAGGCAGTCCCATCGCACAAGCCACTGTGGATTTACGAGGCACGATTCGGTCTTGATCACCGCGGGCAGTCACGATCGATGTGTGTGCCAGTGGACGCTGACCCGGGAAGCAGTCGACGAACAGCCGAAACCAGTGCGGCAGGTTGGTTGTACAGCCCAGGGTCAAGCACAGTGACCACTCGCTTGTGGAACGGATCGGTCAACCTAACGAATGTAGCAGGTCCTCGAATCGTCAACAACCGAGCTGTCCATGCTCGCGACTCCATCACGACCACCCCACAATACCGCGCTCTCGACGCTTCTAACTCCTTCGTATTATCAACCGAATCCAGCCTACAAAGTGTACGCATGTGGACTTGCTGGGCGATATCTGCAAAACCACGTAGGGAAGCGCCAGACTTGGACTTGGAGCTCGCATGGGTGCACGGCATCAACGTCACTGGCGGTACGGCCAAACTCGGCGTGACAGACACGGGGGAAATCGTGTACGCCGCGGCCACGATTGGGATCGTCTTTGACTACTGCGCTCGCAAGCAGCGCCACTTTATACACCACAAGAAGAACATTACAAGGTATGCACTTTGTCACGCTCGAGCTGGTGCAATGACCTGCGGACCACAACTGTCGCACGTAGTGTGGCGGTCCATCCGACTGGAAAAGTGGCCGCGACAGGATCGTCCATCGAAATCGCGCTGTGGAATACCACAACGCTCAAGACGCTGGGAGTTCTGCCGGTTCGTGCCCCCGTCATGCTGTTGGCGTTCAAGGCGAGCGGCGAGCTCCTCGTCGCCGTCCTTGCCGACACCGTCCACACCATCGTTTGCGTCCTGTGGAAGGAAATGCACGTCGTGGCCACGGCCCAAAACACCTTGGATCAAGTACACTCTGCTGCCCCACTCGTTGGACCGACTGACCCTGGACATGGCGTTCGATGTAGGTGTTGGCCTGCAGCTTTACCAACAACGACGCGTCCTTTGCCACGTGCGGCGTCGACCACGTCACGTTTTGGACGGTGGTTAACAACCACTACCTTCGGTCGCAACGCGGGATCTTTGGTCGCGTTGCTGTCATGGGGACCCTGACGTGTGTTGCGAGTGCAGGGGACCTAAAAACCTTGACGGGGACCCGCGACGGTGCGCTGATTGTGTGGGACGACCACCACGCGTGCCAGCTCATCACAGGTCATGCCGCGACAGTAACGTGTGCGGTGTACGTAATTGCTGTCAAGCAAGTCGTGACTGCGTCTGCGGACGGTGCGATCTTTATCTGGCGATGCCAGCCGTCCCATCGCAAGGAATTCCTCGTAAAGCTCGCACGTTGGCAGCCTGTCGCCCCAACAAGTGTCGTTGGACTTGCTGCAACTGACGACCTCACGTTTGCCGTCACCGATGACTGCACGATCCTCGAGCTCGCCCCGAGTTGTTTTGAATGGATCGAGCCGTCGACGGCACCGACACCAACACAGCCGCAAGTTCTCGTGCAGTGGCATGGCCAGATCATGGGTACAATCGGCGGCCTCGCGTGCCACCCGACCCTTGACGTCATTGCCACGTCCGGCGCGGACAAAACCCTGCGTGTGTGGGACCTGCAAACGCATCTCCAGCTCAAGTCGAAAGCACTTTCCGCCCCTGCCAACGCCTTGGCGTATTCCAAAGTGCAAGACGACAAATCCCGGTTCCATTTGGCCATCGCGCTCACGACAGGTTCACTAGTGATCGTCCATGACACGACCTTGGACGACGTGACAACCATCGAGTGCAGCAAACAGGCATGCGTCGACATGAAGTACTCGCCGTGCGGGAAATTCCTCGCGCTCGCATGCACGGACGCGTCCATCTATGTGTTTGCCATCGACGACAGCCTCGCGTATGCTTTCCACGCCAAGTGCGAGCCCCAAGGCACCATGAATCGGCACCCCATCACCCACCTCGACTTCAACTTTGACTCGACCATCCTGCGCAGCAACGCTCTCGAGCTACAATGTGCGTTTTGGGACGTCGCGACCGGTCAACACTTGGAGCATTCCGTGTCGGCCCGCGAGACGCACTGGCACACGTGCACGTGCCCATCGACGTGGTCGCTCTTGGGCGCCAACGTACGAACAGCATCATCGCTTCCAACGAGTTGTTTGTTGACACGTCATGTAGATCGATGGCACCGTTGGACTCACGTGCGCAGACCGCGTGCATTCGGACAATCCTGTTGCGGTGGGCACAGCCACGTTTTCGTCGATTTTGCCGGTCGTTGCCATGGGCGACCAGGATGGCCACATTCACCTGATTTGGTATCCGTGTGTCGAGCCCAGCGCGTCGAAATTGTACAGCGGTCATGCGTCGCCCGTTCGTTGGGTTCGATTCACGAGGCACAATCGGTTTCTTGTCAGCGTCGGCACGTACGACCGGACGCTTCTCGTCTGGACCACGGACTACGCTGCTGAGGTCAACGAACGCCGCCAGGCGGCTGCGTCGTCACCCGCCACCACCCACCATTCCTATACGTCAGCCAAAGTTCACTTGACCGATGAACGGCTCTTGACCGACAGCGGCGACCGGGGCGAAGACAAAGGCGACGAATTCATGGCTGTCAAGCCGTGGTTGGGGGCGATTCGCGAACCATCGAATTGGACGCCAAAACCAGGTACTGCCCCGACGAACCAACGCCTTCGGTGGATAACACATGCCGTAGATGACGCAGAAGCGCCCCAGAGCTCCCTTGAGCTGTCCTTCGTGTACGGCTACCGTGGCTTTGACACTCGAAACAACCTGAGCTACGGCGCCGACACGAATACGATTGTGTACCATGCGGCAGCTCTAGGAATCGTGTACGACGTTCAGCAGCACCGCCAAATCTTTCACTACGGGCACACGGACGACATCATGTGCCTCGCGGTACACCCCGAAGGGCATGTGGTCGCAAGTGGCGAGCGCGGCCGAATGCCCAAAGTCATTTTGTGGGATGCCAACTCTGGGTCGACTCTGTGCGTGTTGTCTGGGTTTCATCAACGAGGAGTTAGCCATGTGGCTTTCAACTGTCGAGGCGATTTGATTGCGACGCACGGCATGGACGCTGACCACAGCTTGGCAATTTATAACCTCCAGGGCAAACTCGTCGCCAAGGCAACAGCATCCAAGCAACCGGTGCGTTCAGGACGGTGCACGAAGTCGTGATCTGTGGATGACTGGTTTTGCCATGGCATAGATTCTTGGCATGGCGTTCCTCGACAAGGATGGCATCAGCGTCGGTGAAAAATCTGTCCTCTTCTGGAGTGTGTCGCAGACGAGTCTGTCGGTGAAAAAGGGATCGTTTGGCAAGGGCGACAGCCGGGGCACCGTGCTGTGCGCGGTCTTCGTGCTTGGAGAAGCTGTCACCGGTCAAGCCGACGGATCGTTGTACCAGTGGAAAGGTCGCAATTGCGTATCGGTGTTCAAGGGCCACGAGGTGGGTAGTTCAAAGCGATCTTCCATGAGTCGCAACGTCCTGACGATGGGAAAATCGTGGAAGGGAGCGGTGAATTGCATGCACTACGACGCCACGTCCAAGAGCGTGATCTCGGGCGGCAAGGATGGCATGATCAAGTTTTGGGGCCCGTCGTTTGACGTGTTGATGCAGTTTGACTTGAAAGCTGGAAATGGTGGCCGTGGTGGCAGCATCCGCAGCCTCAGTGTGGACAATGGCAAGTTGCTCTTTGGAACGCAAGCATGCGAAATCTGCGAAGTCGACATCTCAGACCTGCGCAAGCCAGTCGTCCCCATGCGAACATATATCGAGGTACGTCCAACGACACGTAACGAGGCATGGTCATGCGGCATGCAGTCACAAATCTCTTTCATGTCTTCGAACGTCCACAGGGCCATGGCGGGGGAGAGCTGTGGGGGCTTGGGGCCCACCCGGAGAAGCAGCAGTTCGTCACGGCCAGCGACGACGGCATCGTCCGCCTGTGGGATGCACCAAACCGGTCGTGCCTTGCCAAGCTCGCGCTGCACAAAAAATGTCGCGCTGTGGGTCTATCACCCGACGGGAATCACATTGCCGTGGGAGGAATGGATGGATCGGTGCGTGTGGAGGCTCTCAGTCACATCATGAAGACTGAACACGTGCACGCAAGGTGGCGATTCTGAAAGGTGGCCTCGAAGGCGTCGTGGTCGAGTTGCGAGTCAGCATCAAGGCCATATCGGTCGTCAAGTACTCGTTCGATGGAAAGACGCTGGCGGTGGGCAGCCACGACCAGCGCATCTACTTGTACACAGCACCAGCATATTCGAAACGTTGTGTCCTGCGGGTATGTCGCTCTTCCTTGTTCGAATCTGTGGCCTCGAGTTCACAAGGGGGACCGGTGGGTGTCGAACTAGGGCCACAGCAGCTACATCACCCACTTGGACTTTACTCTGGACTCGCATTCCATCCAGAGCAACTGCGGCGCGTACGAGCTGCTCTTTTGTAAGGACGAGATCGCAATGTGTACCGAAACGCGAAGCTGATGAAGCATGGTGCGCAGGGGACGTTGCCACTGGCAAACAAGTGACTAGCGCGAACACCCTACGCGACGTCAAGTGGCACACGTGGACGTGCACACTCGGCTGGCCTGTACAAGGTGCGCATGATTCTGGTGAAATCTGCATGTTCTGACCATCAAGATTGCCAGGGATTTGGCCTGAACGCGCCGACGGGACAGACATCAACGGCGTCTGTCGAAGCAATTCCCACAAGAGTGTCATGACTGTCGATGACAATGGCCACGTCAACTTGTTTCGGTATCCATGTGTCCAACCTCATGTACGACAGCTGAAGTTCCTACACCCTCTCCTCACGATCGCTTGCTCTGTTCGCAGTCGAAGTCGCGGCAATACTTGGGCCACTCCTCCCACGTGACGGACTGCACATTCACGAAAGGCGATATGTTTGCCGTCTCCATCGGTGGCGGCGACAACGCCATCTTCCAGTTCAAGTACATTGAGAAGTAGTCGTAGTGTTAACACATCCCACCTTCTTCGCCTTCGTCGTCGTCATGAAAGAGCGCCGCGCTCCTCGTCCTTCGCCCATATGGCCATCCTCAAGATACATACATGTTTTGTGTGTGTTGATGCAACAACCGGATATTGTGAATTGCAGCGATCGGATTGGTGGAATCAAAAATCCATCCGGATAAGAGTCCGGAACATCTCCATGACAAAAATCCATCCGGATAAGAGTCCGGAACATCTCCATGGCGAAGTCAGCGTTTCGACGGTCAAGGCCAACTCTGCACGATGGCCAAGGCAACGTCTGCTGCCGCGTCCGTGGATGGGAAGAAGGCTGGCACGTATTCCAAGGAAGAACCTCACGTGGAGGAGAAAGTGCCGCTGGTCGCGGCATTCCTGTGCTACTTCAACTTTGCGATCCTCATCACGTTTGGCCGAATCCGCGACTTTTTCGGGTGGTGGAGCGGGTACTCGCGATACCACTCGAAGGGCGTGAACAAGGAGGGGTACGCCGATATGTTCATTCCGTGGGAGAACTTTTACACGAATCGCATCTACCACCGTGTCCAAGACGTGTTTAACCGACCAGTCTCGTCCGCCCCTGGTGCGCGCATCGACGTGATCCAGCGCGTGTCGACCGACGGCAACAAGTCCATGCAGTGGACGACGAAGACCCAAAACTGCCTTAACTTGGGCTCGTACAACTACCTCGGATTTGCCGATGACTGGATGAACACGTGCGCGTCGATGGTCCTGCCCGAGGTCGACACACACACTGTGTGCAGCAACTCGCCGTCGGCCGAGTATGGCACAACCCCAGTGCATCTTGAACTGGAAGCGATCGTGGCCGAGTTTGTCGGAAAGGAGGCGGCAATCGTGTTCAACATGGGCTATGGCACCAACTCGACGTCGATTCCGGCGTTGATGGGGCCGGGGACACTCGTCCTCAGTGACGCGCTCAATCACACGTCCATCGTCAACGGTATTCGCGCGTCCGGAGCCTCCGTAGCTGTGTTCAAGCACAATAGCGCCAAGCACTTGGAAGTCATGCTGCGCACCAAGATTGCGAGTGGCCAGCCCCGCACGCATCGTCCCTGGAAAAAGATCTTTGTCGTCGTCGAAGGAATTTACTCGATGGAAGGAGAGATCTGCAAGCTTCGGGCCATTGTGGATGTTGCCAAGAAGTACAAGGCGTACATGTACGTGGACGAAGCGCACAGCATCGGGGCGCTCGGTCCGACCGGCCGCGGCGTGTGCGAGTACACGGGTGTTTCGCCCAGTGAAATCGATATTCTGATGGGAACGTTCACCAAGTCGTTTGGTGGTATGGGGGGGTACATCGCCGCCTCCAAGGACGTGATCGAGTTGCTACGCAGCGCGTCGTCCGGCCATTTCATGGGGACGTCGTTGTCGCCCGTGATTGCCGCGCAAGTGCTGGCGTCGTTCAAAGTGATCATGGGGCGCGACGGCACCACCATCGGCGCGACGAAGCTCAAGGCGCTTCGAGAAAACGCCAACTTTTTGCGCCAAGGCCTCATGGACGCTGGCATGGTTACGTTGGGCCAATTCGACTCGCCCGTGATCCCAGTCATGCTGTACTCGATCTCCAAGATCGCCGAATTCAGTCGGCAGTGCCTGCGACGCAACATGGCCGTCGTGACGGTCGGGTTTCCAGCGACACCGCTCTTGCTCGGTCGTGTCCGATTTTGCGTGTCGGCTGCCCACACCCGTGCGGATTTGGAAGAGGCGCTCCGGAACTTGGCCGAAGTGTCGAAAGTGTGCCACATTCGATTCCACAAGCATTTGTTTGGGTAATTTGGATAACAACGACGCGTCTGTCTTGTGACAGAGTCATCTGGCGATGCTGTCCATGCTCTGGCTGCTGCCAACGCTACCCAACACACTTACGTGGCTGGCGCTGGCCCATCTCACACGAACGACTTATGCTCTGGCTGCAGCCACCGCTGCCCAACACACTTGCGTGGCTGGTGCTGGCCCATCGCGTTTTCAAGCACAATCGCCACGAGAGGGACGACTGCCGAGAGCTCTAGGAGCATTCAAGCAATTTTTATACAATCCGTGCCGACATCATAGTGCTGGGACCATCGTTTCCAGCAAAGCGGAATGTCCCGCCAACCGCGTCGTCCTCGTCATTCTCTCCATGATCAAGGTTCTTTATCCGTGTTCGATGGGCTCGACGCGTCTCCATGCTGTGGGGTACACATGCTGAAGGTCAGCAGCTCCCTCTCGTTCAACCCATCCTAAAAATCATCTCCACGTGCCCATCATGCAAAGGCATGGCAAAGGCACCCTTCTATTTATGAACCAGCTACGCTTTCTACTCATCGTCCGACTCGATGTCGCCATACTGCCACAAACACAACCGACGGCGTTTGGCAGCGTCCTGTGCGGTCAAGAGTCCGTCCACAACCTTCTTCTGGTACGACTGGGCAACTTTGAATGACTTGCGGTCGACGCGGGCGACACCACTCTCGAGCAGCGTTTCGCCCACGCTCTTGTCGTTCACGAACAGAGACACTTGGAACCGTCCGGATTCATCGCGGCCGTGTACGACTCCAGTTAACGTCTTGCCCCATGCAATGTCGCTGAGCATTTGCGCAGCGTCCGCTGCGTAGTCGTGGTTCGCCTCGGCAGATTTGACGAATCCCAAAACGCATTCCTTGGCCTGGCCAGGCAACGACATCATCGTGGGGTCGAGCGGTCGGAGCCGCGTCACGGGGAGCACTTCCACATTGCCGTAGTCAATGAAGCGGACGCGAACAGTTTGAGGGGAAATCGACTCGATGCGCGCGCGGTTCCACAGCGGACCTTGTCCGTCATCAAATAAAGCGGCGACCAAAGCACCCTTGCGCAGTTCGGTCGTCTTGCCGTCGACACCGACCGAGGCCGTCCATGCACGCAACTGCTCTTCCAGAGTCGTCACGATGCGGTCACTGATGTTTTGCACAAAGAAGTGTGTGTGGCTCACGATCTCAGAGAGGCGCACGACGGGCCAGACGTCGTCGGCCGTTTTGCGGACAACGGGGGCCGCCGCGGTGGCTTCCTCCGGGATCACGTTCTTCCAAATGTTTTTTCGTGCAGTCTTGGCCGCCTCTTGAGCCTTGAGCAAGTCGGACGCGGTGGATGTTCGGTCAATGGAGAAATCGTCCGCGCGGCCGTACCCGGCGGCCAAGAGTTGGCACCCAATGTTGTTTTTCACGTCTTTCTGGCCAACATAGAGCGGTCCGAAAACATTGCCGGCTCGATCCATGTCTTCGATCTCGACAATCACGTTGCGCTGGTTCACAGCACGCCGGGAAAACTTGCGCGCGTCTTCGCCATACGGTTCGGCTTCCTTGGACGGTCGCGCGGGTTGCGGGCACTTAATGCCAGCCAACACATAGTTCACCATGCAGTTCTCCTTGGGGATAAAGATCTTGAACCGGTTGCCAGCATACACTTGTTCGACGACTGCGCGCAGCGTCTTTTCACGCTGCAGGAACGGCAGGTATTGCTTGGCTTTGTTTCCGTCGAAGCAGAGGTCGGTCACTCGGGCCTCAGGCGACGGCTTGCCGGAGAACTGGCCGCGCTTGGCGGCGCGGGCCGCGGCTTCGGCTGCCACGAGCGCATCGTAGTATCCCGACTTTTCCTCATCTTGCTTGTGACGAACAACTTCGCCAAACCCGTCCAACAGCAACTGCTCGCCCAAGTTGATTCGTTCGGCTGGAGCCGAGTCGCCTTTCTTCTTCTGGGCAGCTGGTTCGAGGAACACGCTGGCAAACGTCAGCAACGAGCCCGCGTCGTTCTGCGCGTTGTTGCGCTCGTATTCTACTTCAATCGATACGACGCGACCAATGCACTTGTTGCGGAGTGCTTCCTTGGCGTCCACTGAGTACGGAGCGTTGGGTTCTTCGCGGCGGGCATTGCCTAATCGTGGCGCGCGAATCGACGACAAGTACAAGCGCATCTCGTTGTTGTTGGGCTTGAGCGCCACGACGACGCAGTCCCCGGACACGACTTCGACAACTAGACCCGTCAGGTGGCTCTCGGTGGCCTGGAGCACGGGGGCTACATAATTGACCCACACGCGAGTCTTGTTGAGTTTGGCCAGCTTCTCAGCGTTGCGCATTTCCGTCCGATTCGCCACGCTCGTAAACTCGGAGCTCCAGTCCGACATCTTGCCGAGGCCTTCCTTGAGAAGTTCGATACTGATATTGTGTCCCGACGGGTGCACGACACTACCAAAGAGGTTCTAGCAGACATGAGTAAACACGTCGTGAAAAACATCGAGGCGGGCGGTAGTACCCCGAACTTGTCGACGCCTTCAAGCTTGACATGGACTTGGCGGTGCAACAGCCGCACCTCCGTGAACAACTTGGCCTCTCGGGCGAACGGCGCCGGGCCAGTTTGGTCGGACCCAACAGGTGGATTTAAGCGAGGGCATTGCACACCCGCCAGGGAAAAGTTGATGATTTGCATCGTCTTGAGGAGGATCACGCGCATGCTCGCGCCATCACGGACACCTTCAATAATTGCAGGAGTTTGTTGGCCTTTGAAGCGCCCGAGCAGTTCATCCGAGCTCGGGCCATTCCAGTCGACATGCAACGCGGCGGTCACGGCGTCTTCGCTGTAGATACCCTTCTTTTCCGACTGCGCGACTTGTTCGAGACGAAGCAGTTCTTCGTGATCCGGGGATGCGCCATCGCGGCTTTGTTCCATCGACTTGACTTTGGCAAACCCTTCACGGGCCACGGCCAGCCCGACGTTTTCGCCGTTGAAGTAGACCGATCCAAAGTCACGGTTGATAGCAGCGACACGGTAGTCCACCTTGAATCGTACAGGCTTCCCAATCAACAATTTGCGGAGGAATTCGCGACTGGCAAACGCATACGGCTACGAACGTCGCGCTGCATTGTGAGCACCACGTAACAAGTTTGTATTTGTTACCTCGTCTGTTTGCTCGGCCGTGCGCGCAAGCTTGGGCGCTTGCAGCGACGACAGCGTCAGCATGAGCTCAGGAGGAGGTCCATTCTTAGATGCGCCTACAAGCACGACAGTGTCCCCGCTGATGACAGCCTTCACGGTAGCATTCCCCGACGCCATGATAGATTTTTGTTGCCCAGTTGCAAAATGCATTCCAGACCTCAGACAAGCCACCATACTCAACTCGAGGCTTAAATCAACCCAATCAAAATGGCTGTTCAAAACGGTGTTTCAAACAAAACGCATTGAGACGTTTTGAAAACGTTCGAGACGTGTTTGAAAGGTGTTTCGACAACTCGTTTGGAACGGCAACATATTGATGGCAAAGCCCCGCACCGCTTGCAGCAACGCAGCGTCATGCAACCAAGTCCAAGCTTGGTGCCGCCGCTGTGTGCGGTGCAAGTCTCAAGCGTATTGCTCTAAGGAATGCCAGATCCAAGCGTGGCCCTCCCACCGCGCCGCGTGTGCCAACATGACTTGCGTCCAGAAGTGGCGCGAACTAGAAACACGGTGGTGGCGCGGGGTGCCACATGAAACGACACAGGCCATGATCGAAAACGGACTCAACCCTTCGTCCATGGTACGTGCTTGCGTTGGTCAGCTTATGCGTGCGCACCGCGATTGCAACTCACCGCCACGGTTGGGTAGGCATTCTACGGCGAAGTGTATTTTACATTGACCGGATTGAAGCCATGCGTCATGCTTACAGGCATCCCACTCGCTTGGCGGAGCTCCTTCCTACAGAGCGTCATCGAATGCAGTGGCGTCCTTGGACTCAAGTCGTTGTCGCTCGTCACCGTTGGGCCTGTGTCCACCATGTCCTTTGCCTTTGCTGGCACCATCGCCTTGGTCAATACAAACCACCCATTGGCAAGCGAAATCGTCACGGCTGTCTCAACGGAAATGCCATTGCGTCTTACGGAAACGGCGGTGGCACGGTGGCTGGACTACCCTGTCGCACTCGACACATGCACCGACTCGATGGTTGAAGTCGGCTACTTTGACTCGACAACCAACCAACTCGTCACGTCGTACTGCGCTAGCTTGCGCGATCGCGGCCACCAACGGCAGATTCAAGACCATTTTGAACGATACGCTGAAACCCTGGGCTCCATGATGCTGTTGCGACGGGAAGCCGTGCTCGTTTAAGGACGCTGTGCAAAGTCCACATACCGTTCCCTCCATGGGCAGAGCCGCCCAGTGTTTGGTTCAAGCAGTAAATGGGATTTCGTTACAGATTCGGACCCTATCGCGACTCGGTGCGCACTAGCGGCGTGTACGATGCATGAATTCTCTTGGCCCATTGCACAGCGTTCCCTGCTGCGACAGTTGCTGAAGGATGGGGCGTGGTATCGGCTTGTGCTTTCGTCGCGTTCTCCACATCAGCGACGACATGGTCTGGTCGTTCCTGCACCGAGTGGTCGTGACTGTCTTTGGGCTTTTTTGGTTTATCTGAGCTCGCTGGTTTCGTCTTTTTCAACGGCGTTTCGATGCGCATTCCCGTGGCCTAGAACATGGACGCCATGGAGTCGCTAACATCCACGGTCTACGCACATTTTCGCGTGCAGGATTGCAAAAATCCGACGCTGTCTGCACCTCCACGGGGGTGTATTTCTTTCGCATGGTTTGCCAGGCCGACGTTGTGCTGGTGTGCAGTGGTTTGAGTGCTGGATCGTCCAGGAACGATGTCGAGTACAGACGCGACGCCGGTGTGTTGGTGTGAAAGGCGGAAGGGCGAGATTGGACTTCTTCCGCCACGAACTCTGCGACGTCAAATGGCGGCGGCGAATCCAGCACGTCATCGTCGTCGCCTTCCACCCTTGTTGGACGGGTCATTCTGGTGCTTACTCGAGTGGAAGCTGCGGTCGTCGAAGTTGTCGCAGGATGAAATCCAAGATTCGACAACATCGATTGCACTCTTCTCGCGCTTGTCATGGGTTTCGTGGGTTGTTTCTGTTTGCTCGGCTTTTGCATGGGAAACGCTCGAACGTTGTCCGTGTTGTAGTCCGACGGCCCTACTCCAAGATCACCCTCGATGCGATGGCGGACGGAGCGCGCACCCGGGGCCGCCACAGTTGTCGCTGGCACGACAGGCTCAGGCATGTCAAACGTCCACTTGTTCAAGTGCTTTGCTTCACGCAGTTGGACTGGGGCGTTCGTGTGCCTCTCACGCTTGTGCGGCACCGATGCTTTCTGTGGCTAGAGCACGCATTTCGTTGGCAACGACGTTGTTTCAAGTTGTCGAGACCCCGTACTCGGTTCATTCTGTCTTCGATTTCCAGGACAATGGGTCGGAGGACATCGACGGGGCATTCCGCGCTCAACTCGTGCGGAGTCTACTCCATCGCTTCAGACAAGGCAAACGTGATGTTGTTTACCATGTGGAGCACCTTGTGGACAAGGGCATTGGCCGCGGCAATGCGAGTCAAAATGGCATCGTCTACAGCCACCATGATTCCGTGGACGCCGCGACCGTGGCGTTCGACGAAACTCACCTGACGTTGGTAAGGACTGCGCGACTTCAAGTCGTTGGACGAGGTCGGACATCGTTTGCTGAAGCTGTCCAAGCGAGCTGCGGGGTATTGTTGTGCGAGATACCGCCTCCTGGCGAGGCATCGATGTCGATGGTCGTGGTGAGGCTGTGGTGGGAATATGCACATCGTTCATCTCGTTTTGTAATTGCTGAACGAAATCTTCATCTGTGCTCGAATGAACTTTTGTCACCGGCGATAGTGCAGCTGGCACGGTGGGTGGGCGTGTGCGTTGTTTTCCTCGGGGTATGGTACTGGCCGGCTCGTTCAGTTGGTCGGTGCTTGCATTGAAAGCACGAGGCAATGCATTCTTTGTGGCGACGGCGTTTGTCGTTTGAGAAGGTGCTTGCCGCCCATGGTTGGCAGACCGTGGCTCGACAGGATCGCCCCAAACAAACCTGTTGGCTTTCTTCTTGCGCTTTACCCACGGCTTTGCAGGGACAGTTGGCGCGGCTTGAGCTCGAGCTGGGGGTTTTGCTTTTGCTGGAGGCTGGGACCGAACCCATTGATCCATAAACGATAGCAACGACCGGTAAAAGAGGCACCGATGGAGAGGGAAGCTGCCAGTGATGCCATACGTGTCATGCAGAGCGGGCTACAAGAACGCATGGATGGACGGCCTCAAGACGGTATGCACGTACCACAGATAGCCGCAGGAATTGGTCGCCAGCCACATTCCGGTCGGCAAACGCATCCGACGGGATGCGCAGCACATCAAGAAAACCCCGCACTTCTTCCGGGCTCCATGCTGTAATGCATGAGCGATCTACCCGTGGGCTCCTTCAAAACTCAAAACGACGACGGTCTGTGCCTCCTTACCAAGGAATTCAAACTTGGACATTGGTTGCATTTCAATTTGCTACACGGAGCCCGCTCGTTACGATCCTTGACCGCGACTGCACAACCCACGTCTTGGGGTGGAGGTACCTTTTTCAGCAACATGCAAAACTGCTTCAAAGCCTTCCCGTCACAACCGGCCAAGCGAGTCGTCCGAAGCTGATCCAGCAGCGCGGATCCGACGACCAGAGGTACGAATTTCAGGTCGGCTTGCTTCTACAGCACCAAATTCAGTTGTCGTTGCAAAACACAAACGACCTCGGCTAGCTTTAGCTGCTTTTCGCCACGACGCTGGACGCCAAGATTCGTCGAGGCAGAGAGCGTCGGCACGTACACTTCGACGTGGTGTCGCAGTTGGTTGCAGCAAACGTCCTGAAGGCATTGCGGACACAGTGCAGTGGAGCATTCGCAACACCAATGTTCCGAGGTACTTGATAAGCACAAATGGCACGTTGCGGTGCTTGTCGTGAGCTGTTCGCTCAAGTCTGGAGAGGGAACGCCCACCAAGGAGGGCTCGGCGGCACCGTGGAAGTCGGACGAGGTTGTCAAGAACGCGTCGACGACAGTCTCGAGTTCACGCGACGTCATCCAGATGCCGCTGTGATCACCATCTCCTCCGCGCTGCAGTGCCATCTGCATGGTTTCGGTCATTGCTTGCAGGGCAAGTGGTATCGCGTCTCGAATAAATGTCGCCTTTGGTTTGAGTGGTGGCGGTGCCACCGCTGGTTTTGTCTAGATCGGTTCGTTAGGACGAATGTCGTTGAATACCTCCACAATGGAGACGGTGATTGTGTTGTACGTTGCACGACGGTGACTTGCGGGCGTCCCCTGGCATGGCCGCGCGCTTGTCGACCTTGGCTTGGACACCCTGTCCGCCGGCTTTCACGTGCGAGATGGCATCGATGAGCCGTAGAAGCTGCTCCTCGGTCATGAAGCACGCAGCTTCTTTTGCCGCTGGCTTCCCGGGGACCAGGTTTGGTTTGGACTTTGGTGGAGGCTTTGACGTGGCAGTCGTGGCGACAGACATTGCGTTGGTCGACAGGGCGTGTGCTGCCTTGGGCGCTGGTTTGTCATCTTCGACTGGATGATGAAACAAATTCCTCCATTCCAATTCGATGGACGACTTGCTCATGTATTGGCAAACGCACAACGCAACAACGCGTACCGATGAGCGTTGCGAGTCTAATTGTGTACCCAATTCAGTTTCCAAACTCCCCGCCGGCGTTGGCTTGTCAGCGGGATTTGCAACCGGCGCACACAACAAAGTAGGAGGCGCTCGTCTTTCCCGCGTTCGACGACGGTCAACGCCATCGACAGGGGCTTCCAAGCAGGTTGATGGTGTGAGCAGAATCGTCGCGTGGACGACTTGTAGGACCAGCTCCCCTTTTCCAAGGATATGTTCATGAGTGGCGGCGAATTCAAATCGCGTGCGGCAAGGGGGAGATGAAAAATGGTCCCGGACCTGTGCACGTCAACTCGTTTGAAAGACTTGTTCATGTTCACCACGATGGGATTACACTGTTATCGCATGTCGCTGGGACCGACACGTACACCAGAATGGCTGTAAAAAGCGCGGCGACTGCCGTGGGGCGTAATGGAAGCGTGCGGCGCGGACACGCAAGAACGGAAATTTGGCGGAATTGCTGCAGCGAATGCGTACCAAGACCGTTAGTCTTGAGGGACAAGCGGAACGCAGTCGACGAGTCGGGGGTCCCATTTCACGTCCCGAGGGTCTGGTTTTGGGATAGCGTACGACCGCCACGTTTTCACATCGAGCAAGTAGAGCCGTGGCCCAAATCCCACAACGACTAATCCATTGAGAAATGCGCTGGCTTTGTCCAGGTACACGACTTTGTCCACTGTCCACTCGTCAAACGAAAAGGTAAACCCGCCGAGGGAGTACAAAAACAGCGACGGCAACTTTGGCGCGGCGACGTGGGGGTGACGTACCCGCTGAATCGCCAACGACCCGACGATCGACAGGACGGAAAGGCCGACGAGGGTATAAAATCGAATGCAGCTCCCAATTTCAATCACGCCAGTTGTGCACAGCACGTCCAAGTTGCGCCATGTGCATTGGCGGGACAGCGACGTCTTGACCGTAAGCGGCACGGTGAGCTGCAACAGCGCGGTCGCGAACCAGTGCGCGATGGAGCTCATCGTGACATAATGGCGCGTGTACCCCTTGGTCACGATGGACAAGACGTCGTTGAGTATGTACGTGAGCCAGCACACCTCGCCCGAGACAAGGATCGTCTGCAACGTGTCCACAAAACTCGGTGAAATCGATTCAAACTTGGTCAGGTGTCCGTCGTGGTTTTGCACGAGGGTCAGTTGGCAAGTGCTGAGCAAACAAATGGCCGAGACGGCGCGAATGATCAGCATGGGGCGACCGATCCAGACGATGCCTCCAACTCGGTTGAGTTTCAATAGGTTCCACGCCTCGACGCGGCCGCAGTGGCTCACAACATACAACACGGCGACGCTAGCAATGCTGAGCAACCCAAACGTAACATACTGAATCGCCACGGTGAAGTACAGCGACAGCGACCGCGGGATTTCGGCCGGATTGACCGAGTACTGCGACAGCCGGCGGTAGTCGGACAGCACCGAGATAGTCGACCCGTCGCCTTCGAACACGAGCACTTCGCGAAGTCCTTTGGTCCAATGGTACAAGTAATGCCAGCTGAAAAATGAAAAAGGACCCGCAACAAACACGTTGGCCGTCGCGATGTCGTACGTTCCCGTGGTGGAGTCGCGAACGTACTGAAACAAACTCACGTTGAGAGCTGTGGCCGCGGCCAAGAGCTTGTCCGGGTCGCCAAACAAGTGCCGAGCGTTCACAAGATACGTACGGACAAACGACGGAAACGAGTCCAGAATCGACACACACGCTGCCGACTGGGTCGGAAACGCACAGACGGAAGCGTTGTCGCTGGAGCTCTGCACCCGCGTCATGAGCGACGCAAGAAGCCCTTCGTTTCGGTTCATGTGGTACGCTTCTTGGATAGAGTTGCTCTGGCACGGCGAGAGGATGCCGGCAAACGGACACAAGAACCCTGGGTCCGTCGACATGGTAAAACAGAGCGGGCTGCCGCCGAGAAACGTGTATCGACGCCATTCGAGCGGCACCGAATTCATATACACGCCATCCGCCAAATCTTTGTACCGCATCGTGGCGTTCTCGGACGAGAACAAGAGCGTGTTCAAGTACAACTCAAACGTGTGGACAGCGCTCGCGATTTCCGCCGGGACCGGCAAGTGCCGGACATCCACGGAGCCATACGGGCCCAGTCGTTGCTCCACCAGAGCGGACGTCCACCCGAGCGGCGACGGCAACGTCCCGTTCTCCTGGAGAATCTGCTGCATGGTCACGTTGCGAAAGGCAAAGTCGGCACTGGTCCGAACGAGCGATCGTCCGTGGTTGGCCAGCAACGACGACGTGTTGGATGCCATGGCCCACAAGTCGCTGGCCCACGTCCAGTACATTTTGAAAGTTGTCTGCTTTGCCAAGCGCCACAACGGGTCACTTCGCTTCATCGTGAGTGTGTACTGGAACCCGAACGAGTTTTGCACGGCCAGTGTGTTGTGGACCCCCGTGATGTAGTAGTTTTGCCACAGCACGTCGAACTGTGTCAGGAGCATGGCGTCCCACAGCGCCACCTCGGACCACACCGCGCTCGTGTGTCGTGGCGCTGACCACGTTTGCAGGAGCCACGATTGACCACGTCTGGTTTTGCGCAATTCGTTGCCAACAGCCACCTCGAATGCATCCCCCCAGCACGCATCAAACGCGGTCAAGTCGATGTTTCGCAGCACCGACTCCAAGTACACGGCCGCGTTGTTGGTCGCACGGGCTAAACACCGGGTCTGTCGTCGTGGTGAATTCGCCAGGTCCCATGTCCTGTGGAAGTCGACCCAACAGTATTGCGTCGCGAGCCACGGGGCCAAACAGCCGTCCATGGACCGTAGCCCTACACGACCGACCGAGTTCACTCGACATTTGTTTGTTTCACGGGCCGTCGTACCTTCGATCGCGACGTGGCGCTGGTCGAGATCCGTGCTTGGAATGTTCATGGTCGGGGGCAGCGCAAACTCGACCGCGTCGTGGGTTGTGTTAAACACGTCGTAGAGAGCAAAGCGTGTCAAGTCGATGCTGCCGGGTTGGTACTGCCACGTGAAAAGCGATGCGAGAAAGCGATGGCCGCCGGTCGAGTTGAAGCCTTGCCACCAGAAATCGTTGGACATTTTCCCTTCAAGAACGGTGAGGTACGTGACACTACTGCTCAACGTGCACACGATGTACGCAAACCCGACGACGAGCGAGACGGACGACCGCCACGACGGGTGGCGCGGCACGACAAGGTCGCCGACGGTGGGCGACGCCGTCAAGTCGGGCCGCCGTACTGCCAACGGGGCGGCGACGTCCTCCGATTGCGCTTTGGACAGGATCGGCGCGACGAACGTCGACACCGACCCGCGCTTCTTGAACTTTTTCGGGGGCAAACTCATGAGATTCCACGACTTTACGTCGAGCACGTAGTTGACGTCTCGAAACGTAATGAGGATCATCCCGCACATCACGTTGGACGCGGCATCGATCCACCATTCGGACGTCGGGGACCGGGCCTCGAGCTGCTGAAAAAACACCATGGATGACTCGGGGTACAGAAGAAAGGTTTCACGATGGGGTGCAACGGGTTTCCCCAGGACGTGCCGGGTGAAGCAGACGACGACATACACAGCCAGACACACGGCGGCATTCGCGCCGAGGAGGAGTAGCGCCCGTAATGTGCTTCCGCTGTGGATCGTGTTGGTAGTGCACAAGAGAGACGAGTCAAACGACAGCGCGACGCACTTGCGGCCGGTAAAGATGGTCGCGCGCAGCGGAAACAAAATGTCGACGACCATGGCCAGGACAAACATGATAAAGCTACTCAATGGGGCGCAAATCGCGGCGCACGACTTGGTCGCGACCAACGACACATCCAGCAGCACATACGTGACCCACGTCGACTCGGCGGCCACGACTGCTGTTTCGATCCACGTGCGAGGCCGATTCACGAGCGTGCGCAAGCCATGCTCTTGAACCATGTCGAGGGACGACGAGCTCAGGAGAATGACTGCCGTGAGGCCCCGAAGAAAGAGCAGCGGGCGGCCGATCCAAATCGGACCTGCCACACGGTGGAAATACAGCATGTTGCTGCCCGAGATTTGAAAGCTGTAGAACGCCGCGACGCCAACCATGCAGAACGCGGCGGCTCCGAATACCCACGAAACATACCACACGCCAAACGAAAACAACGACGCAATGCTGCGAGGCAACGCGTTCGAGTTGAGGGCCGTGCTGTCGACGGCATCGTACTGGTACGAGACGAGGTGCATGGTGTCGGCGTCCCCGGCAAACGACACGACTTCTCGATTCCCTTCGACCCAGTCGAGAATGTAACCCCACCCTACGATACTAAAAGTGGGGTCCGTCGGGTCGAGCAGCGCATGGCGCAACATGAACGGCGCCGTGTTCGCCGGCGCGACCATCTGGACAAGCTCAAGCGGGGGTTCCATCTCGGCCAAAACGTCTTGGTACATGTGAAAGACCCGCGACGCGCGAGGTAGCATGTGGATGGTAAACTTTTGAAAAGCATGGAATGCATGGATGAGAGAGGCCGCGCACGAATGGTCCTCGGCGGCATCTTGAACGTACCGACATAAACGGTCGATCCAGTCCCGGACAACGACGGCAGACCCACCCGCACGCATTTGAGCGGTCGCCATGACGAGGGCAAAGAGCAAGTGCGGGCCTTTTAACGTTACCGCTAGTCGCCGGGTGCTGTCGCAGCCGTCATCGTAGCCCCATTCCCGTTGCAAAAACGCAGTCGGCGTCGAGTCGACGTTGCACAGCGGGCTGCCCCCGACAAACTGGACGTTGCCCAGTCTAGACCATGCCGACACGGTGGGAAATAGATGGATGGGCTGGACAAAGTCAAAGTCGGATGCAAAGTTGTCGACGTTTTCGAGGCGAGCAGTGTTCATGAGCACGCGAAAGTCCAAGTACAGCGCTTTCAGGGCCGTTGGCACGGGCACCAGGTACAGATCGATCGAGTTGAGCGGTCCGATTCCGCGGCGAATGGCGTCTTGCGTGGGGTTGAACCTGTCTCGTCCGAGAAGGAGCAGCTCGATGTCGGCCACGGCGCCCCAAAACTGTGTGTCCCCCCGGACGAGGCTCGCATTGATGCTCTGTGCATACCACAAGTCGCAGTAGAACCCGCAGCACATGTTGCCGGTCGTCCACAAAACTTGTCGAGGCAGATACGGCAGCACCATCACGTCCAAGTCGTACACTCCACCGAGCGTCGGCGCGAGCCACGTGTACTCTTGAATCCCATGCTGCCGTAAGTTTTGGTACTGCGGCCGCCACATCGTTACGTTGAACGACGACCAGTACGCTGCCTCGTCGACAGGAGATAGAAATGGGCGCCGAGACACGGACTCTACAAACTGGCGGCCTTTCAACGACTGGCGCAGGAACCGGTGCAGCCCCACGTCAAACTCGCCGCCGTCTGCACCAAATGCCACCATGACCTGGTCCATGTCTGTGTTGCGCAAGATCGACTCGACGTACATGGCAGCGTTCTGCGCGTATGACGCGATGCACCGTCGTTCGCGCTTGGCTGTATGCGCCACGGACCACGTCTGGTTAAAGTCGAGCCAACAGTACTGGGTGATGACCCAGAAGAGAGTCCACTCATCCGTGCGTCGGCAGACCACGATGGCTTCATCCGGCGCCAGCGCAGTCCCAAACACAAGACTGCGGACGTACGTGGGGCTGCTGGGTGGTGTGATCGGGGCCATTTCGTCCATCACAAACAAATTCGATGTCAAATCGATGGTCGGTGGGACAACCGAGTCGACTTTGTGCAACGTGTCCATCGCATGGAGCAGAAAAGCATGGACGGACGAGTTGAACCCGCGCCACCAAAAGTCCGTTGTCATGCTCGGACCCAGGAAAATCGCATACCAACACGAACTCACGAGAGCCCCCGCCATGTACAAAATCCCAGCAAACGACAGGATGTACTGGAACCTCGAAAACTTGCCGGTCGTGACAAGGGCGGGCGGCGCAGGTGTGGCCGACAAGATCGGCGAGCCTTGCGAAATCGATGGCTGGTGCACGGTGTCGGCGGTCGACGCTACCGCCACCGGCAACACAGGGCCGGTCATCGGTGCGGCCGCAGGGTGGTCCGACCAACGTGCCTGGTGAAAATGCGGTCAATTGGTCAAGGTGTAACGGGCAGGTTCGGTTTCGCATTCCCACACGACCGTGTCGGTTTCACGTTGCGCTGTGCCGTCGTTGAAAGGTATCGCAGCCACGAGAATGAAATGGTTTTATCGCGCTGCATATTTGTGAAGACCTAGTGGTGGCGGATGGCTGAGTAGTGCGTCGAGTTGGTGTACGCAAAGTGTTGAAACGGGACCGGACAATACGGAAACACTACGTCCGACGCGGCCGTCCTGGCCACCAACATCTTGCTCGCGCTCTGCGCCGTCACATACACACTCAAGATGGTGCACACCGTGATGGTAAAGTAGCAAAAGGACCGTTCGACAACGCCTATGTCGGTGTGACAGACCTTGAGGTAGCACAATATGGGTAACACGATGCAGCTCAACGACACGCTGGAAGCGCCGACGAGATCCACAAGCTCGTGAAAGTGGTCGTGCAGCACTACGGACACCAACGTGAGCGCAGCCACAATGCAAGTGCGGATCACACTGCGGGCAACTGCTTTGCCGGGCACGTGGGCCGTTTCCGGGGTGTTCGCCGAGTGTTCGACTTCTTCCTCAGGTCGCGACATTAAGGATGGGGTGTGCGTTCGGTGGCACGATGACGATGCGGCGGAATCGTTGATTGTACCCGCTTCGTTGTCCGCGATGGGCTCCAAGGAAAGCGATGAACGGCAGGGCTGAGGAAAGGCTGAGTTATCCACGCTGTCATGCTGCAGTTGCATCTTGCTGGACTCCAAGTCGACGACATCGTCATGCTGATTTCCGTCTTCGCTTGCCTCGGTGTCTGAAAGAGCCTGGAATTTGTGTCGGGGTGGGTGGTGGACTCCAAGCACCAGCTGCTCGACGTAGTAAAACGCAGGATGCAGCAGAACGGAGAATCCAATCGTGATGTGAAGCTGCATGGCCATGAAAGCTAAAACCACAGCACCTCGTGCCGCGGTGAAGCCGAGCGCTCGTCCTGACACTGCAAAGAGCAAGTTGCCTGGGATCTGACACCCCACCATGGCGTACCCCGTCGACGCAATGGCCACAAAGAGGGCGGTGATTATCGTCATTGTGACAAAGACTACGCGGGGCATGCGGGTTGGCTGCGAATGCTGGCGTTGCAGATCGGGAATGACGATGGCGGCACCGTACGCCAGAGACAAGTTGCCGAACGTTGACACGATGCTGTCAAACGAGATTGTCGGCGACGGTACGGGCTGTGGAGATGCATGGTAGAGATAATGGATGAGAACACCGACCGCAATAAAGTCTGCGAGGATGGTGCCGAGGCATCCGGCCAAGGCGGCGCCGGCGCCTTCCTTCAACGTTGGGATCAACGCAATTGGCAGAATCGAAATCGACATCAGGACGCTCCATACCACCGGTGAGAACGCGTCAGGGATGATAACGTCCAGAAGAGTGCCACCGAGGACAAGGAAAGCGCACGGCACGAACAAGCACACACCCATCTGGGACACCACGACAGCAACGCGACCCCGCCGACCGAGCGCGAATTCTCCCTGTACGCATCACCTTGAGTCGCACATCGAGGGGAAGACAAACCCATCCATCGGACTTACAAGGTCTGCGAACGTTTTGACTGATCTTGGAGCCAACACCATGACTCTGCTGCACACGACGGACGCATACACGTTGACGAGGCCCATGTATGCAAGGGCAATGGTGCCGCACACCGGGCCCGCACGGGCAAAGTTCCCTGGCATACCCAGCGTACCGATACCATACACGCAGCAGAACAAGTTGAACGACGCCTTGGCATCTTCGACCGTGAAGAACGGAGAAGACGCTCTTGGCCGCGACGACCCTGTCATGTCGTTGCCAGTATACATGTGCTGTAACGGTCATGCAAATGATAACGCGGTATGATTGGTAGAAAAAGAACGTTATAGTCGATTGCATGGCATATATTCTCTTTGATGCGTTGTGATTGGTAAGTAGGAAATCTTTTCAGCCAATCCACTGTCGCTGGACAATCTCCACATTGGCAAAGGTGTGCTGGTTTTACTTAGTCTACTGCTCTTCATAATTGTACGGATCCACCTCGGCCTTGGGCGCGAGCGTCGGCGGCGGCAACGATTCGCCCTTGGCCAAGACAAAGGTTGGAAATGGCGGGGTCGCCGCTTCGTCAAACTTTTTCTTGCGAGCGTCCGTGACGCGAACGACGCCGCCGGGGGCGCCAGGGACCGATCCTTTCACGTACAGCAGGTTACGTTGGGGGTCGATCTTGAGAATCCACAAGTTGTCGCGGGTGACGCGCTTGTTCCCCATGCGCCCAGGCATCTTCTTGCCCTTCCACACTTTGCCGGGGTCCTACACAGGCGAATTGTAAGACTCTGAATCAGGCATGTAAACGCGACAACGCACTTGACATTGACCGGCAGAACCCATAGCACGATGGGCCAACGAGTTACCGTGCGACGCAGGCTGCCCAGCAAAGTTGTGGCGCTTCATCACACCCTGGAAACCCTTCCCCTTGGACTTGCCGCACACGTCGACGTATTGGCCGGGGCTAAAGTGCAGCGCGTTCAGCGTGGTGCCAGCAGGGATGAGAGCATCGTCCGAGACTCGGAACTCATGCAATTCACGCTTAGCGGGGACACCAGCTTTGGCGAGGTGGCCCAACACGGGCTTCGTTACGTTGCGTTCCTTGCGGAGACCGACACCGAGCTGGATTGAACTAAAGCCGTGCACATCCTTGGTTTTGACTTGAGTGACTTGGCATTCTTCCACCTGGAGCACGGTGACAGGATGGGCCATGCCCCAGTCGTCGTAGATGTGCATGCATCCCTGCTTGACTGCGAGGAGACCCGTGCGCTTCGATTCGGGCGTCCACGGCTTCAGCTCCAAAGCAGGAGCAGATGTCGTGGTTGCAGCAGCCGAGGTGCTAGACATTGCAGCATGCTTCTGCAGCTGCATCCACGTGGACCCTTGGGCCCGCGACAGCGCTCGAGAGAGAAGCATCTTCGTCGAAGGGAAGGCTACAATTCCTCAATGCTTGACCACCGAATTATACGACCTTTGCGGATTGGTGGGATATAACCAATCGAAGTGCGATTACAGAGTACTATTCAACAATGCTTATTTTGGAATTCAGCTTGTTAACTGTATTCAATAGATCTATAGAACCAACGTTTTTACTAGTAATACTAGATTTTGTGTATGTTGAACCTGTAACATTTAATGCGTTGTGTCCTTCGAAACCGTATAATCAAGATCGACTCACACGAGCAAGCGTCGCGGCGGCGATGGTTGGAAAGGCCAAGGTCACATTCCACCTTCCATTCATCTACGGCGCCAAGGCAAAGTCCACGATAGCCAAGGAAGAGCAAGCGAACCGCCTGGACAGTTTCTGGTTCTGCGAAGCACAACGACCTCAGACAGACATCGATGGTGATGTTCGCGTCGAGTCGGCGAAACCTGGCAAGGACAACACGTACATTATCGAGAACCGTCGACTACAATCGCTTTTACGACGGAAGAAGCAGCACGGCCATGTCAAGTACGTATCCGCATTCTCTTTCGATTCGCATGTCTTGATCTCCGCACAGGTTGTGTAGGGCTAAGAGAGCTCCACGGCCACGCATCGTCGACGACCTAATATCCCTCGAACATCGCTATCAAAAGGTTCATCGCTGTCAAAGACACAAATCCCACGGATAAATTTTGTACAGAGTGCCCAGTGTGTCCAGCGAGCATGGCGCCGGTACAGTGCGCGGAGTTTCTTGCAACGCTACTTCGCTGCGGTCAAGGCCGCCATCACAATTCAAGTATTCATTGCTCACATCTCCTGCCATCTCTCATCCCAATCATCTTCGCAGCGCCACATCCGAGGGGTCCTCTGCCGCAAGCTGGTTCGACTGTGGAACCTGTCCCGATTGCGCTTCGTCGCCAAGATCCAGGCCGTGTACAGAGGACACTTGACCCGCCGCGTTTTCCAGACACAACTCGCATGGGAGACGTACAACGTAAACGTGATTCAGAAATGGACGCGTGGGCATTGCGGTCGACGGCGGGCACGAGCCGCACGGAACGACCTGGCCGCCGAACGCATTCAATGCCTCTGGCGCGGCTACCATAGTCGAAAGTTGTCCGACCGAAAATGGCTTGGCGTCAAGGCCACGACGATTCAATCCCACATGCGACGGTTCCTCTCCCAAAAGCGCACGCAGGACCAAAGTCAGCGGTACCATGCCGCTGCCATCGCGATGCAGCGACTGTTTCGCGGCACTTTGGTACTTGTTTCGGGTTCACAACAGGTTGGGAGGTTATTGAATGGTGTCGTAGGCACGTGCGCGCGTTGAAAGTATGATGCGAGACCGAGAAACGCACAATCGCAAGGTCGTGATGGACGTTCTCGACGCTGAGATTGCATGGCAGACTACGCATCTTGACAAACTCCAGCGCCGCTTGGACAAGTCCAGCCTCGAAACCAAGTACGACATGATTCAAGCTCCCACACGATGTTGCCGACACCAACGGCGGACTCAAGTCTCCACTAACACTGTAGGGTCGTCGAACTGGAAGGCGAGCTCCACCGCCTTCATATCAAGGTTAACGATGTACGTGCGCGTGTGATGCATGTCGATCGATGCTGTGGTTGCCTTCATGCCACTCTACGGGACTATCCTTGATGCGCTCTACTCGTCACGATAAACGTTTTCATTTTCTCGTGTGTGCAGATGGAGAGCATCTACATCGACATGTCGGACCAAAAGGCCAGGATGTCCCCGCGTGCAATCACGGACGGCTGGCTGAGTGAAATGGAAGACAAGATGGCAAAGCAACGGCGTCGGATCACGAACGCCAAGCTGGACGCAGTCTTTGGTCTCGGTTACACGTTCAAGCTCGATCTCGCGACGCTGAACACGCACCGCGAGCGGCTAGCACGCGCGACATTTCGCAAGAACCAAGTTCGTCGCCATGTTTCTGCGCTGCAGTGCGAAACATTGACCTCGATCCTTGGTGTGGTGTGTAGCTTGTGAAGTGGCGCACAGAAGAGTATATCGACTACTGGACGGTAAGCACACGCTCGATGGCACCATGACCAACTACGACGCCATCAGAGGGAGATGCACCACCAAGCTCAAGTGCGAGAAGAAGAGTTTCGCCGTCGCGTTGCCGACCAGCGGCGCAAGTGGACTGTCAAGGTTTTCACCAAGTCGGGTAAAGTGCAGGTACATCGGCCCGCGCCACGCGTGGACACTACATTTTGCATGGGCAACACAAACCTCTTGGCCGGCTCCGCGCCGACGTCCGACTCGACAACGCACGCCATCGCGAATCTCACAGACCAAGTCAAGCTCGTAACAGTTCAGTCCCAGTTGGCTCAAGCCACGGACATGTTTGCCCCTCTCCTCCACCGATTCTCATCCACACATGCAGCCGTCCACCAAATGGTTCAGGGCTGCACCTCCCCCGCTAGACTGCCTCCCCAGGATTCCATGTTAACCACGATGGCATCGAGTCCACCGCGTTCCCCCGCCAAAGGCGACTCCACCGCCGCCCCACGTGCCGCTGTCGCTCCCACGAAGCCACACGCCAAGTCGCCGACAAGGGGGCCGAGCGAGGACAAGCCCGGTCCCCGATCGGCCGCTGTGCCTTGGCAACTCCTCGATCAACTCGAAGCGGAAAAGACTAAATTCAAAACCGAATTGATTGCTCGGAAGGCAGGGTTTACCCAGCACAAGCGGTGCAGCAAGAAAAGTCCACCAACATCTTGAATGCTTGTGGTCACGCTCGTCTCGACTACAGCGCTCCCTTACTCAATTTGGATGGACCATTCAGCCGTCGCGCCGACATTGGGCTTGCGAATCGTCAATGCGTCTTCAATCGAGTCGTACGCGGTTTCCAACTCCGTGACCGTGTGCTCGTTGCCGCTGGTCAATGTCGCCTTGGTCGCTGGCTTTTGCATCCCCACAACCACAATGCGCTCCACTGTGACATCCGACAGATATCCATTCGAGATGACGCGGGACGTGAGTGTGCCGTGGTCAAATGTAAACTGCACTTGGGAGAATTTTTTGTCCGTCTCGAATGCAAACGTGTGCTCGTCGTCGATGTACAGCTCGCCCGTGGCAGTCTTGGCGTGGTTGAGGGCCACGACCAGTGTGTACGGGTCGCGGCGCATGAGTGCCGAGCTGCGGCGGACGCGCCAGCGCTGGGGCAGGATGCTGCCGCCGCGTTGAAACACTGGAATGTAGTCGATCGGCGCCGCCACCGAGTGCGTGGCCCCGCCCGCAACGCGCTTGTAGCTACACACGCATTTACATTTTCTCTCGCCGACAAGCACCGTACCTTTCGTGGATGTTATACCACACGTCCGTGCCGGGAAGATAAACGTTGGCCGACGTCATGCCCGCCGACGTGATCGGATGCACGAGGATGTCCCCACCTAGCAAGAACGAGTCTTCCACACTAAACGACTCGGCATCCCTTGTGAACTCCATCCACAACGGCCGCATCACCGGCAGCCCCGACACGCTGCACGTATGGAACACCGTGTACAAATAGGGCAGAATGACATAGCGACGGCGAATGGCTTGCCGGATGCGACCGGTGTGGGGTTCGCCAAACACCCACGGCTCGCGGCGGTCCGAGTCGTGATGGGCATGGCCGCGGAAGAACGGCTGGTACGTCGCGGCTTGGCTCCATCGGGTCACAAGCTCGGCATCCGGGTTGCCGAAGAAGCCTCCGACGTCAGCGCCGACAAACGTGAGCGACGCGACGCTCATACTGAGCAGCATCTTGGTCGCGTAATTCAGATGGCCCCAGTCGGCCTTGTTGTCCCCAGTCCAGATCGCACCATACCGCTGGCTCCCGGCAAAGAATGCCCGACTCAACACAAATGGTCGTTCAACTGCGGCAGACAGGGGAATCGGGGCGTCATCAGAGGCAGGAATGTCGGATGGTTGGAGCTGGCGAACCAGTTGGCCTTCCATCGTCGCGCGCTGCATGTAGTACCCGTACAAGTTGTGCCACTCGCGGTGCTCGACGCCGGCGCGACTGAGGCAACTCTTGCGCATGCTGACTTCCGGCCCGTTGAACACACTCGGCTCGTTCATGTCGTTCCACGTGTACAAGTCGAGGGAGCTCCCAACGTACTTGTCCAGGCGGAATTGGGACGCCCACCACCGTCGCGCCTTGGCCGACGTGAAATCGACGTACGAAGAGCTACCGGGCCAGCACCACCCGTCAAACTCGTTGCCGTGTTCGTCCGTGATATAAACTTGTTGCGTCTGCGCATCGGTGTGGACGGCGTAGTTCGAGTCCCGCTTCATGTGCGGGTCCACGATGGTCACCATCTTGCGGCCGACCGCCGACAGAGACGCTTGCATGTCGAGCGGGGTCGGAAACGCATGCTTGTCCCACGTAAAGTATCGCTTTCCATCCGTGTGCTCAATGTCGAGCCACAGGACATCGTACGGAATGACGTGCGTATCAAAACCTTCGTTGACGCGGGATACGTCCAATTCGTTCTTGTAGTTCCATCGGCATTGGTGGTACCCGAGCGCAAACACGGGGGGCAGCGACGCCCGCCCCGTGAGCGTTGTGAACTGGTTCGCCACGGCGGCCGGCGTCGGGCCTGGCAGGACAAACAAGTCGATCCACCCACTCTCGCTCATCCAGTGCGTCGATTTCTGCGTCAAAGATGGGGTCGCAATGTCGACAAACGTTTCCGACGGGTTGTACCAAAACACACCAACAGTGTTGGCAGGACTCGCCGCCATCATCATGGGAATGTGGCCGTACAACGCCATCGGCTCGTTCAACTCGTACTCGAACACGTCCAAGTTATACAAACGGTATGGGTCCGTCACAGGCGAGCTAGTAGGATGCTTAGAGAACGATCGGAGATGTGGCGAAGCACTTACTTGTCCGGAGCCAACGTGTCCTTCAACACGAAATCCGTCGCGTGCTCGGGGATGCCGTACAAGTACCGATCCGACCCGTGGAAATGGACGTCCAGACCGACCGCCGTCGATCCAAACTTTTTGTGGTCCGTGTGGCCGCCAAACGACTCCTGCCACGCGGACGAGTCGTCCGTTGTTGCGGCGGGGACGTCCTCCGCTTCGCCCTTGACTTGGTGCGTCCCATCGGCGTAGATGGCAAGCCCATCTTCCCCGTAATCAACGATTTTCTTGCCGCCATGGACGTCAACTTCGGCAGGGGTGTCTGCCGCAGTGTCGGCACTGCTGTTGTCGCTCTTGTTTTTGCGCGCGTCGTAATGAAGTTTCCCCCGGGTGTTGGTGGACACGACCAGCTCTCCATTTACGTACACTTCCATCGCGAACGCCTTGGGTTTGCCGCGAAGCACGACCAACGTCTGCGTGCTGCTCGCCGACGTCGATTGAAACGCGACGTCCTCCGCAGCGATGGAAGTGAGAGGGGACGACGTGATACGGTCAAACGACGAGTGTGTCGTGTCCACGAGCACGTCTTTGGGTTGCCACCGTGGCTTGGAGATGTCGTTCTCTGCATTGTGCGAAGCAAACAACTCGCCGTCAAACGGGACTTCCGAAGTGCGCAAACGCACGGCGCCAGATTCAAGGAAACTCAACGATGCATGCAGCGGTTTCGTGGCCGTCGATGGCACAAGTGAAAAGTAGTACACAGACGGCGTCGTGGAGTCAGGTTTTGCGACAAACGAATATGTTGTACTGTCGATGTTGCCTGGAGATTGGCGCTGCGACGCACAAAACGCAGCTTGGTCACAGCGACGGAACTTGCTTCGATCTACGGCACCGACGGACGACGACAAAGCCGCGATTGCGAGCGCTACCGCGAGCCACGCCGACACACGTCCGAAACCGACCATCGCGTTCGAGTTGCTGACGAATTGAGATGTTTGTGGCTCTCGAAATATGGGGACGACGTTATCCGGATACTCGACAAGGCAAAAGTATCAAAACAATCGAGCAAAATCCAACATTTTTTCAACAATGATACGTTTTCGCATGTGTCCTCGAATCTGATTGGACAAGTACACGTTTTCACTTCGACACGACTGACGTGGCGCCCTGTGACGCCGCCAAGTGGATCTTCCCATGCCAATGGATGCCGCTCCAAACGCACAGCCGAACGACGACATCTTCACGTGAAGATGCATCGTGACGAGTGTGTTGAGAGCTCGTCCGCGCGTTGGTGTTGGACATGCAGGCTGCAACGTCCATTCCTTGGCACCCGTGAAGTCCACTTACAACACGTCACATTTTGCGTTATTAGGTTCACATGACACCGCCTTCGTCCACGCTGCCTTGATCCGGCAGCGCGATCGAGCCGCCCGAGTTGATCTGGTCGTCGTCGCAGCTGTCTGTGTTGTGGTTGGTGACACTGTCGAGGGCGTTGCCCGCTTTTTCATATCCCATATTGTAGTACGTCTTGTACGCAGCGCGGGCCTTTTGCTGTGTCAAAACGTTCCAGTGCGACAGCATGGTCGCGACGAGGTTGGGCCGAATGATGTCAAACATGTCCTGGCCGACTTTCTCGTACGTGTTCATGACGCGGACACACGCGGGCGAGTTCCAGCACGCGAGCGCACGGTCAGCGACTTGTTGCTGGATGCTGCTCATGCACTTGCCGAGGCGACGACCCATTTGCCGCGCGACCGGGGCCAAGTCCGACTCGGCCAGCACGTACTCAAACAATTCTTCCAGGACAATCAAAAACACAATCTCCTTGTACGCGTTCCCGACCGGCCAGTACCGGAGGACGCCACGGGCAATCGGCGTGTACAGCACGTGGTCCTTCGACACAAACTGGATCATGCAGTACATGAGCTGCTGGTGGTACGACGTGTACGCTTGAGTCTAGACAAAGGGTCAGAGCGTGCTGGGACAAGGACCGACCGACGTTTGCGGCACAGACGGAGGGCGGTCCAAGATGACAAATATCGTACCGAGTGCAACGGGACGAGCGACTTTTCCAGCAGCACGACATGCTCGTCCTTGATCGGGCAAGCAAACCCATTGATGATGCTCCCGAGAATCTCGAGGAGCTCCGTGACCCCGTAGTAGTTGGACGACTCGTACACGTATTCATAAAAGACGTGCGCAATCTCTTTTCGAATGAGGGCTCGTCGCTGGGTCAATTTATAGTACAAGCGATGGAGCACCGTCTAGAGCGATGCGATTCAGACAACGGGTCAACGTCGCACGCGACCAGAACGCACAGTCGAACGTACCTTGAGAAGCTGGCGCTCCTTATACGACGGCGACTTGAATAGCCCGACGAGTTGGGACACAAATCGCGGCGTGAAAAAGTCCTTGCGCACTTGTTTGTCGAGCTGGTCGATGTACTCGATCGCACGGACAAGGATATCGTAGCACGTGCTCAGTACACTCCACTCTTGGTCCTCGGCCGACAACGTGTCGGACATGAGGTCCTGGATTGTGAACGGCGTGTTGCCTGTGTCGTTGTTTTCCGGCGCTTCTTCAAAGAACACCGCGTTCTGGTCCTGCGCCGGTAGCCGCGGAAATGGCCGAAACAAAAACGACGACGTCATGTGCAGCAATTCTTTGTACAGACTCGGGTCCGACATGAGCGTGCTGTGCGACAATTGGGTCGGTGAGAGCACGCACGCCATCGCGATGGACGTACGGGTACGAATCGCAGTAGTTGTGGATGTCCTGCATCATCTTGATCTGGCGCTCACGCAGCTCGTACTTTTCCTTTTCCGACAACCCGCGGTACCCTGGTCGACAAAACGCCATCTTCTTTCGGCAATAGTACACACGTTCAAACGCTGGAACGTCTACATGTTGGAGCTTCGACATGAACAATGGAACATAGAAAGGAATGGGACATCGTGGAAGCATGCGCCACGAAGTGGACGGCACATACCTTCGAGAGGGGGGAGTTGAAAGAGCTGTTCCTTGGACTCTCGGATGTCGGCAATGCCGTCCCGCACAGGAAGGGATGCGCTCTTGATGCTGCTCATCCATTGCACCAAGTCGGCGTCGTTCTTGGCGACCATGTACAGCGATCGGTAGTTCTAGTGCAACGGGAATGATGATTTCAAAAGGATTTCAAAACGTGGGCGACAGCACGAAACAATCGACGAGGCCTGGATTTTAAATCCATTTCGAAAACAACAGCCGTACCGGATGCGAGATTTCAAAACAAAACTGCTTCTTGAATTTGGACACGTCCAGCGGATGCACGTCGACGCCCTGAGGTCCCCACGTCAACCGAGATCGAGGAGGTGAGCACCTTACCGACAACGAGATCACGCCACGGGGGTACGTCTCTTCGCTCGTCGTACCAGACACATAATAAAACATGGATTGCCCGCGCAGCACCATGAATCGCTTTTTCCAGTTCTTCAGATGGTTGGCCTGCTTGACGAGGACGCCGCTTTTGCTCGTGGGGGCGTAAAAGTCTGAGTCGTGCCGGTCGTCGACGTTCTCCTGGAAGGTCGAGATCAAGCTCGTTTTTTTGCTCCCGTTGATGTGCTTGTTGTGGTTGTGATGGTCTGCGGAATACCCGCTGCGCTCGAGGTCGCCTTCTTCGTCAGAAACCGACGATGTCGATTTGGCAAATGACGACGTCACCGACAACGAATGCGTCGTGATCTTCTTGGAGCTTTTGCTGCTCCCCAGCATCCCTCGAAAGAACTTGCCAGTTCTGCTTTCGATCGACGTGGCGACGGCGGCCGTTGTAGCCCCAGCGGTCGAGTCGCCGCCGAGTTTGTTGCTACTTATGCCGAATCCAAGCGCCATCGTCTCTGCGCCGAGTCACGAGTCAAGCCACGCCCTCCTCATCGAGCGTCGGCGGTCTTACCTGCTAGAGATGTGCGGGCGATGATGGTTACCAGCGGTGGGTGGGCACTTCTGCGTCACTCTGGGCCAGGAGTGAGTAAGTCCTGCCGATTTGTAATGGACATGTGCTATACCGAATAGTGCAAGAGTGCGTTTTATGCGTTTTTTCGGCCACCGCCGATGAAGCTTGTCATTTGTATGCCATCATGGGGCGCGTTAAACTCGAACGCCTAAATACAGTGTATTCATTGCACCGCCGCGGGCATCTCATCTCTGGTGCCAGCCGCTCGTCGCCGCTTCTTTTTCGTCCAGCGAATGACCTTCCGTGCACTCTATCGCGATAAGACTCACACACACGATCGAACCTCCGATCTGTCTCGTCCACGCACGTCGTATCCTTGACACCACATCGTTGGGAGGACGACGGCATGATGTGTTGCTTCAAGGCACACACGAAAGATCAGCGACGACTCCAACTCCACTGGCTCATGCTGGCTTGGCGAACGAGCTGCTAGCTTGTGAATTGTGGACACGCCTCGAGAGCCTGTGCTCGCTGTCCTGGACGGCATTGCGTCTGTGCTGAGCTTATCTTCCCATGTGCCCGTGGGTTCAAATCCAAGCACAGGTCCGAATGACACGATCGAGCCAATCAAAGCGTGATACCTCTTATATTTTAGCCAATCAGAAGATGGAATTACCATCCCTGGAAATCCGCGTTCTTTTCACAATGAAACGAGTTAAGCGAAAGCGCCACACACCCAAAGCCGTCGCGGCGAACGTGCCAAACAAGCTCGACTTCTTCAAGAAGCGACCCCAGAAAGTAACCACTGGCATGGACGAAGTGAAGAGTGGTGCAAATTCCGCGCTATCTTTGTTCTTGGGGTGGACGTTTACCTGTCTTGGTACGTTGCATATCCTCGAAGTCGTCGCGAGGGCTGTCGGCGTTCTTCCCATACTAACATCAAGGTGGGCAAAGGATTGTCGAAAGTAGAAGAATACAAAGTCAAGACAATCGTGCATCTGCACGGAGGACGCATGGAAAACGGAGACAATAGTGATGGTGGCAGTCGCAACCTTCGACGATTCACCACGTGCTCGCATGTCGTGACAGGGTACTGGTTTCCAGTCTCGCCGCTCACGAATGGCTCTGCAACGTACGTGACGCTCCATTGGCTCGAGCGTGTGCATGCAACCGGCAGCATTCCACACGAGAAAAGCATGCTCTTCCATCCGCCGCTGTTCCCTTCCAGCTCGACTCTAGCACTACTGGCGTATCCTGCGACGTTCCAGGACACGTTCGATGCTGCGATTCATGTCGAGGTAATGCCTCCCATACCTTTCACGTCTTCATTCATCTTTGCGTTGTGGCGGCAGCTGCCGTGTGTACCCACCAGCGTTTTCTGCGACTCTATCCCCCGGTGGCCATACATTGTCGCCCTCCTCACCCGGCCGATTCCAGATATGGACGCGCTGGAGCAAACCATCCACTTGTACTAAACCATCATGATCTTCATCATCGAACGCTGATGGCGCTTGGGATGTAGTATCACAGGACGAACAACACCTCTGCGCTGCCTCCGTCGTGCACTTGAAGTACTGTCGTCGGTTCCGTCATCCAGCTCACGATAGCGAGTGCATAGGACTACATCGACACGTCGTTGTTCTTTGGAGTTACGCTGCCATACATGATGGACTTGGCTGTGGCCCTCCCGCACCTGTTCACATGCCCCCTTCGTCTCTTGACCAAACAATCCGTCGCCACTGTCGAGTTGACGAAGCGCCAAGCGGCGTGCTTGCTCGTTCACGCGTTCTTGTGCACATTTTCCGATGCATCCGATTCGTTCAATCATTTTCAGTTTTTCGAGTTGTTTGCGCCGCCAACGCCACCGTCGTGGACCGCAGAAGACACCGACTTGACCATGGTGCAAAAGCTCGTGACGGTGCTGCATTACTTTGATCGCGTCGCCGCAGACAACGCGGCACCCGGTGCTGCTGCGTACAACCAACAAAGAGTGACGTACTCTCGTTATGTCCTCAACGCAACCCGTGACGGGAACCCTTCCAGTGAAGCGTGGGCGTCGGTGCAAGTTCATGCTGACGGCGCGATTGAAAATCATGCTGGGGCGTTGCAAGTGGATTTTGCCAACAAGTACGCTGGCGGGGGCGTGTTGGGTCACGGTTGTGTCCAGGAAGAGATTCGCTTTGTCATCAACCCGGAGTGCATCGTCGCTTGCGTACTCACCGAAGTACTCGGTACGATCTCCAAGTTTCCCTTCTTGAATCTCACGACGACAGCGGCATCGCTTGGTAGATTCGAATGAATGCTTTGTAATCCACGGCACTGAGCAATACGCTGCCTACACTGGATGTACGTTCGTCTTGTTCCAAGCACTCTTTCGACGCAGCATTGTGCTTCGGGTTTTTCCAATGAGATTATGAATTGCTTGTAGACGGGTCCACGTTTGCCTATGCCGGCGACGTTCAAGACACCGTGCCCGTCAATTCGAATGGAGTTCGCGACACGATCATCGTTGGTATTGACGCCAACAAGTACTACCGCAACAATGCATGGCACCAGTACCGCCCAGAAGTACGTTCGACCGACTGTGTTAGCGGACGGGGTTTATGTGGTTTGGACAATTCGCGCAGGACATCCAAAGAGAACTGGGCAAGGCAACAGTCGGGTTTCAGCCATTGCCAGATGAAAACGAGTCGCGGCGGCCGGTTGCGACAGGAAACTGGGGTTGTGGCGTGTTTCATGGCGACGTGGAGCTCAAGTTTGTCCTCCAATGGCTGGCGGCATCTGCCCACCGCCGCCCGATGCATTACTACACGTTTGGCAACTCAAACCTTGCGCATCGCATCGATCAGTTTGTCCAAACGGTCGCCGCGTCCGCTCTAACGGTGAGCGACCTCCGCACGTGGCTGCTAGAAACGCAGACGCCGATGAATTTGGGAGGGTACATGCGCCAACACCGCCGCAAGAATCCGAGTGTATTTGCCTGGATTACGACAATTGTGCAAAGAGTGAATGCCGCCAATTGATGCACAATGGTGCATCCTTCAAAAGTCGGATCTGCTCACTCAAGTGCTCAGGTTCGTGTGTATTTGCTCAATTGCTGGTGTATCCAAATGTCCGTCGACGGTCTTGGAAAACCTTGTGCTTCTTCCACTTCATGCTAACTCGTTCGGCAGATTTAAAGCACTGCATCCAACGCTGAGCTGCTAAGCCCCACCTCCTTGTGGAGAAAGGTATCATGAATGAATTGCTGCTGCGTTGAGTGTTGAGTTATCCGCCGCCACGAGAACCCTGCCGCTGATTCAATCATGGTTAGAACCGGGGGATGCTGAAAGGGGCAGACTCCGTACGCCCAATCTGCATGCTCCAATTCACACACCCGGTGAAGTGAACAACACCTGGCACGATCACATGATGGATGAATACATCGCTAGTTGTCTACAACGCCGTCCTCCCTTCGGGTAGTGGTAGGTTTGGCTGAACTCCACGAGGCGCGAGTGGGATAGCAATGCACCAGGCACAACGGAAATGCCCCGACAGGATTTCCACTTTTCAAGCAAGTGTCCCCATCCATCGATACTCCATGAATGAGGTCACGCAAATTTAGTAGAGGTGCGCCGACAGTTTTTGTCGCATTTGTTTTTCCAACGCTTCGGCGCGCCGGCAAAAGAGCATCAAGAACGCCTCGTTGATTTTGCTCTTGGGTTTGGCCAGGTTGCGGACGGGTGGGTGCGAGTGAAACACGCTGCGGAGGATCGTGTACTTGGACCCGTCGGGTCGAAAATTCGTGTTGAGGAGAACACTACAGTCACGTTAGCCGCGCTCGACGTTTCGTGCCATCGCACCTGCCAACTTCGGCATTTCGAATCGTCGTTTCCGCCTCGAGCGGGTACAAGTCGTCGTCATCGATGGAGTCCCACGACACAACGCCCAACTCGGCGCTCGATTGATGGCGGATCACAAATAGTGACTCCATGAAGTACTTGGCCCGCTCGATGTAGAGCGGAACCGCCGCGCGCCCATACCGTGTGCACGAGTCCACCATAAATAGTTTCTACATCCGCATCACGTTGACAAGGCCATGGCATCCGTCGAGTCGTACCGCCGAATCGGCATCTTTCTGGATGTTGAGCACCGAATGCACGAGGGCCTCGACGACTTGGTGGTGGTCAAACCCGTCGATTTCACACACGCGAATGAGCTTGATGTCAATGTCTGGCCCAGTGCCGTTCAACTTGATGTCCTGTTGACAGTTGAGGATGCCGCCACGATGTCGATATTGGCCGTACCAAGTGCCCGGGGATGCTCGGGAACGCATGCGTCTCCCGCATGACGAATTCGTAGGCCAAGTCCATGCGGACTTCGGCGATCTGGTTGAGCGTGGCGGTGCGCGCGGCGGCGTCGCCCGTCAGTCGATTGAAGGTATGCGACCTGTCGTTGTATGTGCCGTTGGGAGGCATGGGAAACGTCAGCAACGGCGACTTGATCCACATGTCCCGCACTCGCTCCGTGCAGATCGATTGCTCTTTGAGCTTGGCGCGCAGAAACTCGTTGTCGTCTTCCGCCTTTTTGCGCTTTCGTCGCTGGGCCAGCGCCTGTGTCGAAATGGGATTTATATCCAGTACGACGTGGTAGGTTGTACCTTCTCTTCCCACTCGGTAAAGTCGTTTCCGTTCGGATGCACCGACTTGTGCGTTGCCCGCAGCCGCTCCAGGTCCGTTTGAAGTACAAGCACTTGGTGCCGCAGTGCTCCGAGTTCCTCCTTCTGCTTGGAACGGTGGCGCCGCGCGCTTCGCGCAATCTGTTCCCTGCGACGTACTTTTTTCACTTCACTCGACATGGCGTTTTCGTCCTCGTCGGGGGACGAAGATGGAGAACTCGCGACGGCCGCCAGGTCATTCGGTACCGCTGAATGTGGATGAAGTGCCGAGCTCATGAGCACCGCGGTCTCGTACGTTTTAGGTGACGGTGGGGATGCCGTATATGGGTATATCGGTCGCGGCGGCAACCCGTATGTCGGAGACGTCCGGGCCACTGGAGTCGAGCTATCTGCGTAGTACGAAGCCGGCGGGGACGATTGCTGTTGTGATGCCGAGTGCACGTTGTTCCCGGTTGACGGCCGCAAACTTGACAACGGCGGGAGGTGGATTGACGGGAGTGAGCGATTCATCGCCGCGTTGGTCGAAAGGAACGAGTGTGTAGGCGGGTGTGACGTGGGATCCTGCATCATGGAAGGCGACTGTCGTGCGTCGTGGGGCTTGTATTCGTACTGCATCGACGCGCGGTCCGCCGCTTCTTCGGGAAGTGGGTTGCTGACCTGATGATGGCGAACGGCGGCGTCAATTCTTGGAGCACTACAGTATGTTCTCGCCATTTGATTGGTTAATATCCAACGTCCCCTACCCCGCTTCCGTTTACGTCTACGTTTGGAGGAAATCGCCGGTTTACGAATGCGGAGGCGTCAACTTTGTTTTTATCACATGGGATTTGTATACACGATTAAATCTCGGCATTTTATTGCATTGGCACCGATCGCGACGTCGCGGCGTGGCGAGCGATAGCTATGCCGTTCTAGGTCAAGGAGACATAACGAGGACACAGAGATCGCACGAGGAGTGGCGGTCCGACCTGGCGTTTCAGCATGCAGCGAAATCGGCCGTCGCCCACGAGGTGTCATCGGCCCACGCATATGACGTATACGGCACCTGCTATTGACCACCAAATGTATACGCTATCACATGCGAATCCCTGCAAATAGTGTTGAACATGCCATTCTTTTTCAGCACATGATAAATATTTCAACCAATCACATCAACAGTGTACTGAATCAGGAGAAAAATGTGTTTGCAGCAGCCAAACAACACTTGCTATTTCTGTACATCACGCAATTGATGTTGTGTTGGTCCTGCAAAAGTCCAGAAACAAGGACGATATAGGGTAGCTCGATTGAAAATCAACCAATCAGACGAATTCATTCTGCAGTCAAGCATGTGCACAATTCGAGTCGTCCGTGGAAAATGGGACTGATGAGGATACCTGGACGATGCGTTGTCGCGTGGTGGAATCGAACGATGGAAGGGCGAGGTGGTGGTAATAATAATCAAGTTATATCCTACTGACGTTGGATGGTCGTCGTGGAGCTTTGTCGTGCGGCAAACTTCTGCAGCTCCATTCGTGTCACGTCGTCGAAAAAGTCCGAGCATCGACACCACGTAGTCAGGAACGCTTCGCTGATTTTGCCGCGGGGTTCGGCGAGGGCGCGAACGGGTGGCATTGACCGAACCACACATCGCATGATTGTGCGTTTTTCGCCGTTCGGCATCGTCTTGTCATCGAGGACAGCACAGCCCATTTCCACATTGCGCAGCGTGTTGCCGTCTCCTTTTTCGGGAAACAAGTCGTCGCTGTCAATTGAGCTCCACATGATCACCGAGTGGTTGTCATAAATCTTGCGGCGCACAAGGAAGAGCGACTCCATGAAGATCAGCTGCTTGTCCTTCTTGCTCGACTTGAGGATGGGGATCTTGATGCGGCCATACCTTGTGTCGTCGTCCAAGTTCATGATTTTCTACACACACACGTTGTCAAGACAAACTCGACGATTCCTCAAGCGCCATCACGGCCCACCGACACACAATGAAGAATCTCACCTCATACTCGACGAGCCCCTTCAGCGATCGTCTCTGAATGTCAAACGAAAAGTCCAGCACCGAGTTCCAGCATGCCAACGTCAGTGTGCGATGGTCGACTCCAGGAATGATCTTGCCGCGCACGAGTTGGAACTGCATGTCGGGGCCGCGGTTGTTCAGCGACACATCGAAGTATGGGAATTCCCGTGTCTGGTCTGCCATCACCATTGAGACAGCATGAATCATGGTACGATCGGCGAGGTTGATCAGAGCCAGTCGCCGGTCGTCGACGTTGGAGTTGAGGTGCGAGTAAATATGATGGAAGGAAGTTTGCTAAGTATGACAATCACCAATGTGAGCAAATGTACGAGACAGCGCTCAAGATCATGCATGCAACCTACCGGGGAGGTCGAAGTAGTGGACATGACGGTAGTGGCAGTAGGCGACGTGCCACCATTTTCGGCCTTCTTGCGCTTTCGGGCAACATCATCTTCCTCAACAACGGCGCATTTCAACGCCATTTGTTCTTGTAAATACTTGACTTGTTGCCGCAGCATTTCCAGCTCTTCTTTGACACCTTTGCGGTGTTTGCGGGCACTCTTGGCCACTTGCGCGCGTCGACGTAGTTTTTTCTCTTCTTCCGTGAGATTGCCGACAGGTTGAGCAAGGAGTTCTTCATCCGTTTGAAAATGATGCGATCGCGACGTTTCCGAACTGGGCGGGGAGACCACCCCTTTGCTACGATATCCGTTATTCGCGGCCGACGGCATGTGTCGGGACGTTTCAACTTTGATTGCTTCATTCGTCGACCGAGACGATGTCAGACCACCAAACACCGGTGCAGACGGCGGCGCCATGCCCATGTGATGGTGGGAATGCTGTTGGTGCTGATGGAGCTGTGGATGGTGATGGGCCGACTGAAAAATGTCGGGACCGCTGATCGCGTGGAGGTGTGCTGGGTTGATGAGCATGTCGAGGTCGTGTCGGTCAAGGTCCGAGTCAGGGCTGCTGATGTCGATGTCGCAGAACGGGACCGGGTCCACGTCGAACATCATGTCGACGTCGCTCATGTTGCCTGCGTGGAACGAAAACGACATGTGCGACGATGGCGTCGGGTGATGGATGCGAGGAAGAGAAAAAGAATCTACGACGGTCGCGTGGCGAAGCCTCGAGAAACCTCTCAGAATCAATAAACGTACTGTAGAATTTGGCCCGACCATACAAACATCCAGTGAATCGCGCCGGTGCAATACTAAAATTGCGTTTTATACGTTTTAGTACGCGGCCGTAGCAGTACACGTGATCTATTTTAAGGACACAAGCGGCATGGAGCCCCCCAGCAAAGGGTAACGACTGCCGAACACAAGGGTTGCAATCTGTGCCCGAGCAGGCGTGCCATGGGCCATCTGCGACGATGCCTTGTTCAGCTTACTTCGTGTTCAAGACAAAAACATGTGCTGGGGTCGTCGATTGTCCTACGACTCGAAATTCGCCGAAATCCCACCCCGCGCTTCGGCCCGTGCACGAACAAGAACACACCCCATGTACAACGCTCACATGTTGTGCACCTCAACGAAACGGCGGAAGGTGGACCAAACGCTTGAGGACGTCCATGCGACGGATGGCCAACTGCGATTGCCCCGTGGCACCCCTCCATGCCCTTGGATGGGCATTTGACGTGCGTTTTATCAAGTTTGGGAGATCGATGCTGAAAAATCCACGTGCGTCGCCCTGCGTCATCTCGCCCAATCGAAAGCGCAACTTGAAGTGGCAGCCACCTCCTGGCGCCGCCAAGCGCGATGGGTGCGCCAGGTGGCGGCCTCTCTGTGGCTGTCGTGCATGCTTGAGGATCGTGCGTTGTCCAAAAGAGGGCGCTGGGGCTCGCTCGAGGCCTACTGCAAGCGCCGCCCACAAACACATGGGGCGAGGTGTAGCGCCACGGCCTCTGTGGTGAGCATAGAGGATGTGTAGGAAGCCCAGCGTACGACATTACGCGCAGGAGGGCGATGGATATCCTGGTCAGAAGCAACGAGATGGAGGCGCGCCTGGGTGCACTGCGGCCGCAATCGATACAGTGGAGCGGGTCGTGTTCGTTCTGCTTGTGTCCCTAGCTCAGGGGGGGCATGTTCCTGCGTGCACAGCGACAGTGTGGACGGTGCGAGATGCGCTGAAGTGCTCACAGATACGCGCAAACTCTCGAGGTCGAGTGATAGATGTGAGCCGTAATCCCAGGTGAATCAGAGCAGCCTTGATGACGAAAGCCACGCGCTCGACGTGGCCGTCCACTTGCGACGCTCTGATACATGGACCCGACAGCTCAGGATATGTCAACTTGGGAACGTTCTGCTCCATGGATTAGTCATCTTGACGGAGAAGTCGCGTGGAATTCCTCCACACCCATGTCGGGCCAGCTGTGTATCCCTTCCGACGCATTGGACGGTCTTGGACGCGAGCGCGACCAAGTCTTCGACAGCGAGAGTTCAGGAAGTCGGTGGTGTTGGTCACCGCGCGACGGGCTATCGGCTGGCAAGGTGCATTCTGGTCAACCACGGAGCAGGCTTGCCAAGGCGATAGGGGTGGCGAACGGCGATCTTCGCCCTGGTGGCACGTCGCGAAAGGTCGTGTGATCTTCCGCGATGCAGCAGGTTTATTTAAAATTCAGGTTCCCATAGTAGACTCAAGTTTAAGGTTGTATTATTTTGAAACCGTTCAAAATCGATCTCGCGCGCACAGGAATCGGGGCAGATCCGTGTCCCGACTGCAGAACGCCATCATGGACGTCAAGCAAGCCGTCGGACTCTTCTTGAGGCAACTCCCAGACGAGATCGCACTCGAAGACCACGAAACAGTACGCCGTCGTGACACTCTTCTGCACATGCATGAACGAGGAGACCTCCCATAGGTGGACGACGCCCTCGTGAGGTTGCGAAAGTCACTGCAAAACATGAACTCGTCCAATCCCACGTTCTGGAAGCTCTCTCTCGTGACGCGTATGAAAGATCTCGTTCGCGACAACATGTCGTCCACCATCGAAGACGCCGTCGAACTAGCGATGCAGGAAGATCCAACGTGGATGCTCTTGCCTTCCAACGACGGCGACAGTCCGTTGGACGCATTTGTGGACGACATACTCGCCAAGAATCCCGTCGGATTTGTCAAAGTTCAACGACAGCTATCCGATAAAGTGTCTGCCGACGTTCGAAGCATCATGGAGTACATCCAGAAGCACGTGAAGTCTGGGGCAGATCTTCAGCAACTGTTCACGGATAGCGCAAACGACGTCATCAACGTCACCGCAGAGACAAAGCAGCAGTCCGGACAGCAACCCAAGCTGTGCTGCGACGCACAAGTCTTCAACTTAGACAACCTTGGCGACGACGAGTGGGGGTAAGTGCTTTGTGGCTCTGTATAGTACATGTGCATTTTCATCTGGACACATTCCACAGCGACGCCATCGCTCCGGGGGACGACAGGGCGGCAGCGTTCTCCCTGAGCCCGATCATCGATAAAATGAAGCAAGCATTCACCGCGGTGTCTCGCGCCGACGTACTCCGTGAACTGGAGCATGTGAGTCCTCATCTCCAAATGTCGTCATTTGTCGCTTCGAATGCTCTCCCCTTTCTACTCCAAGGTCTCACAGGGCTCTACGGCATAGACATCACCCGACTGCATTGTTCAGGCGGATGGCTTCTTTTTGTTCTGTATCGCGCTCGTTCCGATGTTTTTCCACAGCGACAGTTGCGACCGTGCCCTCGTGTTTTTCTGGAAGGTCGTCCATGTCGTCGACGACTGTTCCATTCAATGCTCGCTGTTTGTCGACTTGATCGCGACGTTGTTGGCACTGCCACAGGCTCACTTGTGTCTGCGTAAGCAGTCCCTGGAGCCGTCCCCACCACCCGCTCATCAACACCCACCTCATCACCATGCCGACAAACAGCAACGCCATCACCAGGTGCCTCTCTTGAACGTCTGCCGCCTCGTGTTTGCGTTCCTGCAGCTCTTGCCAGCTACGTGGATCTACGTCCCAAATGAACTGCGCACGAACGTCATGCTGTCCGCGTGTCAATTCCTGGCGTTTTCTGTCGACGACACGGCACCTGCCATCACAACTGGCCACGGTGGTGCTGCAGCAGCCGTCCCGTCAGAAGAAAGCTCCAAACCTTTGCCCCCATCGAGTTTGCTCGCCTACATGGACGCCTCGAGCCACTGGTTCACGTATGCAGAGTTTGCCCGCGCCATCCCATCGTCAACCACGAAATATTCTTTGCCTGTATAGGCAATGGCATTTGCGCAGTCCGTTGAAAGAACAGTGGCTGCGGGTTGTTGTACAGAGTGGACTGGTCACGCACGTAGTCGCACGGCTCGTATTTGCACACGAGACGATGGGCTTGTGGCGAAAAATCGAGTCCCAGATCCAGCCGCACAACCTGAGCCGACGTCGCAGTGCCAAATCTGTTGCGCACGGAGCCCCGAAACATCAGGAAGCATCCCCTCACATCTACGACGAGCTCCACCGTCGCATGCTGGTTCAGGTTTGGGTTCCACCGTCTTCGTATCTGACCTCGATCTGCGCAGACAACCCACATGCTCCTGACGCTTCTTCCATTTTCAACCGTTCGACAGAGCTTCCCTGTAGTGGTCACGAACCCGTTCATGGAGCCCCCTGCCAAGCAATCCAAAAGACCGAACTCGGTGGCCATGCCTCCACCATCCACCCACGAACAACCGACGAACTCGCAACTTGAGGCCGACGAAGCCACCAACAACTTGATCTATCAAGTAAAAGGCCCATCCAACAATTCACCAACTCTGTCTCAACCAGACGCTGTGAACAAGTTGTCCGTGCCACATGACGTCGTTTGCTTACATGTCATCTTGGTGGGAACCTTTCCTCCAACCGTCACGGACTTGGAGCTAACTGGCCGACGCATAGATGTCTGTCGTTGAAGGATGGACAGCTGACGTGTGGACCAATGCGCCAGCCATCCCAACGTCGTGTGCTTCGCTCGTCGCATCCCTCGTCAAGTCGATGCACAACTACGATATCTACCTCGTGCTATTCGACGTAATGTTTTCTTGACGAGGTGTCGTTCTGTCATGACGTACCTGGAGCCAACTCTAGGTCCTCACGGCGGTCTTGTCCGAAACTGGCGAGTCGGCTCCGCTCCTACCTCGAGACTTCGGCGAGTTTCGATTTCCCTACGAGGTGGCTAACAACATCTCTGCGTTTCTCGTTGAGCCTGCAAAGTCCCTACTCGTCCAATTCGTGGCACACTTGATCCCTCGAATGCCGTGCCAGGCCAACGACACCAACGTCGCAAAAGATGCACGCATCTTGAGCAACATCAAGGAGATTATCCTTCCCTTGCTAATCGACGCCGTCACGGCCCTGCCGCCGTCCAAAGCATCGTGCGAGCGCATGGCGACTTTAGTCTGCGCGCCGTGGTGTTCAACTCAAATTGTCCACGCCGTTGCACGCTGCAGCGCCCACTCCTCATGGTGGATAGTTCATTTTCACAAATTCGCACCGTTCCAGCCAGCGTTGCGAGCGCAGATTGCACAGGTCAATGGCAACGCTTCCCGCGCGACTGTTGTGTCCAATCTATGCGCAACTGCCGTGGGTCTGCTCTATTATCACGACCTCTTGTTCGACGTCTTGCCACTCGAGAGCCTGTGGGAACCTCTGCCGTCCCATCGGTCTCTGTTTGGAATCTGCCAATTGGCCAACGTTCCAGCCGTCGCGACAGCGTGGCTAGAGTCTTGTCGTCGACAATCGGTTTGGCGAAATGCCATCAACGTCATTCGAGAGGACGTTCACGGGTTGGATGCAGTCTACGGCTCGCTTGTCGAATGCCCCTTCCATCTGCGGGTCCCTGTACACGAGTGGTGGCATTTCCGAAGGCTCTGTTCCACGCCGTATGCAGCCACTGCAACTTTTTCTATCGGTGACATCACGACATGTCCATCGGATGAAGAGGGCAATGTCGACAGTAATGCATCGCTCGACGGCATTCTGCAGTACTTGACGTCCGTGTATTGCTTCGACACCAGCGCAACGTCGTTCCGAGGATGCCAAGTCGTTTCAAACAAGTACCTTGGCGTCCTAAACTGCACGTGCGATTGTGTGGCCGACTCTGCGAACGCGGTGTGCATCTTGGACCCGTCCAGTTGGATGATACACAGTGTGCGGCAGTTCGTAGCAAATGTTGGCGGCGCCTTGGAATGCAAGCGAGTGACGTCCATGGACTCGCTACCGTCTGGTCAAGTGCGTCGACCTCCGACGTCATTGTCTCCATCTGCAACCTCTTCCCTCCATCAATGCATGCAGCAAGTGCTCGGCTCGATTGATGCTACCACGTCGTACTTGGACTTTGTCGACCATGTGAATGACTCGTTCTGGCGCTTCCTCGCGTGCTTTGACAGCGAGTGCATGTCGACGTCCACACCGGAATATACGAAGTGGTTTGGAGACATTCTGTGGGCCATTGTGTGCACCGGGAAAAGTCGATGGAGGCAGGACAGGTCCTCTTGTCCACCTACCAAGACGTCAGCGGGCCAAACCAATGCCTCTACGCTGCACTGGGCCAACTCGTGGACGAAAGCGTTCAGTCAATCCAGTGAAAATTTGGAAAACGCGGTTGGATGCAGCACGCTGCTTCGAAAAGTCTTCCAAGCGTTCGGGGACAACGCTGCCGACCCATTTGTCTGGACTTGCGTCACCATGCTGTCCGAGCGCAAGCTCGACACAGAAGTCTTGGCATTTTTCACGGCGTTGCATAGCAGTGCAAACTCCATGTATGTGTGGCCTCTGCAACTACGAGCGACCACAACCATCAACACGCCGATGGTTCGCGTCGCGGCGGCGGTCGAAATGATTCTCCATCTCGATTTTCCACACGTACGTACGCTCTTCAACTTCTGTGTCATGGTGCCTTCGACTGGCGTGGCCTCCTGCGTAGATTGCGCTGGCATTGCGTCGTTTGGAGTGCCCTGTCCTAAGCCTCGTCCTGCGGTGGCAGCACGCGTGCTTTTGGAACGTCCTCAACTGGGGAGAAATCATGGGGTTTGTCACACTGGCATGTCTTCATGGCGTCGAAGCCGTCGTGTTCCTCCATTTGATCGTGCTCCATCATGTCAGCACGTACCAGCTGAACGCGATCACAACTGGCGACGAACTGCTTCGGCTTCAAATTCAGCCGAGGTTGACCTGGAGCACCTACGAATCGCTCTTCAACCGACTGCGGGAGGCACACTACGAGCTCGTGGCCGACCTCCTGAACGAACAACCGCAATGATTCACCATGGCGGCATCTTGCTGTCTCGCCGTCCATCGAAGCAACGACCAAGTGGATCTTTCGATCCGAGACCGGTCCAAAGAGCTTTTTATACATCGAGGTCTGGTGTACAGCGAATGTCAAACCGAGTCAGTTCTTGGTAGTGTTAAAGTGTATTACGCGCGGAACAAGATCTCATCGCAGGGGTCAGGATATTCTCCGAGTGTTGTCGGAACTTAATGCAGCACAGCCAACTTCTTCTTGATCTTGCCGATCGCCTTGGCAGGGTTCAGATGCTTGGGGCACGTCTTGGTGCAGTTCATGATGGTGTGGCACCGGTACAGCTTGTACGCGTCGTTGAGGCTTTCCAAACGCTCGAGCGTCTTGGTGTCGCGCGAGTCTTCGATCCAACGGAACGCTTGCATGAGCACGGCAGGGCCAAGGTACTTGTCAGGGTTCCACCAGTAACTCGGGCACGACGTGCTGCAGCACGCGCACAAGATGCATTCGTACATGCCGTCAAGCTTCTTGCGGTCCTCCTTCGACTGCAGGTATTCGGCGTTGTCCGACTTGACCACGTCGGATTGCAACCACGGCTTGATGGACTTGTATTGCGCGTAAAAGTTGTTCATGTCGGGGACCAAATCGCGGATGACATACATGTGCGGCAATGGGTAGATCTTGGTCGTGTCCTTCTTCTTGTCGATGGGACTCAAGCACGCCAACGTGTTACCACCGTCAATGTTCATCGCACACGACCCGCAGATACCTTCACGGCACGAGCTACAGCATTTGATGTCAGCTTACGGGCATCGAAGAATGGCAATGACAACCGGCGGAAGGTCAAGGTGGGGTCTTGCTCGTTCTTAATTTTGATTAACGCATCCAGCACCATGGGGCCGCATTCGTTCAAGTCCACGGGGTACGTGCACAAGTACGGCTTGTCCTTGGACTCCGGGTCCCAGCGGTAAATCTTGAAGTACTTGACGTTCTGCAGATCATGGTGTGAGAACGCAATAATCACTCGATCAGGCACAGTTGTATCTTTTGCACACGTCGTAGCACTACCTTGGTCGTCGATGCCTGAAGCTTCAAGTCTGACGGAGCCGTCGACAAGGCACGGAGGCCAGAAGGAGCGGCGGCGCGGACGGCACGGGCGGCAGTGCGTTGGAGCATTTTAGCTGACTGCCACAAATTCACACCCAATCCCTGACGATGTGGCAGGAAGTTATCCGGATAACCTCCCGTCAAAACCCACATTAACCCCTCTTAAGTACGATATTTGATCTTAATAAGTACGTTCTCGACTTCGGAGCATTCGGCTATTCACTCCAGCCGAGAATGCAACTGGACCAATCACTGGATTTCCAGCAATTTCATGGCCACATCATGGGTAGCTCCTCGGGGCTTGCCGTTCAGATCTTCTGTTGATGCCGTGCACCATCATAGCGTGAACAGGCTATAGCTTGTCCTTGATGTGTTGAAAGTGTGAGATAGTGCTCACTTTGCCTGACATTAGCCTTTGCACATGGTTGCGTTTGATTTGTCGAAATAGAGTGAAAGTAGCCCTTTCATTGGTGATTAATTCATCGAAATAGAAGAACGTAGCCATTTCATTGGCCAATTTCAAGTATATAGAATTTCGTATCTCAATTTACTGAAAATCGAATATATGTTGTAACTATTTAGATAAGAGTATCAAGGTCATATCCAAGTCATGCTGATGAGGAGACCTTTGTAGCACATGGCAAAAACGACGAAGTGGATCACATACTCTCGCAGCCATTTGCGGATGAAGCGCTTTAACGAGATCATGCCCCGACGGCGCCAGTGAAGCAGAGTCGAGCGTGACGGTAAGCGACCATCCACAGTGCATCGAATTGGAAACCCATCGACTGATGCACCAGATTCAGCTGCTCTTCGCTTAAGCATGACGACCATTTCACCGCGGGAAAGGCGAGCGTTTCGGGGGACAAGTTTGGTGGCGACGTGGTCAATCTCAAACGTGTCTTGAACCGAAGGCAGAGATCGTCGACACAGTGGGCAGGTAGAATCTCGCTTCATCCATTCACGAATGCATTGGAGATGGAAACCATGGCCGCAAGGAAGATGATGGGCCGCGTTGCACTTCCCGCGATTGTCGGTGACAGAGTCCCAGCAAATCGAACATGATGTTGTCTGGATTTGAAGGCAGTTGTCATGGATAGTGAGCGACTGCTCCAGCACAAACGATGGTAGCACTCGTCGCATGGCAGGGCGAATCGTTGCTGCTTCAAGTTGATGAAATAGCTCGGGGTTGTGGAAGAGCTTGGAGATTGACGTCAGATTCGTGGTGTAGGACAAGTCAAATCGAATGTGCGGAATCTCTCCCTCCAGGTGAAACTCCGGGTCTTTCAGCCGCACGTACTTGCTAGCCACATAGCTAGCATCCGGCCATGCCAGTGCCGTCGCCACCATGCGGCTACCGAGATCCAACAGCACGTCCAACAGCACAGCTTCCAACGTGGTAAAGTTGCAAAAAAAGTACGCCACCGCCGCCACCACACCATGGAGCACTCGCATGGCAGGCGCTCCCAACGCCAGCCTTCGGACACTCGCGTAGATCTGCATGGACGTATCTTGAGATCTGCGCCTGTTGCAACCGTCGTGGTTAACCCGACTAACGGCACCATCAGTCAAGTGCGAATCTTGAAGGGTCATTTCGCTCGAAAGGTCGTACTTTATCGAGGTGTTCTTAAAGTCAGGAGGTACCGTAGAATGTGATGTCAAGGGAGATATTAGTGTGACAATGTCCACGGAATGCACGCCCCAAGCCCAGCGTAACATGATGTGCACAGAGCTCATTGATAAGCGCCAAAAGGACGTTCCAGAGATTGGAGCTCGTAGGAAAGGCCAAAGCTTTGTACCTGAAGTAGTTCCATTGTTACCATGAGCGAATGCCCTTGCCCATGGGTGTTGGGACTATATTTTCAAATCCGCGCTCATCATTCAAATAGTGTAATTCGTCGCCACGATAGATGTGACCAGGGGCACTAAATAGAGGATACCAACACAACTCACATGGTGTGACGTGGCTGCACTCGCGAGCAGCTAGCCCCAATGCGTGGGAAACGACGCGTTGGCGTCGAATGGATCGCCATGAAGCTCGTGGGTCGACTTGGACGTAAGCCCAGGGGAGGCTGGGACATGAAAGTCCAAATCCAACAGATTCACAGAATGCACGGGTTGATGGAAGCGGCCGATGGTGTGGTGCAGGGTTGCAAAGGGCGGGATAGCCGACGTTCGCTTTGACAACGTCCATATGTCCAAGCGAGGGAAGACAACCGTGGACAGCCACAGCTCTTGGCTTCGCGTCGCCCGCATCGTGAACCACCGGTGCGGAGAGGCCATAAAATCCAGCAGCAACGCCGCCTTGTCCACAATGCCTAGACCGCCCAGTCAAGTTGAGTCCATCTTGAGCCTAGACGGCTTTTACATTTCGCGGGATGCTGTTGAAGGAATTGACAGTGATCCCGTTGGCACTCCTTGAACCGCATGTACTCCATGGCGATTTCGCACCCGTAAATCGCGAGGAAGACGAGCACTTGCAGCACCTAGTGGCGAACCGGTGACGCCCTCATTCTAGTACTGTTGAAAAAGGAAACGAAAAGCAACTCACACAAGATAACGTGGAAAAGTTCGCGTCGCCAAGCCGCTCCCACAGAATGTCCACCATCAGCGCACACTGGTCCCTAGCAGTCGACGATTGGGACATGTTCATGGCGCATTACGTACATGTGGTAGCTCGCGTCTGCCAAGGGTCGCAGCTCCTTGGTCGTGAAGTCTCGCTCGTTCGTGCCAGCAGTCGTACTGCAAAACCCGTTCAAGATCTGCACAATGCTCGGGTACTCTTGGATGTACGTGGCACTAGACAGAGCGCCTCATGGAACACCGGACGCTGTCGCAACTCGCCTACCGTTTTTGCAGCGCGCGTTTGAGTGCTGCGTACGTTTGATCGGCGCCGCGACTACACACGGCCAGCGGTCCGTGGAAGTGGGTGGCCTTGGTCGATAGGGCATGCGTAAAGTACAGCCCGAGTACTTCGCGCGAGCACAGCCCGGTGAAGAACCGCACCTGGGGTGCATCCATTCAGACAATGGGTACATGGAGGTGTCGCCGAGACGGACCATCGACGGGGGGTACTGTCCAGCAATGGCGCGCTGGAATCGCTCGGTCGCTTCCTGGGTCGTGCCAACCCGGGTCCAGTCGATTTGTCCAAACACGTGAAGGAACAACGCGTTCACACACGCTTCAATCCCATCTACGAGAGGTTGCAGAGACGTTCCTTTGTGCATTCAGTGCGCTTGGTCGAAGCAAAGAGTACCTGGTGTGTTCATAAAGCAATGCTGCAAGTCATGACGAAATGCGTCGACAAGGTTGCTGTGGGGCGCATTGCCAGTCGCAGCATGGCCTGCCGAGGGCGTCCACAAGTTCAAAACAGATCCAAACAACAGCGAGGGGACGGCCGTTCGTGCGGCATACGTACGAGCAGACGACGCGAGTTTCGCAAACGGGACGGCAGCGTTGGACTCAGGCGGGATGAACGGGCATTCGTCGCAGCAGAGCGTGGGAAACCCTGCGTACAGGTTGTGGAGCTCGATGCGCTCTTCGTGAAGGTTGAATACTATCGCGTTCGTGAGCGCCGCTCTGCTGTAGGCGTCCGTGGTCAAGCCCAGCAAGTAAGGAATCGGTGCCTGGGCGTAGCTCAGCAAGTCAAGTGGCAGGACGGGAATGAGGAGATGCTACAAAACAAACCCAATCTTCGTGTCAGAGATATGATGTGCGCAGCAATGTGCCGAGGTTGTTGCATGAAAAGGTTGCAAACCCGCCAAGTCGTTCACGCAAACAACATACCTTCCACGTGAACGGCACGAGCAGGCGAAGCAGGAGCTGGCACGTCCCGCGAAGGACGTCGCGCTCGTCGTGCACCAGTAGCACCTTTTGCTCGTGCAAGAGCGCGCTGAGGAGAACGAGCAGGACGGTGGGTGACTGCAACTTGTTGGTGAACGATCGGTTGTTGAGCTGCATCAGCATACGTCAAGGATGAATCATATATGGCTAACATTCGAGACGTACGATGTGAGGGTCCATCGTGCGTAAGCCAAATGTACCAGGTGGGTGCAGCGGAAACGTGTACAAGGCTGGATTTGTGCTGTGGTCCAACGCGAGGCGAAACGTAAAGTCGGCGTCGGCGGCTTTTCGAACAGCATTGAGTAACGTGACTGCCGAGCGGCGCGATGGATCGTGTAACAAGCGGGCGTGGAAGAGACGCAGAACCCACGTGAACCACACGTACATTGGCCTAATGTCAGAGCCGTCTGAGATCCATCCCATCCAATGGTGACTGCGTTACTTTGGGCCAAGTATGCACACGACTTGGGTTGACATGTCTTCGGTCACGACGAAGATCTGTTTGACGTAGCCGTATTGCTGCCGTGCACGACCGTCTGAAATGGTAAACGTGAACTCCATACCCCTGGCATGACCGTTGAACTGCAAGTCGCTATCAAAACAGTGTCAGCCTACCTCTTCTGGAATTTCCCCGCCGCGGGGGCGCAGATTGCTGCCAGGCCAACGGGAATCGTCGACTTGTTGTTCACATGGGCACAAGCCGCGTCCGTGAGGTAGCGCCATGCAATTTGAGGAGTCTGTGTCTGCTTCTCGAACTCGACGATGATCACATCCTCAAACAACGTCATCGCAGCCAGCGGTGGCGGCCCCTGTAGCCGTCGTCGGGCGATCCAAATCTTCACGAAGTGTAACGGTCGTTTTATCCGGAATATCGACGGATCCGATTACACAAACGGGGTTTCGGGGTTGTCGGCCAACATCGCTCAATCAAAGGAAATCCAATCGACTGCGTGCCCGCCATCGCGCCACCGCGGTGCAACATCATCCTTTGAGCTACCCCATTTGCCATGCCGCTTGACATTGAGGTGCTGACAAAGTCTAATCCAAGGTTAGTGTTCCGTCTTGAATTGTGATCAACCAGCGCTGTCATTTGAGTAGAGCGCGGTGTCGCTGGCGTTTCGTCGAAAGGCAGCCTACGACTTCCCTTCGGCGCTGGCACACTGCCGACACTTGTTAACTTGCACGCGCTGCTTTCCGTCACAACCACGAGCTTGGGCACCTCGAGAGCTACATGTGGGCTGGCAGCCACACAACACCCGTTCGCACAGTAGGCGTCCTTCACACTTACCGCTGCTTCAACGCAGCCTAGAGCGACATGGACACCACTGGCTTTGGCTTGCCCACCAAGCTTGCAGTCGCTTGGATGGATTGTGGCAAAGTGTAGCAACTCTCTTGCCGGGGACAGTCGACAAGGAGAATGTTGGTCATGTCGCTATCCGGATGCTGAATTTCTTGTCAGGCAGTGCGAGAGCGATCGCACCGTGTGCACGAAGTGGCGACGATGAGCTTGGAGGAAGCACTCTTCGGCCGCCTGTGGACGGTCGATTCGTCGGAAGCGCTCGTTGTAGTTCTTCGAGACATACAATCCAATCTGGACGCTATCGTGACAAAGAACGGAGACACATCCGGTGGCCGCGTCCTGACTACGCTCGATGCGCACGAACACCAACACCCAGGTTTGTGGACGAATTCCGCGATTGACCTCAAGCGAGCACTTCACGACCGTATTCTCGAAGCAACAGCACCCCCGAGGAATCCGATTTTGACCAAAGGCACAAGCGATTCGAGCTATGCGACGAATGCACTGCTGCGGTTGACATCGCTTGGCCGTTCGACGTCGTCGGTAGGTGGTGCCGCCGCCGCCACAACTCCCCGCAGCGGGGTGCGCAATACGTACCGTCCTTCCTTGGACAACATTGACCAGCAAGGGTCGACAACGGATACGCTCCTGCGTTCGATCGGGTCTTTTTTGGGATACACCGAGACGTGCTACTGCCAAATCTGCCTCGAATACGTCGACGTCGCGTCCACGATCATGCTGAATGCCTGCGGCCACCGTTTCTGCATCGAGTGCATGGAGGGTTACGTGGCATCCAAGATCACCGACGGCCTCGTGTATCCCACGTGCTTCTTCACATCGCCACCGTCCGACGACGGCAGCGACTCCGCCATTCCCACGACCTGCCACGCCGCTATTCACCCCACAGACCTCCGCGCAGTCATCTCGTCCGACGAAGTGTGGTCCAAGTACGAAAAATTCAAATTCAACAAAGAGCACGCGAACGCGCGCGAGTGTCCATTTTGCCACCACGTCCAAGTCAGCGCTACCGCGGCGGTCGACCCGGCCATCACGTGCGACGAATGCCATGAAGTGTACTGCTTTAGCCACAGCAGTGCACACCCTGGGACATCCTGCGTCGAGTACGAGAAATCGCGGCGCGCCGAAGAAAAGCTGAACCAGGCCAAGATCAGCCAAATCGCAAAGCTGTGTCCAGGGTGTAAGTCGCCCGTCGAGAAGAGCGGTGCGTGCGATGGCGTGGAGTTTTCGATGTGACGGGGGCATAGGTGGGTGCAACCAAATGAAGTGCATCACGTGCGGCATCCACTTTTGCTGGCTCTGCGGGAAACAGGTCGACGACGGCGTCTTTCCCGAGCATTTCCAGGTGCCATGGCCACCTCGACACGAGAAATCCCCGTTGAAATGGACTCATGCGAATGTAGTGGTGGAACCTCGCGGGATGCGCCGGTGCTCAAATGTCCGAGTCGACCGCGGGCCAGCCGTCCATGCTCAACAAGATATCGTGGTTTCTGTTTCGCCTGGTGCTATGCATCGTGTTTGGTCCGCCGGCGTTTTTGATGGCGATTGCATTCTCGATCATCGGGTGCTGCTGTATCCCGTGCTGCATGACGAGCCGCGAGACCGGCCAGTCCACTTTCCTCGGGTGCTTTTGCATCTCGGGGTGGGTGCTCATGGTTCCCGCAGCGTTGGTGCTGGCCCTCCCCTTTCTTCCGTTCGGGCTTGTGGCGTTCTACTTTTGGCCGGATCAAGTGCGTGCGTTGTGGCAAGATGAAGACCAAGTCCCGGCCATTCCACCCGACGACCACCCATCAACCATGTACGCAGACGACACGGCGCCGCCGCCATCGGCCAGTCCCGTCGCCGACGAAGATGACTTGCCCGGGCCTTATCACCACATTTAGTCGTCGACAGGACGTAGGCTCGGGCTCGTTCAACACGAATAACGTAAGAGAGCCGCATGCTCAGCGTTCCTCTGACGGCAATCCTAGCAAGAGGTTCCCGCGAGGGCGATCGACAACGGTTGCGGCAACTCTTGTCGGAATGGACAGTCATGTTGTAGCCTTCAAATCATGGGTTGCACCGCGCTACTACTCAGTGCGGCCGTCATGGCGGAGAAGTTAGGTCTGTCCAACGAATCCAGCATGTTACGAATCATGGTTTGCACTGCGGCAAACTACCAAGTCAGGTGTTCAACGTCGTCAAGAAGGCGTCGATCTCGGCGTTGATGGCATCCTTGGCGTACAGCCCATCACGGGCCCACTGGGGAAACCTCGCCTTCCCGTGGGCAGCACCGAGCAACGCCCCCAGGGCCGCCCCCCTCGCGACGTTTTCGCCCCCGGCGTTGGCATTGGCCAGGACCGCGGCCTCGGGGCTGTCAGCGTACTTGTAGGCAAAGTGCAGCAGCGCGGGAAACGATGATTCCATGTAGCATGCCACCATTGGGTCCTTCCGACGGATCGACGACGCCATGTCGCCCGCCGTGTGCTGTGAAATGGCCGTGCGGAGGTCTTGTCCATGCAGAACGGCGACTAAGATGTCCGAGTACGTTTCCGCGTATTTGGACATGGATGGCGCGCGGCGAGTCGTGGCGATAATCTCTCGGACGTGGCGATATCGTTCGTCGACCGACGCAGTAGCATACTTCAACGTGATGGGAATGGTTAGTGTGAGGAGGTCGATCGCGTCGACGTTGTGGCCGTCGTTGTCGGGGCAGTCCGCTGGGGGCGTCCCAGCCGCCCAATTCGCAAAGAACATGCGATGGCATGTTGAAGCATACGTGTCGTTGTGGCTCCCGGGGGTTGTCATGAACTCGATGTAGGCTTGCTGGAATTCTGCCGCGGGCGACGATGCTTTCGTCGTCGACAGCGTTCGCACGAGCAATCTCGCCAATTGCGCCTCCAGCGTGTTTTCACCTATACGAAAGGTGACGTCGACCTTCGCAGTAGTGAGGAACGTACCTGCTTGCAGCCCCAAGTGGTAGTGGAAGTTGCCTCCTCGAACCCAGTACTTCTTCTTGCCGTGCAGGATTACCGACCCAACAACATCGCCCTTGTCGCTACCCCGACCGCCTCCTCCCGTGTTTGACAAGTTCATGATGCTCCCAACAAACGTGTCCTTGGGCTTGGTGTAGCCGGTGATGCGACCGTAGTCTGCCTGGAGTTGGTCGAGGTTGTACTGCACGACAGACACCCCACGTCACGCTGGCGCATATCGTTCACGAAGACGTACCATCCAATGCACTGGCATGGCGACGGCATCGGCCACGAACAGCCCGAAGAGGGCGCCTTCCATGCGACTCGACACTTGCATGTTTGCGATTGAGCCATTCTCTCATGGCCCAGCAGATCGTCGGCAACATTCTTCAACGCATTCGATTCGAAAAATGCACGAAAATTCGCATATTTGTTGCACAAAATCCGCAAATCTGACGATTTTTTTCCACTAAAAATATCCTGGGAATTATAGGGGGATCATCACATCGACAGGTCCCGACTTCGAAGGCATCGAAAGCATGCTCGGGCAGCCACTGCCATCCATCCACCAAGACGTCCTTGTGAGGGCGTGGCTGTGTGCAGGGGCGCTTGCCCGACTTCAGTGAATCCTGGATGCCATTGATGAATTCGCTGGACTATGATGACATACGATGAATTCGTTGGACTGTGGAAATGTTATCCGGAATGCTGAATTGGCCGATGGCGACGACGATCCCAGACTTGATCCGGGTGACCGAAGCGGTGCTGGATCATGATGAAGCCGTGGCCCACGTAACGCATGCGAGTGCTGGCGGCATCTCGTCCTTCATTGGAACGACGCGCGACACCTTTCAAGGTTTGTCGCTGTCTTTCACCACCCGTCGTCATGGTTGCATGCGTGTGTAGGCAAGAAGGTCGTACACCTCGAGTACGAAGGATACGTCCCAATGGCGGAGAAGGAACTCCGCGCGATATGCACGTCGATTCGGACATCGTGGCCGGGAGTCGTGGGAATCGCATTACTTCATCGGCTGGGCGTGGTCGCGGTCAAGGAAGCGAGTGTTGTGATTGCAGTCTCATCACCGCATCGACGTGAGGCCCTCGAAGCAGTGGCATTCGCCATCGACACTCTTAAAGCTCGCGTTCCAATATGGAAGCTCGAAAAGTACGAAGGAGACGATCGCATGTGGAAAGAAAATCCAGAATGGCGGCAGACGATGGTGCCGATCTCGGCGCTTCTGTCTCAAGCGAAATCAACTGGCCACAACCTGGCAACGTAGTTCGCACAGACTGTAAGACGTGTAAATAGTGCTAGATCTCTTCGAAGGATCCGACGTCCACCGACGCGCCACGTAGGAGGGTCTCGTCCGCAAGGCCCCACACGTCGAGCACTACGAGCACCTACCGTTCGATTGCTCGCTTACCAAACTGTTCAGAAAGGATATGGAGCAGATTACCTTGTCAACTTCGGTCGAATACACCCGGGCGAGGCGAGGGTGGCTCAGGATGGACAAGCCCAGATCCATTATCCACGCGACAGCGGCTGGGAAGGCCATCCCGATGGACGGCTGTCCGTCCGCCTGAACGGCACAATGAGTGAGGCCAACGACGAGAGCGACGGAACCTCGCAACTGCCCAAACTGGACAAGAATCTCTCCCGAACGATATTTTCGTTGGCCAGGTCGGGGACGATGTGAAGGTGTTGTAGCCATGCCAGCATCTTGCAAGACAGCACACACGTCAACGAGGTGTCTCTTACATCCTAGTCCTACCTCGCGGAATTGTAGGCGCATTGTCGTGGGTTCGCGCCGCCGTGCGGCACCTGGGCGCGCTACACGCTCGAAGAATGGAGTCTGGTTCCAATATCCATGTGGAGTGCCTTACCAAAATGGCTACACAACATTTTGATTGCTGGTAGTCTCCGGAATACCAAGCGACGTAGTTGAGGCGGCCATTGCGCTTCCTGACCGGATGGCTGCACCTTGTCCGCGTCGATCCTACAAATCCCAAGATTGATTGAACGGCCACGCGGGATGCCGTTTATCGCACGTTCGACGGGCCGACGGAAGCAGATAGACCATAACGACGTCCTGGATTGGGATGGTGGACGCGCCAGGCACATTTGGGTCGTCAAAGTGGGCGAGAAGGCCATAGAACTATCAGAGAATTTTTGAGTTTTCTAGCCCGGCAGCTCTGTACCTGATGGAATGCCAAGCCCGTTGTGGTCGACCCAACGCTGCGAAAGGCATTCATGATGCGTTGGTGAGACTGGCACGGCAAGAGACAATCGCGGCACAGGCGCTGCACACCGGGCCATTCCAACACGTCGTGTGGCGCCTTGTACGCAGCATAAATGGCGTACAGAACACGCCAAAGAGCTTTTGGTCGCGCTAGCGGCACACGGAGCGCTTCGAAGCGCTCGCGACACTGCGTTTCGCTTGGGTCCGACACGAGCGTCGCAATATCGCTCCATGGCACAAATCGACCCGTGGCATCGAACAACTTGAATGTCGAGAGATGCTCCCAGAGAGCCTACGAAGCACGACCTCAGCCCACGTTGCGGTGGCCGGGATCGTACAAGTTGAGCTGCTAAGTCTTGATTCGGCTGTTGAAGCATTTTCGAGATTTCGTCGGGGAAGTCCTGCTCGAGCTGTTGGTCTTGATTTAGGTGTGAAGCGGTGGGAAAAGAGCCCACTTTGGCTTTCGACGTCGGGCTTTCCAATAGAGCCACGCTGCCGACTGGCGCTATGGGACGCCACTCAGCTGGAATCGCAGCTCGGCTCGCCGCCTTTCCTACGCCGCTGTGTCCTTGTTTGGATGAGCGACGTCGGAGAGGGAGGACAGATTCGTTTATGTGATCGATTGCCACAGAGCACTCCAACGAGTGGGTTGGGTGGTCAGCGGCGTCATCCGCCACACTTGAAATCGCGCTGTCAACTGCAGTTGGACGTAACAAGGGCTGCGGCGTCGCGAGAGAAGGCGCAAACGCGACCTTGCCTTCCGCACTGTTGGCTGGTGTGGTGTCGTCGTGGGTCAAAAGTGCAATGGATCGCGGTAATGCCGACTGCGTCGGGAGTGGCAATATCGAGGTTGTCATGTCGTCGTGGGAAATGGTCGGCGACGATCGCGCGTTCCCCACATTTGCTCGATTTGGCTTGGCCTTCAGGTTTGCATGCGACGACAGCCATGTCATTTGCCGTGCGGGCGACGTCGACTTGCAAACGGCATGTGCGTTCGAGGTCGAATCAACGTGGACGTCCAAGTGGGACACAGCTTTCGAAGGCGAGCGTGCTAGTGGCACAGCGGCGTCGGCATTTCGACACGGACTGGATTTGGTGTCGCTTGGAATGGCCATGTTGGTGGAATAAACTCTGTCAGCCTGACGCGCGTCGTGCCTTGAGTTCACGTGGGCGGCGGCTATCGCGTGCGCCACGACACTTGGAATGGCTGCTGTGCCGGACGTTGCGGAGTCGTCTGCGGCGGTCAGACAGGTGAAAGCTTGTGTGGTGGAAAGCTCTTGAGCTTCTCTACTTGCACGCAAACCCTGTGTAGATGCTACCGATGTTGTAGTGGCACGAATCTCGCTATGGGGTTTTGAAGTGCTTGTGGCCGTCGCAGCGCAGGAGGCTAGCACGACAACAGCTTCCTGTGCGTGACTAGGGGCCGTCTCGTCGCTTCGCAAGGCGTTCAGGTCGCGACGAAGGCCTCCTTTCAGCCGAAGGGCCACTCGTACAGCCAGCACGGCGACGCGAAAACTGCCACAAGTTGCATCGTGTCGCCTGGAAATCGCCTCGACGCAGCGAAGCACTTGGGTGGCGAGGCGTTCCAACTCGTGGCGATGATACTTGGTGGCTGCGCCTTCAACAGATTTACTCATTGCACTCACACAAATGGGGCGAATTGTCGTGCGTACCTCCCGATGCCGGCCCGAGGAACTTGAGCTGGGAAAAGATGTGGCAAGACAGCGCAGCACTGAGCAACTCGATGGACGCGCCGGCTTGCACAGCCTAGCGTTTGTCAGCATGCTCGACGATCAGGTGGTTGGATTCCAGTATGTGGATGCTTCACCTGCACGATGCAACGAAACAATTGCCACACGATGCGGCGGTGAAGCGGCGGCAAGTGAGTCAGCGCAAGATGAAATTTGTGTCCGTCGGGGTCTTGGCACAGCGAGTACATTTCCTCTGGCACCAGTGCGTCGGTGCGATGTAAAATCTACTCAAGCACGTGACAACGCACTCGACGGTCGAATCGTACAGCTTTGACGACGCCTGCTACGTCGTGCAAGGGGCATTGATCAACTGCAATGGAGTTGTTAGCGAGGAGCATTTGAACATTCGAGGTATCTGGCTGCCGCAGAAACAAGTCTTGTTTGGGGGCATTCGACGCCAGGATGTATGCCAGAAATCGTTCTGTGTCCTGGACGAGTGAGGGACTCCACGTACGACAGCTGCTGCGTCGACGATGGCCAGGGGCCGGGGTCACGACCCTCTACATGAACGAATTTGGTGACGAGTTGCGCACCGTAAGCGATCGTGACAACGCACAGATTTGCCTCCAAAGTCGAGGGCTCGGAAGGTTCCAAGAAGTCGCGTGCACATATTACGCCGCAACCCAACTGTGCCTGACGAACATTGCTCAGTGAAGCGAGCGATGAAGTCATGGTGGCCACACTACCCTGGAGTGTTTTGGGATTTTCCGACGGGCGACAGAGATGCACGCCCAGGTGTACAACAAGGCCTTCTTCGGCCACCATCAGTTGCATGCATACCTAGTATAGTCCCCCCAAACCATTGATTGAGACATAGCATGACACGTGGGTTTACCTTGTCCATGAGGAGGCACAACGCTTGGAGGAGTTTGGCATGAGCACTTGGCATAGCGTTGAGCTCGGTCTGGACTGCCGCAGTAAACGCTGCAGCATGTGGTGCTTGCACCGCAGACACTAGCTTATCGTACGCTGGATAAGGTAGCAGTGGCGCATATTGTGTAGCCAAAACCTGCTCGAAGTGGTGACCTGTGTGTTCCTTTGTGACAACGGGATATCCTTACATGCCGCACGACGAACGACATGGAACGGGACGAGAACGGCTTAAGGGATGTCGGGTGGGTGCCGGCGTACACGTGCTCCAGGAGGGTTTTCCTCTCGGACGGTCTGCCTTCCAACTGGAACAGTTTGGACTTGTGGGCCTTGTGGGCTGCCAAGTGCTCGACAAGGGCGAGAAGCACAGTGCATTGTGCCGATGGCAGACTCGGTAAGAGCGCTGTGGAGGGTGGGTCCACTGGTTCAAGTAAGATCATTCACACGTATATGCCCCAACAACGTACCAGCTTGTGCCGCCTTGCGCCGGGTGAACATCGGCGCTGTAACTGCCAACCGTTTCACAATCCCACACGGATGCAGACACGAACTCAAGCACGATCCCTTGGCCTTTGGAGCTTTCTAACGCATTACACGCTCGCTCGCGGTCGTGGATGGAATCCCCGTCATTGCTGGTACTAGGAGTTGCAGTTGTGCACCTTTCACTCTTTCAGGCGATCATGAACCTTCCTTTCTCGATCAGGCGATCTTGCAGCGTTGAGTCTGTCTTGCACACGCGTCCCTGTTACACGAGCACGTAGTAAAGCCGCTGACTGTGCCACGTACAAATGCTTACGTAGATGCACTTCATGTGGTGTGGCTCTTTATGCAGGTAGCCAGCGGTTCGCCATGCGCTCAAATTTATCTGGTCAGGCCAAAAGTCTTCCGCATAATGCTATCCGTACCGCTTTGGCTTGATCGGAAAACCCTATTTCGAAAAGCCCTATCTAAGGCGACTAACGACATTTTCCCAGACAATGGACGACAGCGGCGGCAAAGGCCGCGGTTGTCGGCTTCACCGGCTGGTGCGGGTGCTGGCTCCTTGTGGCACACACAGTTGATCAGTCCGAGCGAGTGTGCTTCCACCACAGATATACAGTAGGTGGGAGATGCGGATGTGGCCGCCACGGACGCATCCAGCCACCTCGTCCCACGACAACGACGACAACAGGAGGACATACCACGATTAAGTTAACGAGATGTGCTTCGATGTGACGAAGCGGGGGGCGGGGCGGCGGTCTGAGAGATCTGTTGTTGGATATCGTTGCTTTGAGACAGGAGCCGCACGAGCATTGACTGGATTTCTTGCTGCGTGAAGTCGCGCGGGGGAGTGACGTCGGCAACTCGCGGCTCCAGGATCAAGTTGTGATTGCTGTACATGGTCGAGTTGGTGTCAACGTCGTACGCTTGATGGCGCAGGAGCACAGGAATAAATTCGGCCGGTTCTGGTTCGTCAACGACTTCGGTTTCGTCGATCGATGTGGCTAGCCGCTTCAAAGTGGTGTCGCTCTCGAGACTCGACGGGACGTCTCCCCCTCGGCGCGGATGCAGGATGATCGAGTCGACGTCGATATGGTGGCGGGAAGAAATGCTGCTGCTGTTGTTGATGGTCGCCGGATCGACCGAGCCAGATCGAGTACGAAGGCACTCCATGCAAGCCATGATCGCAACCATTTTGTCCTGTTTCACGAGCATCGTGGACATGGCACAATGCTTGCATATTACTTCGCCGCAGAGGCGGCAATGGTGCTTGCGAAGGAGCATGGAAAATTTGCGGCTGCACACTTGGCAAATGTGGCGTTTCGAGTCCGACACCCACTGAGTTCGCGGCTTCAGTTCGTCGGGCGAGATGAAGAACTGCTGGTGGTGGTGGTGGTTCGCCACGGCATCGGTTGAAATCACGTTGTCCCTGATGCCGGTGTTGGCGATGGCCGCCATCGTCGACATCCGCTCCGAGCTGTCGAGGTGCTGGGTCGCACAATCAAGGTCGTGGCCGCTGGACGATGTGCGATGGACACGGGTCGAGCTACCACTGCTGTTTCGTCGACTGACCTTTCCACCGTCCTCCGACGACGACGGGCGCGTTGGCGCGCTGATGCTTGGAAGTCTCCTCCGCTCAGAGTCGTCCATCTTCTTCATCACGACGTTCGCCAACACTTCGAGCAAGCTCAAGTCGACCCCATTAGGGTGCGTGACTTGGTCCATCACACATACCGTGCCGAGGACGTGGCCGCTCGGCGCACAGATAGGCGCGCTCGCGTAGAAGCGAATGCCAGCGCCTGTGACCATGGGATTCGACTTAAAACGCTCGTCCTGCGTCGTGTCCAGCACGGCCATCGGTTCCTTGGACAAGAGCGCGTGGGCACAAAACGCCACGTTCCGGGGAATTTTGTCCTGGGCAAGCCCAACGCTGGCTTGGAAGCGCTGGTACTTGTCGTCGATTACGCTCACAATGGCAACTGGGCAATGCAGGACATTGCACGCGAACTCGCAGATTGCGTCAAACCCCGACACGTGGTCGACACCGTCGAGAATGGGATAGCTCCGCAGCACCTGGACCCGCTGGGCATCGTTGGCCACGACGGGGGGCTTGGGCCAAGGGTTGGCCCAGTTAAAGTCGAGGATGTAGTCGTAAGCGGTGGTAGCGGTCACGAGCTGCACGGGGTAGTTGTGGCCCGGAAGCAAATTTTCCTCGGTTGACGAAGAAGAGCTGACCGCGACGAGAGCCGTGAAAGTCGCCGGCAACGACCGGGTTGTGCGAAGCTCTTCCAATTGCGACTCGACAGAGAACCCGCCGTGGTCGCCGCACGCAGAGGACGACTGGTTACTCGCTGAGAGCGATGTGTGGCGGAAATGGCTTGCTCGAGGGGACGAACGCTGTGGAGCAGCTGCTGTTGGCATGGCTGCATGGTATTCAGCCTCGACAATCGACACGCACGACATGCAAACCTTGGCGTCGATCACATCATTTGACACTTCGGCGACGTACGCGACAGTGCAGTTACGGCACACAACTTCGCCACACTGCAGCGGCCATGTTAGATGGAGGCGTCGGCATGGAGAAATACGAATAGATACCATTTGGCAATTGTACTTGCGGCGAAACGTGGTAAATGCTTTCGTGCACTCATGGCACGCAGACGTGGACTTGAGAGGGGCGTATAGGTGAGGGAGCATGAGCTGGTCCTGTCGAAGGATGCGCGGGGCCTCGTCCGACGCTCCATCCACGAACACCTGGTTCATCGTGCCCATCGACATTGCGAGCGTCATGGCCGCCGCGTCCTGCAGACGTAAAATCGGAAATGCTTCTCGACACGAAACTGCCCACTAACGTACTGCATGGCGGGACACCATGGGTAGCGTACAGTTTCATCGATTTCAATGCATTTATCTCTTTTTATTGATTATCGAAACACCAAATTTAGTATACTATATATTCTCTAAGATCACATATGCATGCTTTAGGTTGTTTTAGTTTTCTTACCTAAATTCGGACCAGGTTCAGGCGATATGACTGCTTTGTCGTTTAACGTCGAGTACGTTTTAGTTGTCCACCTGAAAGTGTACCAAAGTGCGTACGTTTAACATTTAGCAGGTTGTTTAAGCATTTAACGTGTTAAACGCGTCAGCTGGCTCACCCTTCTCCGCACAGTGACAAGAACCACGTGGGCAGGACCCACCAAGCTGACACTCGCTTTCTTCAGCTGAAAGATCGGGTACCAGCCGCAGCGTCCTGGTGTTTGTTCCGAGGGCTCTGGTCGCGCTGCGTCCAGGCGGTGGTCTGGTCTCGAACATCGCGAGTCGGCTGCGTGCTTTCTGAATCGGCAACATGAACGCGTGAATCGACATCAAAAGCACTTTCCTTGGAAGCTGGTCAGTTCTTCGGTAGGGTATTTCGACATTCCAGCAGCAGATGGGCTCCACCAAGCGGGGAGGGTTCACGCTGGCCGAAGCAACATACAGGGAGGAGGACGGCCTGTCCGCCGACGTACACGACGCTACCATAAAACACGGCCACGGAGACAACAGAGATGCCCCCGTGCTTTGCAGAAGGCGGGAGCTCTGGCCGACGGCGTGAGTCCCAGAAGCGGGCGATACGACCACCGTCAAGACCGTCGTGGTTGAAATTGACAAAGTTTTCATTTCACACACCTTAAGCAGGATTTGTCATAAATGTACTGCATTTGGATTTCTTTAAGATAGCTCGAATCGTTGAGTGGTTTGCACGGCCATGCCATACAATCGACCGCCACCCGAGCGGCAGTCACGGCAGCCCGACCGGTTCTACTCGACGGACCAGGCCAATGCATACCATTCGGAAGCCAATGGTATCATCCAGAAGGAATTGACGGAAATGGCGCGGTCGTTGTTGCCTCCTTGCCTCGACACGACTCCCATGCTCGACCTTGGATGCGGATCAGGCTTGTCCACACAGCATCTTCCACTGCATTCTGTCGGTATCGACGTCAGTTTATCCATGCTACAGCTTGCGCAAGCATCTCATGCGCGAACGCAATCGTCGTACGTGTGCGGCGCCGCGTTCTCGTTGCCGTTTCGCGCGCAATCGTTCGACCGCATCGTGTCCATCTCCATGTTGCAGTGGCTATCGCACAGCCAACTTACCCGGTGCTTGGAAGAAGTGGCTCGCATTCTCACACCTCATGGGTCGGCGATATTTCAAGTCTACCCGTTCGATGCTGCTCATGCCGACGAAATGCTGATGGCTGCCCGTGGTGCCACCAACACGACACCCGTCCTGGTGGCAGATTTTCCGCACGCCAACCGTGCTGTCAAGTGGTTCCTTTGTATGAATGCATCCACTTCGCTGCCGTGTGCATTTGGTCGAGACAAGTGCCCATTAGCTCGTCGGTTCGACGGGACGTGCGCCTATCGGTATCGTCAAAGGCAAGGGTTACATTTTGGCCGGCTCGTTCACGAACACGTGCAATACGCATGGCATGCGTACCGCAAAGTCGTGCGAGAGATGCACCTGGCCGCTCAATCGAACGCACTACTCGATGCGGCATTGCCAATCAAGTCGCCAAGCCGCCATCACAAAGAACGGCAAGTTTTCCCCAACGAAGAGCGGCTCGTCCGCAAGCTCGTTGAAGCTTTGGCCAAAGACGACAACGCGATGAAGAAGTTGACGTTGGACGACTTGAGGAACAACGCAGATATTGTCGTCGACCTCATGCACGCCACGTTTGTCCCGTTGGCGAGTTCGACGGCTGGCCACCAATAGATCATATCACACCGAGCACGAGTGCACGGTGGCGCCGTGGCTGGGCATTTGTGTAGATGAAGCGCTCTGAATGCAATGCCTAGCCGTCATCTCCGCGCCGCAACGGAAGTGATGTCGAACTGAATGTGTCGCAGTCGACTTTCGTCGATTGTCCTTGGGCGAGTTAAGCGAATTTCGACACGCGGTGCTCCATTCAAGATACGACATGCAGCATATCCTCAGGCGTTGTGACGCTTATCGTCGGCCGCCGCCTCTTTCCAACGGCGCGCGCGACGTACTTTGAAGCCATGCTGTCCTCGGGACAGTAGCAGCCCGATGCGCAAGGCAGATGATGCTCTATACCGGCTTTCATCCATGATACTCGATCGCGACGGAATCGAACGAGCATTCTTCATCGACTTGGACGATAGAGACGTCCATATCGACCATGTCTTGAACGCATCCATGACGTGGTACTGCATGAGCTTGCGAACTTGAAATCCATCCATGTCATTCGCATGACGCGGCACTTCAGATAAAATCCCCTTCGAACATTGGGGGAGATGTGGGACATCCATCGCTGTGCCACCTAGCTTCAAGCAATTCGCGGTGTTGGCCTTGCAGGAGGCTCTCGAGGTTTATTACATCTGCACATTCCTTCGTTCCATCGAGAGGGCTCGACCCGAGAGTCGCAGCCACGACAGCATTGACGTAGCGGGGGCACGATTCGAGTTGCGGAAGCGTGACGTGCGATGGAGTGACCTAGACCAGTGTACCACGCTGGGAATGGCGACGCGAAAGTGTTCGCATGGACATCGTCGGGACCATCCTGGCCTTTTGATTCCATCCTGAACTAACCTTCTCGAGGGGCCCAAGCACAGCGATCTCCACAGCGCCGTTCTTCATTCCATCGCTCGATCCACTGAAGAAGTCGGGTCGGTCCCCTATGTAGCCCTCCTGATTGCCCAAACTACAAACTGCGACACCTGCGGGAGTGAAGGGTGACTTCACACGTGAGTTTTGTCGAAACACCGCCATTTTAGCTGGGCCAGAGGACCCCTCTGTACACGTAGCAGTGCACAGATTCGGCCAAGGACTCCTCGCGCAAGGATTCCACTCGAAGGTGGCTCGGATACACAAAGCACTGCAGTTCTTCTTGGTCTCGTGAACGACTACAGTCACCTCGACGTTGGCGCCAGACTGCGGACAAATGAACTTCCGAGCATTCCTAATTGCCGAAGCGCTTCATCGCAGCTTCAGCCATGAGCTGGCGCTTGTGGTTGTTCACGCACGCAGTCGAGCAGTAAATATACGTGAGTCGCGAGAAAGGTTTCGCCCCGGACGGCTGACCGCACGCCGCGCATGCTGATTCCTTTGCGCGTCGGGCCGCCGCTTCGGCAGCTGCTGCTGCTTCAGCCCGCTTTGCCTCGGCTTCGATGGCCTTGGTCTCTTTCTTGCGCTCGGCCGCTCGCTTCTTCTTTTCCTTCGCCTTGGCCTTCTTCTCTTCCTCCATCTCGTCGGTCAATGCGTCTGGGACTTTGGCCACGACATAATCCCATCGGTCGGGTGCGTCAGCCCTAAATCGGCGAAATGCGTTGCGACCTTCCTTGGACGTTGTCAGCAAGTATGGCACACGTTGGCGAGCATCCAGCGCGCAAGGACTCGCGCCGTGTTTGAGAAGCAGATCAATGGCTTCCACGTGATTCATTTGCGAGGCGACATGCAGTGCGGTCCGTGCAGAGCCATCGGTGTGCGGCTCGTCCACATTGCCAGCGGTAAGCAGGACCAGCAGGGCATCGACGCCGTCTCTGTTTTCCACGGCTTGAATAATTAATGGTGCTGGGAGTTGCGGAGGAGGCGGTGAAACCTTCAAACCTTCCGATTTGGTCTCGTCTTCGGCTGGTGGCGCCTTGCTGCTTTTCGAACGTCGTGACGGAGGGGGAGTGGCTGGTTTGGCAATTTCAAAATCGGACGCCCGATACGGGGAATAGTGCACACTCCCCAGGACAGATCGCACGCGGCATACCTGTTTCCAGTCACTTAGACAAGATTACGATGCGCAGCCGTACCTCGTCGTACGTGGGTCGGAGGGTGCCAAACGGCACCAAACGGAGTCGGGGGTCTCCTGCCGCGAGCCCTGTTTTGTCGAAGAAGTGGCCACGCGACGTCTTGGCCGATCCCAAAAAAATGCGATCGCAGCCTCGCAATTCAGCCGACCACGACAGCATCAGGTCCACGATGTCTTGTTGCAGCGCCATCTCGTTGTACCGGCGCAACTGGGCGCCTGCCGACTTGGCTTTCCCAGACGACGAGTCGTGCGCTGACTGTGAACCGCCTTGCTTTCGACGAGTGGTGTAGCGCTGGAACGCTTTGTGCACGAGAACCTTGTCCTTGCGAAAGACAGCGCCGGCAAATCGACCGGCGCGGAAGAGGAGTACGGCCCACTGAAACGATGACGACGTGAGGGACGCTACCATGTCCATCGAAGCTGCCCATGAGCCTTTGTTCTTGTCGTTCCATGTGGAGAATGCTGCATTGTACACCTTGTACACCAACTTCGAATCGGTGAATGCTTGAAGGGGTTCCTTGGCAGCAAGGACTGATCCTTCGTCGTCATTGTCGTCATCGTCGTCGCTGCTCAACGAAATGTCCAAAGGATGAGGGGGCTCTTCGTCGGACTCTTCCGATTCCTCGCCGTCGTTCGAAACACGCACGGCCCGTTGAGGTCGTGATTGCGCCGTGGCGAGAAATTCTGCAAACTCGACGTCCGTCACGCACTCGAGACCCTTGGACTTGCGTTTGAGGTTGTACACATGGAAGTCACTCTTGAAGTGAGCTTGTTGAGCCTTCACATCGACAAATTCCAATCGGCACGTCCCACACGTGAGGCCGCGCACGTCGGGGCAAACTGGCACAGGGGCCAAATCCGTGACTGTCTCGTCGCCAGTTATTTCCGCTTCAGCGACCGCGGGCACCGGGACATCATTTGCATCCATTACTCCATATACCGGTCGCCACTTGGCCAACTCGGCGGCGCTGACTTGCCACAGAGGTATCCTGCCGTATTGCTTCTGCATCTCGCTAGGCGATGGGATAGAGAAATGGAGAGCGACGACAGGTTTGATCAAAGCTATTTGATTGGCTGATCTGGCACATGGACCTTCATTCTCTGTCAGCGTTCCTCGAAAATTCCGTTGAATCAACGGTTGCCATTCACTCTGCTTTGGTTGTGTTGGGTTGTGATGGCTCCTTCCACCAACCTCACGGAGGCCACGGTGGCCGATGCCGCCGCAGCTATACCCCACTGCGGGTGTCAATATCGCACAGCACAGCTCGGTCAATGCCAGCTGGATGAACGGACTGACAGCGCTTCAACTGTTCGTCCCTTGGGGGAAATCTTCACCATGGAGTTGCATCTCGTCACAGCAACCACACCCTAGCGTGCAGCTCTTGAACCGGATGAAGTATCGGCGGCGATACGGCTCTGCCTATTTTGTCCATTCCAGACCGTCTTGTGGAGCAGAAATCGTGCAGGAGTGCCGCATCTTGGGTCACACACGTAAAGGAGTTAACGTTGGGTCCAATGGACGAAGGGGGTCTGTATGCGTGGCTACACATTATAAGAAACCTTGTGGACTGACGGAGGTGAATGCGAGGCCCGTGCCTGCATCATGCATGATCCATGGTCTATTTGAGGGCGAAGGGCATCGCAGAGCGCCAAAAATAGCTTGGATCACGCGCATTCCACAGCGTTGGGTGCCGTCGTCGCAGTCGAATGTACTCTCTGGATGTAAAACGTTTGCAGGAGAAGAAACAGCGCGATGCGGCAATGATGAACAAGAAGCTGACAGACGATTCGCCCCGAACAAAAGAGAGTCGCATCCAGCGGGTCTATGGCAAATCCACGTACGTTTTATACTGGGTTTCACGTCTGCCCCGGTCCTGACATCGCTCTAGGGATGGCATGTACGAGGAGTACAATCACCGCGTGAGCAGCTGGGCTACATCTACATTGGAGACGCCCCCGGAGTGGAAAGCTAGCTACGGTCACTTGACCACCGCCGTGACGAACCCAATGTACTGCAACCACGATGTGGGACAACGTCGACAACTGTTCCCATAGGGTGTGGCCCCGCGAGCCCCACAAGGAGCTGGGGGCGTCGTTTATGGACGGAGGGTTCGTTTATCGTTCAGTGTTGGAAGTAATCGTGGCTGATGCATCGTGGTCGAACTAGAAAGTACTCCCCCCATGGCAAATATCGAGGGGGGGGAGACTGCCTGCAGTCCCCTTTGCCACCGGAGCCTCGCAAACCCGTCGTATGAGCACAGTACCCTGGTCTCCCTGCAGCTTGACGTCTTGACGCTAGTTTGACCACGGCACATATCATGACCCGATTGATTCGCCGTTTCGACGACGAGCCAAGGGCAAGGAGATCCAAGGCCCGTTGCGTTACAATACAGTCGTGCGAGAGTACCCCGATGTGCCCCACGACTTTGACAGCACCTGGACGGAGCCAAAGCCTCTTCCGCAGTGGAGATTTCCCGACCCGTCCAAGTGGTGTGGCGGTGAGTTTGGTGTAACATTCAACTCGCGAGACACCGCGACGGCGCTGTTTGACGGGATCGGTACGCAAAAGCATGCCCCGTCAATTGCCGCGACTGAACGATACGTCCTTCCTCGCAAGGCGGCCACCCCACCGTCGCCTCTGGTATGTCATGCGATGGTCTATCGTTAACCCCTGACGGGTCCATCTCTTCGTACAGAAAAAGGGATCCAGCCACAGCCCCATTCCGCGTGCCAAGTCGGCCCCCGTCTCGCATGACAAGCTCTACATGAACTCGATACTGTCTGTCAACACTGAAGCTAGCCACATCGTCCTGCGCCAGTTATCCCCTCATAAGAAAACAGCCCACTCAGACAGATAATCCCGTGAAGCGAATCCTTCTAACGGGAACGTGACAGACACTCGTGTGGCTCATGACACTTGGATCGATTATGAGCAAAAGGTAAGCAGCTCAATCTCGTAGTACAGCGTCGCATGCGGCGGGATAATCGGTGGATATCCATGTTCACCATAGCCGAATGACGGGGGCAATTCAAGTCTTGCAATTTGGCCCTTGCTCATCTGGTGCACATCCCAAAGTAGAAGTTTTCATGACTGCGAGAGCTGCACACTACCATATCATACCTTTTTAATCCCTTCGTCCCAGCCACGAATGACTTGGCCAGCGCCAACCTAATACAACCCGTTAGTCGAGGGAATTCGGACTCGCAACTCATGCCTTGAACTCAAACGTGCGGCCACGTTCGCGACTAGAATCGAATAGTGTGCCATCGTCCAGCTTGATGGCAACGGCATGACGAGTCCGACAAGATGATGGGTGCCGCAACTCACCTTGCCGATGTAGTGCACTCGTACGGTGTCGCCATCCTTGGGGAAGTTGGTGCCATCTCTGTTGTCATAGGGTTAGAATGCACCCACGGCAGCGTGCCCTCCACATCAGCATACCCTGGTTTGACTGTGGCGAGTTCAAGCGTCTCGGCCGGCGACGGTGCCATTGCTCTTGCCGTCTCGATGTAACGGCCACAACAACGGATATTTACGAATTTTACGAAAACTTTGTATTTTTTGCATGAACAGCGAGTATATTTATTAATTGCTACCGCAAATTGAAGCTCTGTCAGCAATGATAAAAAGGTGATTAGACGCTGACAGGGGGCGGCGCCGCGACCGTCTTGATCTCTTCCAGCTTTGCTCCCTTCGGCGAGACGGAGCCTTGTGGCGCGACCGTCGGCAGCTTTTCCGGCAGTTCATTCGAGATGCCATCCTTGATAATGATCGAGCGGTGCTTGACGAGGACGACAGCGAAAGCAAACTACAGGGGGAGAAAGGACTTGAGAAAACGTGGTGAATGTGGGAACGAAGAAAATGCTGCACGTACGTAAAGCACAAACATAAAGAAAGAGAAGACAGCCGAGGCTTCATCCGAGTGCACAGGTCCCTTCCAGCCATTTTCGCTGAGAGTGCCGTTGTTGGAGCGCTTAGCAAGGTACGCGGCGCCGGCACAGAGCACGCTGAGCGAGAACATGTTCAACGACATCATGATCACGACGCCAATGAAAAATCCGATCGCGATTGGTGTTTGGTACTTGCGCAGGACCATGGTACCACCAATAGAGAGTGCAATGACGAGAAACATCATCCAAATACCAGCAAACCCGAGCGACTTGCTAAACTGCGGGCCGTCGCCGTTGTTGTTGGCAGCAAAGACGATGGCACCGAGGGAGAACATCATGGCGAAGAACAAGATCGTGAACCACAGATGCGTGATAACAAACTTGGGGTTGGCGCAGCATGCCTTTGCGCGTTGTTGAGCTTGTTCGGCAAACACCATGACACAGCGCGATTTATCTACACGAAGGGCGACGAATCGAAGAGTGAGGGACCCAAGGAAGAATAATAGCAACATGCCCCATCCGCCGCCGAAACCACCGCTGATGTTCCAGGTTCCACCCGCGGCAGCGATTGGCGTGGCGGACGTTCCATTTTTCACGGCCGCTCAGTATAGGGCATACCTGACAAGGCGCAAATGCTGAAGTGTCGTGAAAAAAATTCCTCCTTGGCCGAAAGAAATACTTTGATAAAAATGCACTACGTTTACATAAACCAAGGTGACAATTAAAAAGATTACTGTTTGTCGCACAAGCGTCAAAACAGTTCTCTCGGAACTTTTCGGACATGGAATTTTTCGACGTCTTCGTCAACAAATCGTAGAATTCTGCAATGATTTTTGGAAATATTCTTTGATCTTTTTGCAAATTTCCTGGGTTATTTTGCCCGTGGATGATATATCGAGCTTGTCACTATTCCGACGGCTCCATCATGAACCTGATTGGTCTAGAGTCGCGTCGGGAGGTTGTGAAATTCAGCACGTAGACCGCGGACGTAGCTGCCGCAGCACGCTGCAAGACTCGCAGCCGATTCAGCTGCATGGAGGTAAGCTGACTGTTGCACATCGTACATGCTGCGAGGAAGGGATGCAGAGATGCACCAAACGTCGATGATACATTCAACGGCCGATGCATAATGTTCGATAATGGCAGCCGTTGACACGCGTGTGTTGGCACTCTTTGATACTTGGAAGCGTGGAGGTGCGGCACACCCACGATGGTCACAACCCTCGCTTGTATGTTGGTTGCCCTACAGACCCTCTTCCTTGCCGCAGGCGCGTCGCCAGCGCATCGACATGTTGTCCATGTCAGAGTGAATGACCGGACAATGGCGTGCAGTTTGGAGGGATGCCTTTTAGTTTGCAACATCGACCAGATCATGCTCAACGTGTGCGCTGCATTCCATATCGACGCGCAGTCTTGTGTCTTTGAAGGCTGCGACCTCGTGTGCAACGATGGTGCGACAAGGCACGACCTGTGCAAGAAAACCCATCTTAAAGGTGCCAGACAGCTCTCGGTGTCCACTAGGCAGCTTGGCGCATCCATCTTTGTAGACGATGCGCCGCCACTTTGGCCAAAGGTAGCATGAGCGACCTCCCACGTCAAAGATGTCTTATACCCATCTTGGTATTCAGGGTCAAATCTGCTACAAAATTGACGGAGCTGTCAACGTGTCCGCTGTAAAGTCAGCGTTGGCGCATTGGGAAGCCAGCACGCCGCTTCGTTTTTTTTCATGCCAAGACGATCGGCACGATTCGTGCTGTGCGCCGTGCGGAGACTACTTGCACTTTCAAAATGGCTCTGGGTGCTTCTCGTCCGTGGGGTACATTCCAGGACTGTGTGGGTCGGGCGGTCAACCGCTTGTTTTGGCGTCGTCGTGCGGGGTAGGCAACATCATTCACGAAATTGGCCATGCCGTCGGTCTCGTCCATGAACACCAGCGCGCCGACCGCGACTCGTTTGTGAAGATTTACCCCGGCAACATCGATCCCTTGTACTTGCCAGACTTTGACAAGGGAAAACTCGGCGGCTTGACGGTGTTTGGGGCCATCGACGACGGCACTGGCAACGACGTTGCGTATGCATACGGTAAGCTTGGCTCATGCACGTGCCCGACGTTGACGCGGTGGTCCGTTCAGATTATGACTCGGTCATGCACTACGGCCTCCACGATTTTTCCATCAACAACCTCCAGACTCTCCTGCCCATCACCCCCACCGGGCGAATCCGTGAGGACTGTTTTTATCGCGTTGGACAGCGCAAGGGACTCAGCGTCGGCGATATTCAGATGGTTCAGGGGCTTTATCAAGGCGAAATAGACACTGCTTGATGATGCATTCACACGTGGGTGGCGACACCGACCGCTTTATTCCCATGCGTGTCGAGTCTCGCTCGGATCCAGCACACACGACATTCAAAGTCAGCAGCAGCATGGACAAGGCATCGAATGTATATGGTGGCGAAGGACGGTATTTTGTACACGACCGACTGTCAGCGGTCGTTCTTGCCCAGGGAGTGGCAGGTGCAAAGCAACAAGCCATGCGTTGGATGAGAACAAGGAAATCGTGCCGGGCCGCGGTGGTTGTTTCCACGACAGATCCATGGAGTGTGCAGGATTGTCGTGCGAATGTTGTGGGCTGAATCGTGGACCCCCGTTACGATGGTGCGGAAGCGCCACAGCACCCAGACAGGTTTACATGGACACTTGCACCCCCCGCGCGATATTGTCGTTGCGTTTCTGGTTGGCCGTGTACGTGTTGGACAGGGCAATGCAGCTTTCCAACGGCCCGTGCTTTGCCGCCAAGGAACGAAAAAAGGACCCTCGAGATGTCGTATGGCTGCATATCGTGGTATGCCGCGGGAGGCGCTTGTTCGGGACGAGGCCGCACGTCGCCGTCGTCGAGTGACCCGTCGCCAGATCAATAATATTGGCACAGCGGCATGGACATGAAGTTTATCTTCAAATTTGTAACGACCTGTCAGGTACTTTTTTGACATATATTTCAACTTCAAAAGCAGCAATCCATTGAGCCACCGCGTGCCATGCCGTCACCTTTTTATCACAGACACGGCTATCCACAGCTGGAGCGCCTACCTGGACACCCTGTCGATCCAGACGCAGCCTGGCTCGCACAGTTCTCGGCACAGCACCTTCGTCCGCACGATTCGCCGCCGTCGGCGACCTTGCGTGATGTGCGACAGACGGTGTTGGACTGCCTTCGACGCATTCGAGAGTGCAAGAATCTCCAAGAAGAGATGGACCGATTCGCAGCAACATTTCGCGCTGCAGACGACATCGACGCGGTGCTGCTCACACGTGCAGCACGAGCCAAGCTACAGTACGAACGTCGTCGCGCCACGCTCATCGACACGTTTGCCCAGTTGCGCACCCAGTACACTTTGTTCTTTGAGGACGAAGAACCCTTACGGCAGGTAACGTCCATGGCGAGGCGAGTCCGTCGGAAGAAGCAGTATCGCCGCCGAGCCAAGCAACAACGTCAAATCCATCGCTACGTGCTTGAAAGCATCACGAGGTGCACAGCCAGGCCATACTGGACATCAACTGATGCCTCTTTGTAGTACAACCCACGAAAGGCCAGCGCCTCCTCCGACGCCACACGAAGCCAGCGTGCCTTCTGTAATCCGCTGCTTCCTCTTATCACCACGTTAATTGTCGTGTAGGTGTCGGTTCGCATGCAGCTTGACAACACATGCAACATGTTGAAGTTGCTCCAGCAATTGAGAGCTGCCCGCGGTGATGACGGCGCCGACAACTTGACCGCAGTGGTCAAAGACTTCCTGGCCAGAGTGTCGCACACCCTCCACCCTCCATCAGCTTCATTTGGTCCAAATCGCTCGGCTGAATCAAATCCCCGACACACACAAACGCCGCTAGAGTCGTTGCCGACGAGTCCAGCGCGCCTCCACCATCCATTGAATGCGCATGAAATGACGATGGAGACCCTCGTGGGAGTCAGGTACATCTTGGATCGAGTCGTCAATCATGACCACGTGGTAGACGCGCATGGGACGCATACTTGAGCGGCCGCGGTGGCTCGCGCATTCCACCTGTACGACCGCCACAAATCTTTTCTGCCTGACTAGTTCGCGTAGCATTTTGTGGTCCCGCCAGCGCCATCGTCCAGAGACGCCTCGAGTCCATGGCACGCATATCTGACTCCTACCGAGCGCTCAACGTCAGAGCAAGCTGCATGAAAGGGCATCTTGGGAAGTTTCTCGATGGAAACTGAGGCCAGCATGTGGAGGTAGAGACACGTTGGAAGCGCACAAAGTGGTGTATGTAGTGGAATACATGAATTATCCGCGTGCGATCAAAGTTGGCACCGGTTGCAAATTCCGAGGTCCGACGACTCGGCATTACACAAGCACCGCAGTCCGTAGTTTGAGCGGCGCTGGCATGCCGTTGAGCACTACGTTCGTCAAAGTTGCGGCGAGTTAGGCCACGAAGGGCGGCACACGTTTCGATATTCGACGGCGTGGGAGCAATCCAGTCGCGAAGCTCACCTCGGCCGCTTTTCATGGCAGGCGAATCAAGTGACTGCAGGCTCGGTGCCGAGTCATCGAGATCTCATTGTGGTGTCTTCGAGTCGTCGTGTCGAAATGGCACCCGATGCTGAAAACGTCGACGAGGTGGTGGATTGTAGTAGCATGCAGCAGCATCCACGTAAAATGGCGGCAAGTACCAGAGTCAAATCGAGCACCGCCGACGTACTCATCTGGACTTGGTTGCATGGATTCATGTCGAAGCGAGTTGGGCGAGGAGGGTGCTCAGCTCGTCGGGGTCGTATCATTGCCCTTCTGCCCTGACTGAAAAATTCCTTGACCACTGCACCGGTGGCGCCATCAAGTCTACTCCACCACGCTCGGGATAAAAAGTGGAAGGTGCGGGCACTGATGCACATGTAGATTTATCCCAGCGCACTCGATCGTGGGACTAGCGGTACCGTGGCGGCGAGTCGTGATTTTCATGCAGTCGACGGGACCTGTACTTGACGGCAACCTCGTCATCGAATTCTCCACACTGAAACAACCTGAACCTGTGTGGTAGATAATCCGCACCGCCAACCAAGAAGGTCAACGTTTTTCCACGACGGTGGTGCCACGACCATGGGGTGCGCATTCTGTACAGTTGATGCATTGCAAAGCTCGTCGACGTGGAGTCGGTGCAAGGGCGACTTCATGTTGAAAGGTGCTAGAAAATCGTGTAGTCGTCGCCATTTGAACAAAACACGAGGGGCTGCTGGGAAAAGGATTGCTTAGCGGTAGACAGGGACGGTCGGTCCAGCCACGCCTTCGCGTACTTTGGACAGCGCGGATGCATCGTCCTGACAGTTTAGAGCCTTGGCAATGATATCGCAGACGACTTCCTGGCGGTTGTCCGAGCATGCCTTGCAACGGGCAAAGGCTGGCGCCTCCCGTCAGTAGTCCGCGTGGAGAAGAGGGAGCCTGAACATTTCGTACGGGCGTTGTCGTGACGGTACTCCATTGTCGGGCGTTTTGCATCGATCAATGCAGCTTTCCCCGCAACCATTCGCGTCAAAGTGGCGCAAGAGGCGTGGCACGAAGCGATGGTGGAGTTACATGGTGTTGATGCCGGTGGCTTGGCAGTGGGCACATGGTCGAGGGTGTTGCTCGAGGTATTCCACAATCTCGTCGTGGTGCATGGTCATTGCCCATTCGACGGCACGTGCAGCGCAGCCCTGAAATGCATGAACATCGAGGAACCGAATCACTTCGAGCTGGCCGGCCCAGGCTCCGATCGCGACAAGAGGAAAGTCGGTCATGTGCAGTTGGCTCGTGTCGACGAACCATTGAAGGACGCTCAGGCGGCCGCTGACGACGGCATCGAACAGCGCAACATTTCGCATCATGGGCAAGCTCGCAAAGAGGCGAGGAAGGCAGCACACGCCGTGGTCGACGTACCACATTGTCATGCCGTTCTGGACCACCTGAGAGTAAGTTCGTCCTGGTGGTGTGAGGGGGTGCGTCTGCACGAGCGGCTCGACCCAAAGTTCGAACCGATGCGCATCCGGGCAGTTTGCGTGCTGGAACACGGTGATATTCAACATGAGTGCCGGTTGCAAAAGGACGACAACGCTTGCATTATCGCGGTGACTCGGAGGAGTGCGGCCACGCGGCGTCGTTGAGCCATCGTCGGAAGACATTGCCATCATAAGCGCGGCGGTGGTCGCGCACGCCAATTCCTCAGCCGGCGTCGTGTCGCTGTTCGGGCAACCACCTGGCCTTGTAGGAGCCGATGACTTTCCACTCCTCAGCAAGATTGCTATCGAGTCGAGAGTGATCTGGACCGACCAACCGTACTTACGGGGACATCACTCTGGCAGGGAAAAGTTGCGAGGTTGAAAATCCACTGTCCACAGAGAGAATAGTTTGCCAGGAGGGCGGCTTCGTGAGAATGCCAACACAACGCCGACGGGCATCCCGTCAAGTACCCGGCGATTTCGAGACGCGCGGGGGAAGGTGAGCGGGGCGGCAGTACTAGCTGAATCGAGCAAAACCACCAAATAATGGACCTGCTTATGCCAAGATTGGGTCGACCCCAAAGACGGAGGTGTGGAGTCCATCACACACACTTGTAGGTCGTTAGGTCGATGGGAGTCTCGATGTAGCCTGAAGCGTTCGTATTGCCGTCCATTCAGAAATGCGTCGAATTCATTCACGGGGGCTCCGTCACGTTTCAGGATGCAGAGTGGCGTTGTTGTCAGGAGTCGTTGAGTTTTAGAGTTCGAATCACACGCCAGAAGCGAGTGCTTGGAATATCCCGCGGGTTTCCGCCTCGCACGATCGTCGCAGGCGGGGCCACGATTACCTTTGTGAAGCAAATCCAGAACGAATGCCTCGAGAACTTCCCTTATTCGATTTACATTCACTTGTCAGGTGTGTCCGTCCTTTCACGTCACACATTACGAGTTCTCGACGCTCCAGTTGGGTCAAGACTGGCGCTAGTCGTGATGTCGTAGATAGGTAGGCTTGCGCCACCGCAAGCAGCGTGTCAGGGTCGCATGGCATTTCTTTTACGCTCTGAACATGATTCGCATCGTGCATCTACAAAATCGTACTTACGACGAATACGCATCAACTAAGGGAATTCCCGACAGTTACCTTGTTTACGAACTGCTGGACACATGGTGTGGACCGGTGGCTCGAGTGGGCGATTCGGATCACGCTGGGGCATGCAGACGATGGTGGTAGTACTGGAGGCAGGGAGCCGTGTGGACGGAGGGGCTTGCCATGGCGACGAACGGCATAGTTGTCAACTGTCGTTGGTTTGTGTCTCACCTTCACTCCTCTCGCCGCGTCAAGAATTTCATCTCAGGGTCCAAGTTGGTGGCAGTGGAATATCCACGCCGTCCTGCATGTCTTTGCCGTCGGCTATCGCTCGAAGGCCAAGACCAAGCTGTCAAACGTTCCGACGAGCGAGATGTGGTGGCAATTATCCGAAGTCACCGCCTACCTGATCGAGATTCGATGTCTGCCACTACACGAGCCACCATCATCAAGGTCCAGCAGTGCTGCGTTTCCTTCTGTGACCATCGCGAATGTCCTCAATTGTGATTCGCATCGTTTTCACACGTGCCCCGGTGGACACGAGTTTTTGCATTCAACTGTCACCGCTACCTTGGGCAAGGCCCGGCAGGCAATGTCGAAATTGGATATCAAACCCAGCTCACGAGGCTCGTGGCTTGCGTGTTCACCTGGGAAGAGAAGGATCGGTGCTTTGACCGACTATGCGTTGTTCGAACGATTCAGAGCGAGCGCGGCCGCGATACGTATTGACTTCCCACGAGGGGGTCGGGAATAGACTGTTTCGAGATGCCTTCTGGCCGCTTGGACTGCTTGAAGAGTAGTTTTGAGACGCTGCAGCGACCCGTTGTCCCCTGTTCGAAATGACGGACAAGATTGATGACTCCAGCAATCTTGTCCGAATGTACCCAAGGAATCGCAGGCCCGCACGATTCACGCACGCGTGACAACGTAACACGATATCAACTACACCAAGAATGCAACCACCCCAAGGCACGTGGAGCAAAGCTCACACGTACCTGTGTTCCTCTAGTGCCCTGCGCACACGCGCCTCTGGGAAAGCCCGCTCAACCTTTACGACTTTATACTTCAACAGCACAAGCCGCAAGCCCAGGCCGTCGAATATGGCCGTACCCACCAAACCCTTGCTTGACGACATACGTGCTCCCTTTCAGTACATGCACGCCGTGCTTTTGCTCGCCGTGTCCAGGTGTCGACTACTGTGGTGTATTCGTATCGCCTGCGTTGATGCGGTCCATCTTCTCGGACAAACTTCGTTGCCAAGCGCTCCTGATGCCACGTCATGTACGTACACGTACAGCACACTATTTGAAATTCCAACGGAAATAGTGTACATTGTATGCGGATCCGGATACTGTGGCTGGCTGTGGTTGGTTGGGTGATGCGACCAATGACTTGGCCGGGTCGGCAATAACCAACCAGAACAAATCTTCGGGTCACCTCCGCGCCGCCGCCATGTCATCCTCGTTGAAACTCGCGGCGTTCAGTCCGTGCCAGAGCTTCTTTGTATCGATCTCTGAGGATAACCGCGTCAAAGTCTGGGACGTTGTACGTGTGTTGCTACTATCTGTGCGCACGTGTGACGCGCAGCTGACACTTTAGGCGACGGGCTCGCTACGACAAGAATTGAAAGAGCGCGACCACTTGAAGTACAAATACACGACACTCGCGTGGACGAAAGCATCGCCTTGGGCCACCACCGGTGCGTCCAAGAAAGGCAACAAGCGCTCTGCCACAAGTGACCTCGGCGTGCTCGCGCTGGGCACGACAACCGGCGCGATTGTCGTCTGGAACTTGGAAAAGGGCGAAGTCGGCGCTCGTTTAGCTCGTGAAACGGTAGGGTGTTGATGCGGTCAGATTATTGATCGCCTCATGCGTTGCTTTCCCACTGGCAGAGCGAAAACGGCCATGCTGCCGCCGTCACGGATCTCGTCTTCACGTCGACGGGCGCGACATTGTTCTCGTCGTCCAGTGAGAAGAACGTGCTGGAGTGGAACGTCAAGGACGCCACCGTCACGCGCAAGTTCAAAGTCGGATCGGAAGGCGTCTCCAAGCTCGCGTTGTCGAAATCGGACGACCTGTTGGCCGTTGGTAACAGCAACATTAAGCTGTTCGACGTCGCGTCGGGAAAAAAGAGCAGCAAACTTACGTCCGGCCATGCCACGGCCGTGGCCCACATGGCCTTTTCCGACTGCTCGCGGTATTTGTTTTCGTCGACGGGCGAGCGCTTTGTCAACGTTTTCGACGTGTCGTCGGACTCGGTCGACCCGCTTTTCAATTTCTCCGCTGACACGAGGTGCGCGATCTCTCCAAGTCTTGACTCATCGATTCCATTTCGTGAACGCAGCGTCTCGACGTTGGCGGTGCGTGTAAACGTGGCCAAGAAGGCCAAGCAATCGTTGGCCTCAGTCGCGTCCGTCGCCGACAACGGAGCTGTATTTGTGTGGCAACATGCAATGACTACGTCGGCCAAGCCCGTTCTTCCGGCGACACAAATCACGTCGTCGGCTGGTGTTGTGATGGCGGTCTTCTCGGCGGACGACGCGGGTGCGCTCGTTGTTGCCCGTGGGTCCATCCACAAGCCGCACTTTGAAACTGTGCCGTTTCTAAAGGACGGCTCGATTCAGTCGGCATCCATTATGCTGACTGCGCTCGATACGTCGTCGCTGCTTGTGTCGAAAAAGGTGAGCGCGCTCTTGTGGTGGATTCGTGTGCGAGTGTGTGAATTGTCGATTCGCGTAGAGCAAGGTCGAAAAGGTTACGGACAAAACGACCGAAGCGCATGTCCCGACTCTGGTCGAGCGCGGCACGGCCAAGGCGTCCACGATGGGCGATGCCACCGTCGCTGCCGACGACGACGATGAAAATGGCGACGGAACCGAGGATGACGACGACGTCACGCTGGAAGATCGCTTGCAAATGCTTCGTGACAACATCGACGACAACGACGACGAAGACGATGCGCTGACGACTGCGACTACCCGCACAACAACGTTGAGCCGCGCCAAGGCTCAGGCGTCGTCGACGTCGCTCGTCAGCGTGCTGGAGCAAGCGCTGCAATCCAAGGACAACGCGCTCCTTGAACACTGCCTCCGCGTGCACGACGCCAAGGTGATCGACGAAACGTGCCGTCGGCTCAACACGACGCGGGTGTTTCCATTTTTGCTCTTGCTCGTGGAAAAATTTGAAAAGCGGCCGACGCGCGGCGCGACCATGTGCCAATGGATCAAGTTCCTCATGCTTAACCACACGGCGTACCTCATGACCGTGCCCGACGTGATCGACAAGCTCAGCACATTGTACCAGTCGCTGGACGCCCGCGTCAAGGTGTTTCCTCAGCTGCACAAACTGTCGGGCCGGTTGAATCTGGTCCTGGGCCAGATTGCCGGCCGATCCAACGTCGAAGTCGTCGACGACGCGCCGGACGTTGTGTACAACGAAGACGAAGACAACGACGATGGCGGAGACGAAGATGAAGATGGCGACGAAGACATTGACCAAGAGGATGAAGATGACGACGAAGAAGACGACGAGTAAACCGATAGATTATAATAGCTAACACACGTATTATGGCACAGTGCAGTCGTGACGAGAATGCCGGGGCGGCATCGTGCAGAAGCGCTCGTTTAAACGCTCGGGCCGAAGCACGGACAGCGCATGCAGGATACGACGTAACAACGTTCGATTGAGTTAGACAAGAGGGGTGTACTCTTCCGACGACTTGCGTGACAGGGCGAATGCAGCCACGAGCGCCGTGCCCACAATACCCACCGCAGCGCCAACCCAAAACGACTCGTTACCCTGCGCCGCCACTGCCGTCGCCTGTGCCGTCACACCAGCCAACGGATCCACTCCACCATGGAGCAAACTCTCCACGACAGAGCGAGGGGGGATATCCATGGAATGGACGTCCGATGCCAACGCGGCACCCGTCACATCCACGTGCCACTCGCCGTAATTCACGCTCAACGCCCGACGGTTGGAGGCGTCGCCAAAGTCGATCTTGGTCAAGTCCATGCTGCGAAGAACTTGGTTCTCGTTCGAGCGAAAGTATAGCACCCGTGCCTTGTGGTCGCGCACTAGGGTGTACTGAGTGGCTTCGCCGAAGTCAATGAACGGAGCTGGGATCGTGACCGTGTTGATAATGTGTACGGCAGCCGAGATGGCTGCCTGGTCTGGCGTGGCAATGCTGTAGCTCGTGTTGGGCAAAAACTTGGTCGCGCCGTGGCGATTCAAGAACGTCAGGCGTTGAAAGCGCTCGGTGGGAGAGTACCCGCCTGAAAACGTAAAGTCGTTCGTGCCTGCTGCCTCGTCGTGGGCGGCTACGAGCTCCAGCTGCTCGAGAAACGGCGGGTCGTTCGTCAGGACACCAGCCGGGTTGTCGTACACGTTGACAGTCCCGTTGAGGAATTCGATCACAATCGACTTGCCGGACGCGTCGTGGATGGGCAAGTGCAATGGAAACTTGTCGAACGTCGTGAGGCCAGGAGTCGTCAGGGCCTGCAGCCTGCCGTCAAAGGCAGACAGTTGAATCTCCGGCAAGCCGGCTTTGACTTCGTCGACAGTTGCGTAGTTGCCGAGAATGTACGTAACGAACGACGAGATGATCGGATGGGTCGACGCTTGAGCAATGTCCACCTTGGGATAGTCGGACCCGACAAGAAAGAGGAATCCAGCGGACAGGCCCTCTTCATTGAGACCGTCGGCGGCAGCGTTGATGCCTAACGTGTTAAGGCCCACGTAGCCGTACTTGGTGCGCCACGCGTAGTCGGGGCAATCCGGACAGCCGTCAACGATGAGTTCTTGGATGACCGTGTTGCGTGGAACGATCTCGACGAGGCTGCGGAGGTCGATCTTGAAGTCCATCGTCCGCGCCGACACGACATGCGTCGTCGAGTTTAAGAGAAAGTCGCTGCAGCCATGGACAAGCGTCGCGCAGAACGCCAGGAAGAGCTTGGGGCTGGTCACCATATGAAGGTCAAACGAGTTGTGGCACTCACGGAGCACGCCAGACTGACAAATCCAACAATAGAGAGAATCCATTGGGTAATATAATGAATATTAGCCAATCATAATTTGCTAAGAATGTGGGTAGAGAAGAAGAATGTGCTTCGTTTGACATGGTCACGCTGAAGTGGGATGGCCGTGTGGGGCTATGCCAGACGACGGACCATGCGCGAGAAAGTGGCTGCAAAATGCTGACAAAGGTTTGGGGACGCCATCAACCGTCGAGCGCTGAGAGAATCGATTCGTGCGTGGCACGTAGACGACCTGGCGGCCGTCGCGGTGGAATCATCTGCCAACTGCATGACGTTGCCTCAGACGTTGAACGGATGTTGCGATGGAGGACCTTTGTCTGGGCAATGACGACAACCACAATTGCTCTATCTGTTCTAGACTGGCCTTACTGGAGGTGTGTGAGGCGCTAATGTCGTGGATGGAATGGCACGTTGATAGCATTGAACCAAATGTTAACCCACTCACCTGTTCCAATGTCGAGTACATTCGGCAAAATCGGGTGCGCACGAAAGAATCCCATCGACCGATGCCATTGCGACATCCTGCAAATGTTTCGTCCAGTTTGCCGCCCTCAGCCGCGACGTGAACTTGCAAACCCTCGCAGACCTGGACACGCGCGCGAGGCGGGGCCACAAGTCACAGGGGACCATGTCCCGTACGTCGACGCGTTTCTTGATGAACACAGCAGACGTTCGCAGCTACCCCGGCCAATTCGACATCCCCCTCGACAACTACCTCAACGTCGAGTCCAAAAGATGCCCAAAGTTTTGACTCTTTTTGCACTGCATCCCACGGATGTCAAGCCTATTCAAGCACCAATGGAAGCGTAATAATGGCGACAACACAAACGGTCCATCACAATCTTAACATCACGTTTGCCTGGCCGACGCGCCGCTGCGCTTCTTCGCCTTGAGCACAGCCAGGTCTGGAAACACTCTGTGCAAGACGACGTCGATCAAGGAAAAGACCAAGTTCTTGACGATCACTTCGTGCTGCAAAAACTCAAATAGCTACAAGTCGACACAGTGTGAAGACGCGCTCCAACGAATGCGCCACAGGGTCGTCGTACTTTTAGGCATCCATGGCGCGTGGACCTTTCCCCGAGCAACGAAACGAACGCGGGTGGGCAACTGCGCAAGAGCGCCGATCGACACTGGCGAGCTTGGTTGAGGATCGTGGTGGGGGTCGCTGGCGCACTATGTCGAACGTACACGCCATCGGTGGGAATCGCGGCGGCGCGCAAGTCACACAGCGCGCTGGCAATTCGCTTCGGATGCGTCCACTCGCCAAACTGAGCCTCCACGATGCGATGGCATGTGGCGTTGAACGACACGCGAATGAACGTCCGTGTGACGGAGAGGAGCCTGCGCCGCATGCGGCTCATGTCGTCCAGCTCAAACATTTCGTCCATCACTTTGAATGCATGGATTTCGAGCTTCTAACCAAGGAACGAGCGTAACGACAAAGACACCGACGAGCCATGGTTCTCTTTCGAGGAAGGGGATGTCCACCTGGAGAAGCACCTGGCCTTGACGGGCCGACTGGTGACGCAGCTTCGACAGCAAGTCCGCTTTCGTGCCTGCAGCGGGGGACCCTACACACAGCAAGGATCGACCGGTGGCGGCGCGAGTTGACAGTGACCAAGACGGACCTGAAGCGAGGTCCAAGAGGAATTGTTGCACATCGGGGGATTGGCACAGGGTGCCGTCCTTCAAAATGTAGTCCAGGACGCGATTCACGGCACTCTCGTCCGATTCGTGAGGATGCTGTCGAGTCGAACTGAGTGTCAGCGGATGACGCGCGCATGGTCGATTCCCACGCACCATTCGAGCTTGCAACGACCGGACGGTGGATGTAGCGGTGCCTGCGTCGGGCTGGTGGCAAGTCACCAGGGCAACAAGGGCGTCGATCTCCGCCTTGGTCTTGCGACCCGTCCAAGCTAGACCGTCGCCGGAAGTTACGTGAATGTCAAACAGGACGGTCGCGGCCTCGGGTACACGCGTCGCTCGAGCTGTCAGCCGCAGTCGGAGCTGCGCCGCGTGTGTCTCGTAGCAAGTGGCACAGACCCGAACTTGTTTCGCCGATTCGTCCATCACGCACTGGTTGCTACATGAAAAGCACGCCATCTCGGAACAGCGAGGACATGTCAAGCAGGTGCTGGCTCCTTCCACGGACCGACGACACAATCGGCAGCAAGCAGTCCCCTGTGCGGTGGACTGAACAGGACTCACATCTGCGAGCCGTCGACTCGACGTCGTTGGCTTTTCTTTGTCCTGGTTGGAACTGGCAGATTGGTCGACCGACCCGTCGTGGAGGAGGTGGCTCACAGGGACAATCACAAAAGGTAAAGTTTTGCGGTGACGGAGCCACTTGCGCCGCCGCACACAGTCTAGCCGGCTTTCCTTGGCGTGGAACCCGACGTTCTTGGACGTCTTCGAATACAACCAGCCTCTGTTGTTGTCCCTGGCGGGGGGATCTCGTCCCAGCGGTGATGCGTTATCATCGCTGTCGCCGCCGTCCGTGTCGGCTTCCGGGTGCCCTTCCAGAGTCCATGGACCGTCCCACACCCACTCTGAGGTTGGCAGCCGCTCGTCATCTCGCTTTCGCTTGTCCGACGATTTTGTCCAGCCCTGCAGTGGCAAGTATCGCTCGCTCTCCCACGCCTCTTCTACGACGCACGTCACTCCAAATGGATGGTTCTCGATCGTTTGGAGATTGTTGGACAGTGTGAGCCGATCGTGGCCCAACGTTTGGAGGTGCAGCGTGATGCGGAACCCGTTGAGGCGAAACAGTGATGCCAACAGGTCCGAGCGGAGCTCCTTGTCGCGCAGCACCGCGTATGGCTCGTAAAACACATTCGTGACGGATGCGTCCACGGCCATCGCGGTAAAGTATTCCCACAACTCGCCTTCCTCCAGTGCCAATAGAAGCCACTGCACCCCGCGCGGTGAAAAGTGCCCATCACTCGCCCGCGGCGCCGGCAACGACTGAACTAACTTCACCCGATCGTTCCAAAACGACGTTTGCGCGCGGCGTTGCCTGAGGTATGTCCAGTACGACTCGTCGACCGTCGGCAGCGTCGGAGAAGCCGCCGTCGTGGGGGACGCTGGGTCAGCTCCGTTGTAGCCAAAGAGGAGCACTTCTTCCAGTGACGACACCAGTCCATGGAGCTCCCGCGTCCGGCCACTGGATAGGAGGAGCTTGGGATCTAGCGCCAAGTACAACCGAATGGCATGATCTACCTGTTGCACGATATCGCGTCCTATGGACGGCTGCAGGTGCGATGGCGCGATTTCGCTGCCGATGTCGCTGCATTTGCTCAGCTCGGTCACGTCCAAGGCAGACATGGAGCTCGTCGACCTGTCGCTGGTCGCGCGACTCGTCCGCCGTTTCGAGAACCGGGCTTTCATTGTCGCAGACACGTCCAAGATGGACCGAGTCTTCCTGTGCTTGGGTTTCAGAGGCAGCGGGGGCTTATCCGTGGCCACGATTCCAGACGTGCCTGACACCTCCACGGCAGGAGCCAAGGGAAGCAGCTGTGGCCCCGATTCGGGCGAGTCCAGTTCCTCCATGAGGGACACCAACTGGCTCACGAGTTGATCATCGTCGTACGTGCAACATGTCGCGCGCGACGCCGTGTACGAGTTGAGCGGGCGCTTGGCTTTGGTGTCGAGTTCAAGTTCTCGGACGTGAAACGGAGCCAGGAGCGAAGTTACCAGTGGGTTCAAGTGCTCGGGGTTACAATATGCCACGAGCGGCCCCAGGACACACCGGGCAAGGATTTCGCTCGTAAAGTGCCACGCCATGTACGAGAACGACACAAACGACCGTTGAATGTTGCACCTGTCGTCAAAGTCGGGTCGCAATACCGCGAGGAGCTGGGTCGAGAGCTGCTTGAGGTAGTCCGGGGTGTCAATTGCGCCATGGTGGAGCTTCGGGGGCTCGTGTGCGGCCACCGCGTCGAGCACCAACCGTCGTCGGCGCGCCAAACTCGCATCCGAATCGTCGCCAAACGCGTGGGGGTGTTTTTCGCACAGCTCGGCGTACAGCTCGCGAAACCACGCCAGGTGTAACTGGACGACCTGGAGCCCTTCCGTGGCCGTGCTTAGCGTTCCATGCAGGTCAAACGTGCGCTGGATTCGGATGCAAAGGCCGCCAAGAATGTCGCACAAGACCAACTTGACCGACGACCCGAACAAGTCGTCCGATGTGAAGGATTTGTACCAGAACGTGACAAAGTCTGCGACGACGATGTTGACGAGTGTCCCCAGCTCATCCGCCACGCTCTTGTCGAGGCCGTAGGACGCGTGTAGGTAGGCCGACGGGGGCACACGACGTATCGCGTCGGGGCGAAATCCAACATGCAATAGCTTGGCTGCGAACGACGACGACGGGTTGCTCCCGTGGCGCCCATAATAAAACGCAGCCGCCGCGGGCGACAACAGCGACGAGTGGGCGATCTGCGACATCTCCATCACCGATTGCCCGGCTGCCAGCGCCAAGAACGTAAGCAATGCCACCGCGACGCTGGCCGCCCCGCTTACAACACTTGGCAAAACATACCACGCCACGGCGCACACAGCAATGAACACTGCGCTCTTCGAATGCACCATCCCCGCGTGCACACCACCAACGACGACGACCCAGGCCAACCTGATGGCGGCGGTTTTCGTGGCGCTTCGTTTCACTGCACCTGACTCGGTTCTCGTGCCGTTATGCAACCAAGGGGCATGACAGGGGCGACCAAAATAGCCCCACAAGCACAAAACGGATCCGGGCGTGCGACCATGGCATCGATCCCGCGAGGCGAAGAGTGGGGGGTGGCGTCGCCGCTGCCTTCTTCAACGAACGACACGGACGACCCGAACGGTCAGTTGGATGAGCGTGACAACGACGACGATGACGGGAGCGGTGACGACGACGAGAGTGGCGATGACGACGAGCCCGAAGGCGACGACGAACAGACGATCGTCGACATGGGGCGACACAAGCGCATGCAGCGCATTCAAAAGGTGCTGTACGACCAGTTGGTCGGCAACGACACGCAGATCGCGCTCGAGTTGCGGGAGAAGGAAGAGGAGCTTCGTCGGGCCAAGACCAAGCGGGAGGATTTGGGCGTCGAGCTGTATGGGGTGCAGCAGCAGCTTGCGCAGCTCCAAATGGCGCTGGAAGGTGCACACAACAAGCTGAACGAAACCCACGACAACCGGTTCAAGGCCGAGGACAACTTGGACGAGGTCAAGGAAGAGTACAAAAAGAAGAAAGGGGTCGTCGAGAAGAGCCGAGTGCAGCTGCACAAGGCGCAAGTTGAGCTCGACGCGCTCAACCAAACGCTACGGCAAGTTGAAGCGTACAACGACGAGATGAAGTCCGAGATCGCGCGGAGCCAGCGGGCGGCCCACAAGGCCGAGGAAACCGTGACCAACTTGGAGAAGCAGAAGAAGAAGCAGGACTTGTACATTGACAAGCTGACGGAGGAAGTCAAGGCGCTCAAGGAGAACATTCAGCTGTACGGGGCGCAGCTGAAGGTGCAAGCGCAGGAAACGGAGGCGGCGGAGGACACGCTCAAGGAAGCGGCCAAGCAAATGGAAGCCACCGCGTTTGAGAAAAAGCAGCTCATGCAGCAATGGAAGAGTTCGTTGATTGGTATGCAGCAGCGCGATCAAGCGCTCGTGGCCACCCAAACCGCCATCAATGCCGTCAACGAGGAGGAACTTGCAGTCGCATCCGAAATTCGCGGCTACAAAACGTCGATGGAAAAGGCGCAAGCAGTCAGCGAAACGCTAACAGGGACCATCGATCGCTTCGACTCGGAAAATCGCTACGTTGAGGAGCAACTCGGTGGGATTCAGCAGGACATGGACAAGCTGTCGGAGCGGTACGCGTAGTCCGTTCCTGTTGTCGTCATCGGGCCGATCGCTCACGATTCGGCCATGTTGCTGACGTAGATACGACATGCTGCAAAAGAGCTTGAAGCAAACGGATGCGCAAGTCGAGAAAGTCGTTCAAGAGGCCAAGAAACTCGACGTTGAGACGGCCAGTGTGATGCAAAACTTGGAAACGGTCCAGAAGGAGCGCCATGCACTGGAAGACGCGATTCAAGCGCAAAAGAACACGCAGACCACGATGAACAAGGCGGCCAACAACCTGGTGAAAGAAACGCAGAAAATCCAAACGGCGATCCATGAAAAGGAAATTTTGTACGCCAACATCAAGAACGAAATGGCGCGTGTCAACGTCGACATCCTCAACGTTCAAGCCCACACGGCGCAACTAAAGGACACCCACGATAAAATCGTGTCAGACCTGAAGGCCAAGGACTTGGCCGTCGAGCAGACCGAGCTCGAGATTCGCCAGCGCAACGACGAAATCGAAAAGAAGGTTGGCATGCCGTCGTGTTGCAAGTGTTTGTGGCTCACCGTGTGCGAATGGAGTAGATGCTTCGCCTCGACCGACTCAACAAAAAGTACGAGCAGCTCGTGTCCAATATGGTGGACGAAAACACGGGGCCGCTGGAGGCCACGATCAAGAACATCAAGAAGGAAACTCTGGTCAAGAAGAAGGAGAATGTCGACAAGCAGCGCGAGTGGCTCCAACTCCAGACGTCGCTGGTGCACCTGACGGCCGAAAGTGAGGACATTGGTGAAACGAACCAAGAGCTCAAGAGCAAAACGAGCATCCTTGAGCAAAAGCAGCTGCGACTCGTCAACGAGTTTAACAATTTTCAAGTCGAAGTCAAGGAACTCAAGGGGGGCATTGCCGCCATGCACATCGACACGGTCAAGTTGAACGAGCTCATTTCCCGGAATCGCGACAAGCAGGAAGCCCTGGCCAACATCAACTACAGTTTGGAGCTCGAATTCAAGCGCGAGCTGAAAGAACTTGAGGCTGAGTCGATCGCAATGGAAGCGCAGGCGAGTGCCATTAAACAGGAAAAGCAGACGCTGCTCGACCAGATCATCGAAGTTGAACGTCAAATCATGCTGTGGGAGAAGAAGATTCAAATCGAGAAGGAAACCCAAGCCGCGTTGGACCCAGAAGTTGGTCAAGCTGAAGCAAAGAACATGGAACGCGAGATCCATCGCATGCGGCTGCGGCTGGAAGCGCTCGAGCGGGACCAGGAGCGGATGATTTTTGAAATGGAGCGGGCCATCCACAAGGTAACCATTTCCACCGGGCATATATCAATGTTAATTCCTTGCCCTTGCAACAGAGAGATGCAATCGCGATGCGCGGCCGAGGCAAGAAGGAGTCGGACATGACCCAGGCGTCGCTGTTGAGCAAGGTCGCGACTTTGCAAAACAAAGCGCGCCAAGCCGCGAAGGAAACAGCGGCGCTGGAAAAATCCATCAAGCAAAAGAGCATCCAGAGTGAAGACATTTCGTTCCAAATGGACAAAATCAGCCAGGATCTCAAAACCCAGGAAGACCGAGCAGCGACGCTGCAGCGCTCAATCAACCAAGCGCTGTACGAAAAGCAACGGTGCATTGACACGGAAGCCCGTAAACAGCGCTTGATGAAAAAATGGGACCAAATTTGCCAAGGTAAAGGATTCGATCCCGCCGACGAAGAAAAGATCCACTTCGACAAAGAGAAAGCGATCAACGACACCAAGAAGATCCGAGACATGATCGAGTCACTGCAACACCAGCATCCGCACTTGAAGGAAGTCCTTACGCGGGTCGCGTTGTTGGCTGAATCGTAGCATGACGACGTCACTGGTCGTGTTTTGTGCAGGAAAGGTCAGGTTTCAATATTTCGTTTCCTCGCGTTACAAGATGCCTTCAGCAAGTTAGCCAATGGGGGCCGGTAAAACTGTGTTGGATTGTAACTTTGAGCCAATCATTAGGAAACGAATTCAAACGCGTTGCATCTTATACAAAAAAATTGTTTCTTATTACACGGCAGCCCTAATGGTCTAGTGGTATGATTCCTGCTTTGGGTGCAGGAGGTCCCGGTTTCGATCACCGGTTGGGGCCATCTTTTTCCAATCTCTCGCAGAGATTTTTGCCAAGAGATTTTCGCCAAGATTGGCTGTGCCGCATGACTGACCTCGATGACTTCACGTCGCCAATGCCTTTGAAGGCAGGCATGACGGACTTGTCGGGAGACGACGACGACGTTCGTGTACCTGTGGCAGCAATTAGTGAAAGCGATATGGGCAGGCGCACGATGTCACGTCGGTTGCGCCTCCCCGACAACGTGCCAGGGGTGGCAACGTCGCCCCGCCGTCGATTCAAGCTTCCTGGTATCACGTTCCGACGACGCCGTGATGGCGAGAAGGACAAGGACGAAGTGTTTTGGAACGCTGTCATGGTTCTGAGTGTCCTCTCGCTTGGCGTCTTGACCGCGATTGCATTCGTGTTGGCGCAGACTGAGTTTTTCATCACGCATCAAGTCGACTTGCTCGGCGTGTCGATCGACAAGATCTTTTCCGTCGTGTCCGAGGAGAAGACCACCATCTTCTTGCACAACACAGGTGATTGTGTCCATCTGGTCGACATAGTTGTTGGCAGAGGAGCTGTCGGCGTGGTGTGTTGTAGGCCACTTGCCTGGAAAAGCGATTTTGAACTACGAGGACCATGTCCTCACGCTTGGCCGGGTCAAAGCAGCCGCCGAGGAAGAGCTTCCGTACTACGGCCTGAGCATCCATCACAACGGCACGGTTGGACTTACCAACGAACTGCGAGGTACGCCGTCGTGCGGTCGCCAATCGATCTCGTCTGAGCCTTTGTAAAGTTTATCGTTTCACTCTTTGACAGCGCCCAACATCGAAGCTACGACGGTGCACGCAGATAGCGTGATCTTTCTTGATGGAACGACGATGACGACCGCCGCCGACATCAGCGGCGGCCTTCTCCAAGAGGGGGACCTGAATTTTGCGTCGCAGAAAGGGTCGATTGTGGCAGCCACGAGCGGAAAACAGCGCTTTCTCGTCAACGCGGACGGCCTCGTGATCGTGCCAAACCCTGATGCAACTCCTCCCGACGACCCCAACAAAGTCGGCATTGTGCTGGATGGGCAGCGCAATCGGATGCGTTTTGGAGACCACCTCGACATCTTTGCGGACAAGACGACTGCGGGAATGACGTCGACGGCCGCCGCATTTGCTCTTGCTGCGAGTAGGGCATCCTTTCGTGACGTGGTCCAAGCGCTGGAGTTGTCACAATGCTGCTGTGGATAGACGACATAGCTGTGGGTCGCGACGGCACCGAACGCGTTCGACTGACCTGTCCTGCCGTCGACAAGGTATCGTTCGGAAAGCCCATGCGGCTGGAAGTTGTCGGACAATTCGCCAAATCCGGACCCGGTGGGGACGTCGTCGTGGCTGGCGGGGACGGCGCTGGGTCCGGTGGAGACCTTTGGCTCATGGGGGGACAAACTGCAGCGCCACGGACCGACTCGGCGACCCACCTTGGTTCTGTTTTCATCAACTCTCCTGCCACGGACAGCGGCGTCGTGATTGCCGCGACGTCCATTGGGTCCAACGTGTCCACGAATGTGGTGTCGTTGCAAGGGACAATTCAGCTGAACGCGCAGAGCATGGACCTTCCCGTGGAAGTGGGGGGGAACGTGTCGGTCCGCGGATCAGCGCTCACCGTGACGAGTTCCTCGATTGCCCTTGGCGTTCCGTCGACCGAGACGATCCAAGTCGAGGCAAAACGTGTGGATGTGACGGCGCCACGTGTGGCGATCCAAGGCGGCGTCGTTCAAGTCACGCGCGCCAGTGATTTCGTCGTCAACGTGACGGCGGGAGTGTCCATGGTGAGTCCCGTAGCGAATGTGACGACCAAGACAGTGTCAGTTCATGCAGGTGTGTTGTCCCTGCCGCCGTTCGAGTTGTACGCAGTCGACACATTGGTGTAGACGACGCCATGTGGACGACTCGGTCGACGCTCTGGCACTCGAACGAGACCTTTCAGGTCACGGGGCAGTCCATCCGCCTTGGCGCGCACAGCACGACGATCACCTCCACGGACGATGCCAATGGCACCACGTCCCTCGGGGGAACTACTGTCCACGTTGGAGATACCCAGCTGACGAGAGAAGTCCATATACACACGGCTCAAGCGCTTGCCACCCACGTGAATGGAACGACGTTGACCATGGCCCAAACAAGCGACAATGCCATCTCGATCACGTCAGCGTCGGGCTTGGTCGTTGGCGATGCCGGTAAGGTTTGCTTTCGATTGAACAGAGTTGGGAGTGCTGTGGTGGAATCGCGGAACGATGTCTCACGCGGGTGAATACACACGCAGAGAGCGCGACACAGATCCGTGGCAAGTCTGTCCACGTGGCCGCCACCGACCTCCACATTGGCAGCCCGTCGTCCACGGTGAACATGGAAGGTATTCACACTGCACCACTTTCATGGCTGTTTTCGTCAGCGCATTCGCTCGAGCGTAGGCACTGTCACGTTGAACGGAAAGCCATGGCCGGCGGCGAGTGGCACGCCAGCCACACGTCGATTGAACGAAGTTGAATGGATGTTGCAAGCACATGGACACACTCGAACCAAGCAAGTTCGCCTCATGGAGGCGTTTTTGCTTGGGTTTGATACGATCGAGACCGTATCGCCGCACGACGCGCCTGTTGAGGTGGAGCCGCTGCGACATGCCGACGAAGTGATCACGCTGGGCAACCTGCCCACGTCTGGTCGCTTGGAGTTCGACTTGACCGTGCATGGATTTCGAGCAGAGATGGCCGCCATCACGAACGCCGACTCGATGCTCATTCGGTGCGTTCCCCTAGCTGCTGTCATCCACATTGTTGCTGAGCTAGTCGTGTGTGGGATCTAGGTGCCAAGTGGTGCGGCATGCCGACACCACGAATCATGACGTTGTGGTCGAAGCATCGGTCGATGTCGACGTGTGTCCGTTCGAGTGGCGATGCCTCGACGACACGGACGCTATCGCACCGACATTGCATGGCCGCTCCATTGTTGCGCTCACCCAACGTGATTCTAACGTGCCAGCTACGTATTCTGCAGTGTGCGCTTCAAGGTTGCGCCGACGGCGCCACCAAGACTCGACTGCTGCCGTGCACGTGTCGTTTGATCGCGTGGCGCTCAACGTACGACGAGTTGTCTAGCGTCGTAGGTGTTAATTATCCGAGTTGTTTTCTTGCTCGACGGCGTCGGTGAGGACTGCGACGACAGTGCCAGCTTTGTCTTGAATCCCCCCATGGTCTGCAAAACATGCCATCGCCGCTTCGCACACTTCAACGGCGCCTACGCACGAAATCGAATCGTCGGAATGGACCCATGCCCAACACACTGCCGACCTTCCTGTTTCGCAAACGCTTGGACAGACTCGAGGCCCGCGACGAGATTGAGCAATGCCCAGCTGCCGTAGTACTGCACCGCTGCGTCGGCGTGGCAATTGAGCATGGCCGCGACGATGCCGCCGACGCCACCGCGCGCCGCGATGTGTTCGCACATAAAGTCTACGTGATTTCCATGTGGATAAAACAGATTCAAAACACACAGGCGACTTATTCACCTGACCCAGCCAAGCTTATGAGCGCCCAGCAGCAGCCTTGCTGGATGGCCGTGTCATGGGGGAACATTTGCATCGAGTCGAGCACGCGCTCAATGCCGAGCTGGGTTAGGATTTTTCGCCGATTGCCTTCTGCAACGCCATCGTCCAAGAGTTGGTGAAGAAATCGTTCGACCCATCATCGGGTCGTACCGCAGTTATGAGCCAAGTTGGTCAGGGTCGTGCAGCACGCTTGCTGCAGCGCCTTGTCCGTGCCATGGCTGGCCATCGCCGCCAGCAACGGCTCCAAACATCCGTCGCAAACTAAGCGGACGCGATTTACATCGTGGTTGAACGCCAACACCCCCACAAGCCGAACGGCGGCCAGTTGAAGGGCCACGTCTTCCAGGTACAACGCCATCCACGCGACGATCCTTTTGAACGCCCCAGCGTCCCCCAACGAATCCTTTACGTTCCCTACACCGCAGGGTGTGCCAGTCCGAGTGCGGGCGCCTTGGTTACCATTGGTTTCACTGACGTGCTGCAACTGTTTGAGTCCTGCCACGACGACGTCGACGTGCGTTTGAAAGTTCTCGAGCAGGTCCAACAGCGATTCCAAGCCACGACCAGATGCATCTCGCACGAGCTGGTCGGGGGTCTGGTCCAGCCGTTCGCGTGTGAGCTTACGAATGCGTTCGGCTTTTTCGCGCTCGCGCTTCTCGTCGCACGTCTTGCAGTACCCCGACGGCTGGATGAGAAATGGCGGCGCGTCGCACGCCAAGTCCAAACATCGCCTCGATTTCAACGCGAGCTCTGTCGACATGCCGTCACACATCGTGACTGATAGCGACACTTGCCTTCGTCCTGGCGCTTCTTGACCTCCTGCGTCAACGCGTCTTCGGTCGCTTTCAGTTCCGATGTCAAGGCCGCTACTTTGCTCTCGAGGGCAGCAGTCGTTGATTCGAGCTGCGCGATCGTGTTATCGCGTGCCTGACAGATGTCCTGGGCGAGCCGCAGCTGGTTTTGCATGGCGGTCGACGCGTCCTGCAGCGTGGCGCATTGGGCCATCGATTCCTACGAATCGCATGACGGCCACTTCGGGACATTCAGGCTGGGAAGCACCACGACCTGCAAAGCAGCATTTGCCTTGCCCACTTGTGCCTCCATCATCGCCATGTGCGCTCGAAAGTCCACCATCTACGCCACGACGCCATGACGTCGTGTTCAAAACACGGCTTCCGAGGGTACCTCAAGCAAGAGCTGTTGGGTGTGCTGCTCCAGGGCGTGCACCTTGGCTTCGTGCAGCCGATTTCGCTCGAGGGACTTTGTGCCCGTGTCTGGGTGCCACAACTTGACTTGGTCGAGCAACTCCTACGTACAAAGCAGTCACGTGTCGAAGCCGGCTCCATTGGACAGAGTGGAATACATGGTTGTGTGCTCGGAGCTCCGTGACCATCCGTTCTGCCTTTTCACGCAGTCTGCGTTCGTCTTCCACGCGCTTGATGGTTTGCTGCCATCGCACGTTTAGCTCATCGCGAAGAGCTTTCTCGTTGGTCATGGCGTCTTGAGCTGCCGCCAGCTCCTTTGTCATTTCCACTCGTTCGTGTTGGATCGCTTTGGCCTATCCACTGTCACTCGCTCCACGAGAAAACCACCTTGCCACACCGACCGACTCGATCATGCGGTCGTGATCGTGCTTCGCGAGATCGGCGTTGGCGAGGTGGGCTTGGTTCAGGGTGGTCAACGACGCCACCTGCTGCTCTAGCAGTTTTGCTTTGTGCTCCCACGTGTCTCTCGCGTCCATGGCGTCGCGCATGGCCTGGACCAGTACGTCCTTCTCGGCCAGAGCAACCACAAGTTGGCGGTGCATGTTCTGCCTTTCGGCGTCCTTCGTCGCCACCAGTGCGTTCAAACTGGCGATTTCTGTGTTGGCGAACTCCAATTGCCCCACGACAACGTCGAAATTGCGCTGTTCCTCTAGAACTTGCGCTTCGACAGCCTCCAACATTCGGGCCACAATGGTGGGTCCTGGCGCATCAGGCACTTCTCGCGGCGATACGGCGAGCTCGGGTCGTCCAAAACGGGTGGCCACGAGTGTGTGGTCATCTACAAGCGGACACGCCACTTGCAGGGCTTGCAAGACCTCGCACAATTCGATGGGCTGCGGACGGTGCGCGGGGTTTTCCTCGAGGCAATGCCGCACCAACGACTCGAACTCTGTATGAGGATGCATTACCGACACTTGGGCAATGCGGTGGTTCAGCTCCACGGTCGGGATTTCACCGCAGCACAGTTCCCACAGCAGCACCCCGAACACGTGCATGTCGTCTGCCATGGGCGGCGCCGTCGAATCGAGAGAGTGGCACTGTGGGGAATACGGGGTGACAACCGCTGGGGCGCCGGCGGCATCCATAATCTCCCGCTGGAAGCAGCCCACGATCTTGGCGCGGCCACAGGCATCGACGAGAACTTTTCGACTCGTGACGTGACGGAGCCCGCGACCGTTGCAAAACAAAATCGCGTGTAGAATGTCCAACGCAAGGCTTACGATGGCGGCGGCGGACAACGCAATGCGATGCACGTGGAGGAGTTCGTACAGACTCGTCGTGTGCCGGTCCATGACGAGCATGGCTGGATTGCTTTCGTTGTCAAACGCCACGCCGAGGACTTGCACGAGGTTCTACAGGTCCCAAGGATATCGATGATGTCAAAATGTGAAGCCACGACGAACGGACAGCCACACACCGGATGGACGGCGGAAAAGAGACGGGGAAGGTACGAAAGCGTGGCGTCCCACAGCGCATGTCGCCGGCTCGAGTCACGATAAGCCAGTACGGCGACACGAGCACCTTGATACGTGCCGTCGAAAATATCCCAGTACTGACTTCGATTCAGCGGAGCTGCTCGATGCACGTCGACAGCCGACAGTGGAATCGACATGTGACCCCATGGAAGTGGCTGCGGCTTGTCGCCGCCCGGCGGCGGCATCGCAATGTGAAACTGTTTGACGGTTACACTGTACCAACATCGCAGTCCCGCCCAACGGGGGCGACGCCGCTAACACGTATTTCCAATGACCACATGCTCGTGCGCGTTCTTCTAGCGAACTGTGTGCTTCCCACAAGGAGAGGCTGTTGCTTCGACCGTCCGTGACTAGTTTCCACTCTACAAATACCGCTGCCATAACCTGCATGCGTTCGTTCCACTGTGTGTTCGACCCACTTGCGCTGCGCACTACCATCGCGAGGCTGGTCTAGCGGTGTGTGCCTTCCCAAGCAGCACACTCCAGTCACGTCAAGCATGAGGTCACTGAATGGTACATGAGCTGCAAAGGGTTGTTTGCGATCCTGTTTTACGGCGCCAAGTCCCGTCGATCGAACAAAGCCTTGTCGAACTTCGTCACGGTCAGCTTGCGGCCACCGAAAAACCGGCCGTTCAATCCAGCCATCGCTACAACGAGCCACAAAGTCGTTTGTGTATGCATGCGACGACGAGGCGCAACAAGGCAGCGTACCTTTTGCCGCGTCGGCCTCGTGCTGAAACTCGACAAAGATTCGAACGGCTTCTTCGGGGGCGACCCGAAACGGGACTTCAAACACGACACAATCCACGACCGGCCCGTATTTTCCTTCGCACTCTTCCTTGACTTCGTCTTTCAAATCGTCGTCGACGTCACCAGGAGCCACCATGTTCTGCCACGTCATTCCAAATGGCATCGTGCTGGTCAGTCGATGGCATGCATATTGCTCTCGACACTGGACCTTACCAGCAACAACAGCACACTTTGCTTCTTGGGAGGGGCGCCAGACTCCACGTCACTTCGCTGGCCAAATCGACTCAACCTGCCTTTTTTTACGCCTTCTACAGGTGCTACAACACGGCGATTTGTGATTGTGGCTCTGGATTCACTTCAGCACAACACAAGGTACCTGAACGAGTCGGTTCGTGGTGGGGGGATGGCTCTCTCGCTGCACTTCCGCGCGACACAGAGTCTTGCTTCGAGGAACGCGTCGATTTTGCGTTGGAATCGAAGCGAACACTCGGTCCAGGCACTGCATCGTCAAACTGCCCGAGCGCTGACGTTGGCAATGGTGACGACGGTGGCCTCGTGGGCGCTGAAGATGTGGTTGCGTCGTCAGCACTTCCCTCGCTACAAGGAAAACCACCACCTCCATCAGAACGAACTGACAATCGCTGTAACAGGCAAGGATGATTGCAATCTTCCAACGTGGAGGCGTTTGTACTCACATCTTCTTCATCATCCACGCGGGCAAGTTCATGCCGCGGCCACGCCCACCTGCGATGCGTATATTGTGTATGCGTAGGGGCCAAAACAAGATCGAGGTACCTGGCACGGAGGTCGTCGCCAAGTTGGGCACGCGGCCGGCCTCAAGGTCCTTCTCGAGCTGCTCGCGTTCACGAAGTCGTTCGCGCTCTAGTCGCTTTTGCCGCCGCTCCAAATCAGCGCGTACTTCGGCATTCTTTTCGCGAATCTCTCGCTCTTCACAGAATGTCGCGTAGTCGTTGGGACGACATGGGTCGTATTCTTCCTGCACGCTGTCCGGCCGATGCAAGTCCACCGCTCGGTTGTCGAACGACCCATCGTCGCTGTGAAGGGGTGGGACGTCTGTGGATAGCTTTGTACGCGTCACCGACACCGGTGTAAACGCCGCCATGCCCAACGAAGTCTTCAGCGATGTCGTGGCAGCATTGGCAGGTGAAAACCGAGTCGCAACCGACGATGCATTGTCCAGTCCAGTAGCTACTGGGCTTGGGCGAGGCGCCGGTTCCTCTCGACGTCGACGCGGTATGAACTTGAGTGCACTGGTCGTTCCTGCACTACCTGGGACAACACACATAGATACTGAGGGTCAACGTTCACACAGGATCGCTTTACTTTTCGTTGGAGCTGGGGTCTCATTCTTGGAGGAGGTTGGATTAGCCGTAGGAGCAGCTGGCGTCACAAGCTTCACCGAGGTTTGTGCAGGGGTGGCTGAAAATCCGAGGCCCGCGCCGCCAGTTGCCGTGTATTTGTCCAAGTCTCCATACAAGTCCATGGCACCACCGTTTCCACCGACCAGAATGGCCGCTGTTGAGAAATTCGATGGGTCCCCCTACTACTTTTGCAAAGCCCCTGTTGGGGGGGGTCGGGATTGTAGCACATAGAGATGAAGTATTCCATTCACTGCTGCCAAATGTCTTGGTTCTTGCGCGAGGTAGATGGAGCATGGCCACGCACGCCCAGCATGTCCGCGCAAATGCATCGATGCAGCCAGCGCTCAGCTCCCTCTGCCTGAGACGATACATCGTCGGACGCGAATTGCGCCGTCGATCCCTGCATCAGGATCCTGGTCGCCCTCGAATGAGAACAAGTGAATATGGGCTGCCTACTCGCCTGTGAATGGTGTGTGCTTGTCCTGCCTCTGTCTTGTGCCTAGAGCGACCTTCATATTCAGCCACGACACACATTGTGGAGACTTCACGCCATCAACCAGCTCGCCCTGATAGCACATCCATGTGCGACGAAGGACGCTAAGGCAGGTGTGCGTCCGTGAATGTGGCAATATCGCCTGAGGAAGAATCGTTCAATGGGGCGTTCTCCCATATGCTGTTCAACCTCACGTGCCAATGGTGTTCCATGCGGCGGCGGCCACGTCGTCCTCGAGGCAAGCGCGCACCAATCCAGGCGGGCATCCTGCTCGCGTCCCATGACAAAGGCGAATGATGGTAGCCGAATGTTCCCTACGGAACGGTTCTGGGAAAATATTTTCGACATTCTAAGGTTGAATACAAAGCTCAAGTCATAAAATTCACGTTTCCACGAACATGGATGTGTCCGAACCTCGGGCATTGGACAAGTACCAAAGCATGCGCAATCCTCTGGACGCATGCGTCGGATTCCGCCATCCAATCCATTCTTTGTGAGCGAAGCGCGGGGAACCACTCTTACTGGGTCCATCCGACCCTCCTCCACCCACCTCTTCTCGACTCATCTTGTCGCTGGCGCCGCCAACAGTACTCTGAGACTGGTCGTCTTGCCCCGATTTTTGTTACTAATTCGTCCGTGGAAAAAACTCCCAGCGGGAGAGATTAGGTGGGCTTGAAGTTTACAGAATGCCCTCGCTTTAGTGACCTAGAAACTGCTCAACATGACACTCAGCATTGCAGTTGGCAATTGGGACGTTAATACGAGGGTGTCTGTTTCGGACGGCCTGTACCGTTCTCTAGGTTTCAGTATGGGCATTGGAAGGAGTCGGAAATAAAAAAGAGCGAGCCGGTTGGGTGTATTTTTATTCGGTGACGAAGAAAATGGGGCGTTAGTTTTCTTTTTGATCGTTTCCTACCACCGCACCTCCCAGTTCCGAGCCATGCAACAGGAAGGCGAATGTACCAAGTTGTGCGCCAACGGCTGTGGGTTCTTCGGCAACGCTGCGAGCGGTGGCATGTGCTCTGTGTGCTGGAAGAAGACGCTGTCGAACCGCCAAATCGAAACGGAATCATATACCTCTGCTGTGTCTGTTGCTACAGCGTCGCCACCTGTCGTTGACGCTGTCGCTGCCCCCGTGATCACACCGCCTGCCGAAGTCGCAGTCGAGACCGTTGCAGTTCAAAAGAACAAGGGGCGCTGCTGGGAGTGCAAGAAAAAGGTCGGTCTCACTGGAATTGAGTGCCGGTGCGGCTTTGTGTACTGCGGCTCGCACCGATTTGCCGACCAACACAACTGCGCGTATGACTTCAAGGCAGCTGATCGCGCTGAGTTGGCTAAGCGCAACCCCGGCGGCGGCGCCTTCGACAAGGTTGACAAGCTGTAAGCAAGTGTACCCTCTCACTTGCCGCCGCCACGTCCGAAGCCACTCTGGAGTCGGATTATTCCAGAGGCACTTGTGTCGCGGCAAGTCTGCGGCATACAATGGCTCGTCTTATGGACACAACACGAAGGTAGCTTGTTTTAGGCTGGTGTAGGTTAGGTTTCTCTATAACTTCGAAGTACTTGATCATTCGGATACAAGGGGAGCATGTGTCCATGTCGTGCCTGCCAGCACGCGGAATTTGTAGGCATCCCACGGAAGCCTCGGCATTATCGCAACTAGCCATCGACAATCGAAGGGCCATGACAACACACAATGTGAGCTTGTACGACCGACCTATTATGGATGCGGCCGCCCGTCCACACCATGCATCGTAAACGCCGGCAGTGCTGTTTGCCTGGTTTCAAAATGGAGCATGACGTGGCAACGCTCCTTGTCGTCGCCAGAGCGATCCGAACATTGCGTGGCAGCTCTACTGTATGGCAATGCCAAAAACGGTTGCGCCCGCGGGTCTGCCGGTCTGGCCGCCTGGTGGAGGGTGAATGGAAGCCATTAGAGCGAAGAAACACACACCGCACGGCGGTATCGACACCTCGGATTACGTCCAGTGTGACGGCTCGAGCGAGACTCACATACAGCCGAGACGATGTCGTCACGATCGCTCAACCGTCCCTGCACATCGTCATCCTGTAGCAGCCCAGTCAATGGGCCATTTTGCCCTGGCCTCCGGCATGACCGCTGGTACCTACTCCAGATGCACCAGCAGCTTGCTCCAACACCGGCGGCACCACACCCCCCCGTGCCAACTCATTTCAATGTTTTTACTTTACAATCGACGTACACCATGCAGCAGCTAGCAAAACCTGCACTCGTCCACGTCAGCTTTCACACGTTCGTTTTCGTTGTCAGGGGAAAAATATCTGCGACACCGCCTTGTCGAGCTCGCCCCAGCCCAGGTCGCCGTCGAAGTCAAAGTCGAGGTCTTCGAGGAGCTGGTCGTGCATGTGTCTATCTAGGGTGTTGGTGGTGTGGGTGGAATATCCGAGGCCGGCCAGCATGCTGGTTTCTGTCTTTGGCATGATGGACGCCATGTCGATGGGTGCCGCTTTCTCGGGCGCCGACGTCGTACGGAACCATTCCTGAACTTTCATCGCCTCCGCCTCTGTCTCCATGGTTTTCTTGGACATGGACGCGGCCGCGTTGTCGAGGACCTGCGCCTTGAGTGCCAACAAGTCCCGCATCGACGCTTCATGCTCCGGTCCGGACGCGTGAAACATGCGATCCCGTCGAAATGTGATCTTCCCCACGGAGCAATCGCGCACAAATTTCTTGGAGATGCGCATGGCATGGCAGTGCAAGACAACGGCCAGGAACGACCGCAGCGGCGTGCCTTCGACCAACGGCATTCGGCCCTGCGTGAACTGGTCGATCAGTTTCTGTGCGTACGCGTTCTCGGCCGGCGACCATGCCCCCCGACGAAGAGGCGTAGATTCATCTATCCTGAGCCCCACAGTCGCCATGAACGCTGTCGCTTGTTCCTGGTTGATCGTGGCTTTCGTCGGCGTCGGTGCGCAAAGCCGTTGCCGAGCATTGCGAAACCAAATCCCGATCTGCTTGATGGTGAGGCCAGAGTCTTGCGACAACCGCCGCTTCTCCTGCACGACACCGAGTGAGAAACTGGCGACCCAACTCGACGAGCGAGCGACACGTACTTGCTCCGACGGATAAGGATGCTCTTGGTTGTGCGGGTCAAACAGCCAGTCGCGAAGGACGCGCGTGGCATTGGACGTCCCACTACGGCCGAGACATGCCCCCGTGAGTGTCCTCGGCGAGGTCATGCATATTCATGCTTTGCAAGTCGGCCTTACCACTTGCGGAACTTGCGCTTCTTGTCGCCTCCGAAAGCGCCATCGACGGTGGCATTTTCGTTGTTCCCATGACGATGATGCGGAACGGATTGCTCCAACGAGACAGCCGACGCCAGCTCGGCGACCATGGACAGGTGGTCCAGTGGCTCGGAAGAGGCCATAGTGTCGACATGAAGTTCATTTTTCACTGGCGGCACAACCACGGCGAGTGGTTGCTGCACCGGAGGTGGCTGAAACGCCACGACCTCGACGTCACCGTCGTACGGCATGGCAACGTCGTCGACTTCCATCTTGACCTGTGGCGACGATGGTGGGGTTTTTGACCTCTTCACTTGCAGAGCGGTCACACGCCAAGCACGGTAGCTCTCCCGAATGAATCCAAACGCGCGGTGGTGGCGATAGTCCTTGTCCACGAGGCGCTGGTACAGCGTTTCTGGCACCGACACGTGCTCCACCTCGGACGACGCGCCCGTGTTTTCAAGCGCCGTCGGCCAGAACGAGTACATGCCGATGGACACCATGTGCGGGGTCTGAATCACCGACATAGTGGACGAGAACGAGGAGTAGTGTGGTCGAGCGTCGAAGTCGTGTATCGCGCGGAGACCACCCGGAGCGTGAGCTTTGGTGTGGAGGTGCGAAGTGGCGAAGTGACCACCAACTTGTTCGCGGGCCGCATCGTTGCTCCGCTGGGGTGTGTCGAGGTCTAGGGAAAATATCGAGTCAAATTTAAACTCGATTGAATACTACCAATCAAAGTAGCATACAATTGGGAATGTCCCGCACGCCCCGTCGTCTACAAATATCAAGCTAACTTGGAAGGAACCAAAGGTGATGGGCATGACTTTTTCTGTTTATGCATCTCACCCTATTGAACGAGGTGGCGGAAATCGCGACCGGATACTGCCGGGCTATCAGTCTGGTATCCGGAATTACGGGGCAAACCCATACTGAACCTACTGTGGGCCAATGAAAACGTACGAACGTGGGAACAACTTTCCTCGACTAAATTACCAAGTGCAGCACATTCTCGTGTGGTATACTTTAATTCATATTTTTCTACCGCCCCGACACTTCGCTTGCGAATCTTCAACACAGATGGTTGAACGTTTGGCCCACCGCCACACGTTGCCAATACTGGACAAAACGCGGGAATTTACAAAAGAGAGTAAGCATAAAAAATGAATACATTTTGCGGTCCACAGTTGGTCACTTCATCGTGCCATCCTCGCGCTGATCTTGTCCATTTTGGAACCCTCGTTGGGCGGCGCGCAACGTTGTTTGAGACGCTATGCAGAATGAATAGATTGCATTGCAAAACGTGGAATGTCAGCGGCATTTGTCGCGTCGGTGGTGTTGTCACTCCTAGCCATGAAGTTGGGGCGTTAAGTATTTTATTTCATGAATCAAATGAATGTCGTGTTGGATTTTTGTGATTTGACATACCACCTAAATTGAGTTTTTGGTGCATTTCGTGTGAGGTAGCGTGGAGTTGTTCTGGAACGAGGTGGCGGGGACCTTGTGTAATGCTGGCGCCACTGACTGCATATGTGCGGGGGAAGTACCAAAGGGAGGACGAAGCGCGACGAGGCAGTACGATAGAGGGGGAAAGCGTCAGTCGCCCTCGAAGTCAGAAGTAGCAGCAATTCCCCCTGCATTTCTACCATTTTGGAGGGACCCCGCGACCGAATACGGTGTGCTTGGATGGCATCTATATTTGACCTGCGGTCCTCCACCGAAACGCGTGGTTGTGCCGGCTGGAGACCTTGTCGATCTGGTTCGCGTGCCCGTCGACTTCAACGTTGAATATATTCGTTGGGCGTTTCTGACTGGCTGCCGAGATTTTACTCGCGGTCACATACCTTTGGAAGGCCTTCACACCTCTGGCGGCACACCCTCAGAGTTGGCTTTTGTCATGCATGACGAATTGGAACCACCAAGCTCTCTGCCGCAGCTGGACATTTTGTTTGAGCGAGGGTAGTCGATCGACCGTGTGAGCCCTACAGAGACCGGATACAATGACAAAAAAAACAATCGCGTGGTCCGTTGAGTCATGTGGCTATGGACGTTGAGCTGTCAATGACAAGTTGCAATGTCCTCCCGACCACAACCAGTCTATGCAACCTGCTGACTATCGCCATCACGAGCAATTGCGGGCACTTTGTGTCCAGGCAATCGGAACGTGTCGTTCGAGCGACTGGCGTCGCTACAGCGTTTTTTTTTCACATTGCCGCATGATGGGCAATTGTCTCGTCTCATTGGGTTGTGTGGACTTCGTGACCACACCTTCACCAATCCCCGAAATTTTAGTTTGTCCCAGGGATAAACCTCATCCCTACTAATCCGACGTAGGAACACCGTATACTTTGATCCAGTACAAAATGCCATCGCTAAACATTCTGGTTTTAGTACTACTATAAACTTGCCACGTCGCAATCGGATGTTGAAGTTGACGTTCGGCCGCTACCACCCACTACTGCTTTGGCCCATCGCCTATCGCCACGACGAAGAGCTACCTACACATCCCTTGGTGCCGGTCGCGAACTGGCGGACATGCCCGAACCGTTCGATGGACGATGGGCCTGCCGCGTGAAAGCGAGTCACCCCCAGCTAGACCATTCAACGCGCGGCGGGTTTTTGCAAGTGCGAACGTGATGGGCTGGGCTCAGTCTTGCCCAGCAAGACGAGAGCCCGTGGTTGGCCATGATCTTGCGTCGTTGGGGCAACAGAACGCACAGGATTCATCATGCCCAGATTCTGGGCTCAATTGTTTGTGCTGGGAGGAGAATTACTTCTTGCCGTGCTTGTGCAATGAAGGGCAACGACTATGGGGGAACTGTCACCTACCACCGTCTGCCCTCCCACCGCAGCTGTGAGAATTGCCCATCTCGATTCCCCGTGTTGGAGATTCGTCGCATACCGACGTGGATGGGAGACTTGCCAGCACGTTGCGGATGTATTGTCGTTTTGCACGATGACGAAAGTCGTGGTCTATCGATCAGCACATCGTCGTCCCCAACGCGACATGTTTTGCCCACTGACTATTCAAGGCATTGCAATCCCCAGCAGCCTCGCCTTTCTTCACAGCCCCAGATGGAAAAGCACACCATTCCCATGCTCTAGCGAGGGGCCGAGCTCCCCGGGTGAATGGCAAAACGTTTCGGTGGTAGAAGTGGCCACGGACCATGCAGACGGTGCCCTGCACGCATGCTTCCATGTGCCTACAACCTCTTCAATCGTGAGGACCACACATCTCGAATGCAAATCCAGGTGCATTTTAGGTGTAACTCGATCGGAAATGTGCCACTAGCTGGTCTCCTCGGACGTCGACAGCGCCGTGGAGTTCCTTGAAGCAATCGACAAACGCCACGACATCGGCGACCACGCGCTGCTTGCCCGCGGCAGTCTTGGGTTGGACGGCTTTGAAACACGCGGGCATCTTGTGTTCGAGCATGTCAAACACACGAGAAAACACGGCTTGCATCTGTAGGGGCGGGAGCACTGGGCTGAGAACCTGGTACAGCTTGACTGTGTTCTGCGCAATGCCTTTGAGCGGGGCGCTAGGGAGCACAAGGTTGCCGTCGTCGTAATCCACGTCCTGGTCGATATGCTCGAGAAACTTTTTCATGATTTGATCTTCCACGATACTGATAAACTTGCCAAAAATCTTGTCGTTGTGCTCGACGTAGTCTTGGAGGACCTTGTCGAGCTCGTCCAGGAGCAGTTTCTGGCGCTGGGTCAGCAACGCCGCCAGCTGAAATTTGATGTGGGGAATGAACGCGACGATCACTTCCAGCGACTGCGACGCCAGCCCCAAATGCTTGGCCGAAATGCTCTTGAGATGTGCCACTTGCATCGCGCCTGCGCCAAGCACCAACTGTGTCGTTCGCGAATTGTACAGCTACACCAGGAAACACAGCGTCATGTTCATGTCCATCATGCGACCCATCCAGCAACGATCAAACGGAGTGGGTACCCGGAGAATCTCGGTTGTGCGCTGCAAGACGTCGGTGGCCAGGACTGGAAAATTCACCGCCAAGCTGAGGTAGTTCATCACGATCTCCATCGCAAACAGCACCGACCACACGACTCGAAACGACGCCGTTGGGAGCGTGAGTTGCTTCAGCGGGGCGGCCATCTCGGCTCCAACGCTTTGATCGTGGGATAGGACGAGCGACACACCCTTGCCCGTCGCCAAGTCGACGAGCGCTACGTGACGAAATGCTGAAATTTCGGCATTTTTCCACAATTCATGGTTGAGCGTCGACACGAGCTTGGTCGCTTGGGCTTGGTGGTACTTCTCCAAAAACAGTTTGAGCTGGTTGAAGAGCGCACCTCGCAGCGTGTAGTCCGTTTTTCCCGTGGACTGTTCGAGCTGGACGACAAAGGCCATCGTGGCGTCGTACAACGACCGGAGCTGGGGCATGGTGTAGTTTGCCTGCACACGCCTCCGTCGTGAGTCGTTCCCACCGCTGCATCCATTTTCTGACCAGCCTACCTGGACTTCCTTTCGCACGCCAAACAAGTTGGACACACTGCGCTGTGAAAACTCGCACGTCTTGCGAATAGCATCTTGAACGTCTTGGAGGATTTTCGACGCCTTCTTTTTTTCTTGCCACTCGCCGAGGTGGTCGGCCGAGCTGGCATCGCCGAGTCCCACGGCGCTTGCTCCAGTAGTATTGTCGGGCGACCACTCGCCGTCGGAGGTACCGCTGGCGTGTGGCTCGGCATTGCTGTCGTCGGCAACGGTGACTGGAATTTGATACATCTCGGCGAGCATGGTCTGAACCGACATGGCACGCTGAAGTACCATGAGCAAATGCTCAAAGATCATTTGAACGCAGTTGAGAAACTCTTCCGAGCTGAGGGCGCGGAGCTGTGATGTCACATCGAGCGCTGTTGCAGCATCGCCTTTGTCGGGAGAGTTGGTGGCCGCACTGGACGACGCAATCGTTTCGCTGACAACAGTCTTGACGACGATCTTGATTTCCTCCGTCATGCGGGTTCTGTACTTGCCCATCACGTCTGGTACCAAGTCAAGGCGGAAGAGTGCGTCCATGAGCTGCTTCATCTCTTCAGTCATTTCTTTCTGCTTGAGCTGCAGACTCTGGAGTGCGAGCGGGTTTGTTGGCGGCGGCACCGGTTCAAATGGCCATTCGGACGACGTCACGACAGTAGTGAACCGGGTGGCCATTTGGACCCCAATGAAGCTGCGGTACGCCTGGAGTTTGTCCCCGAGCGGACGCACGCAGTGGATGCCAGCCATTTGCTGGATGGTTTTCAGTGCCATGTCGATTGCGTCCAGCGCACCCGTGTAATCGTGACCATGGACGAGCGCTTCGACGCTGCTCTCGGTGTGTTTCATTTCTTCGATTTGCACCATCAGCTCGTGCAGCTCAACCAGCCGTTTTTGCTTGCGGTGGAGTTGCAAGATCGCCAGCGATTTGTCCGCCAACGAGTTGCGCAACCGGTCCATTGTAGTCCTGCAGGAAACCACGCATGAAGAAAAGGATCGTTGTTTCGACAGGGCGGGCTCGCAGCATCGGCATTCCATTCACGCACCGCAAGTGGCGGACTTGATCGCAGGCTTGCATCACGCGCTTCTTCATGTCCCCTTGGCTGGTCGACGCTTCGAAGAATCGATCGGACCGGGACGACACTTGCCGAAGTAAACTCACTTCGACGCGGTCCAAGTACCCCGACAACTACCGCTCGCACGACTCGAATCAGACTTGCAGGACCGTACCATATTCAAGTACGGGATGAAGAGGAGGGACGTTGCAAAGTCATCCAAGCATGCCCAAGAAATCTCTTTCACTCACCTGTTCCTGCGATGCCTGGATTGAATCCGTCCCGAGGACCGCATCAAAGGTGGTGGGGTCGCTGAACTCGTAGTCCGATTTGAAGTAGAGACTTGGCACGGCCTGAAAGCACAGCGCCACGTCCTCTATAGCGGCACCCACCACAAATGTGAGGAATCCCTTGTTTCAATGTGATTTGGTTCGTTAAGCGTCATCGACACCAGTCCAAATGCTACGTTTCAACAGGTCGACACGAGAAACCACCCAAAGACGACAAGAACAAGGCGACGATATGCTCGAGACGTACCGTTGGCGGCTTGAACGGTGGGGACATTGGCAGAGGCGAGCTGTTCTTGGACTGGAATCTCGTGGTTCTTGGCGTAGACGGCGCTCGACTCGCTAAAATTCTTCATGTATCCGTCAAAGTCGCGGCGGCTAATGCTGGGAAGCGTCAGCATCGCAGACAGCACCGCCTCGGTCTCGCCAGGCAGCGTAAGGGCGTCCAAGAGCGCGTCACCCCAGTTTCCTCCACGCGGATTTGACAAAACAGAGTGCAGATTGTGGCCCGAGACGGCGAGGAACTCTCTGGCTTCCTCCGACACGTCCATCGTCGAGTTGTTGTCCATATCGGGGTTGTAAAAACCTGAAATATCTGCTCTTGACGTTGCAAACAGCTTGGGGAAGTCTGTTGGCATGAGCATGTCCGCCGCCGACGACACAGCCGACCCAGCCGCCGATGTCATGACCCCGAGCCCTTTGCCGACGGGGGCCATCGCCGAACCGACGACGGAGCCTGCTGCCGATGTCATGGCACCTATGCCCTTGACAGGGGCCATGATGACAGACGCTGACGTGGAGGTGAACGCAGAAGTCATCTTGGACACAGACGACGGCGTCGAGGGAAGCATCGACGAAGCAAATGTGGATGCCGACGACATCATCCCACGCATGCTGGACGATGTGGGTGTAGCCGATGACCCCGTTGGAGGCTTGGACGATTTTGAAAAGCTGTTGCTGCTGTGACTGCCCGTGCATGAGCTCGAGTCCGTAGATCGGATGGGTTGGGGTGGCGCGCGCGCGGTCGGATCGATCGATAAGCTCTTGGAAGAAGATGACGGAGTGGCAAATGGGTTGGATGGTGACGACGTTGACGAGTGATTGGACGTGTGCCCCGACTGCGTTCGAGGTGTCGAGTTGGCAGCTGAATGGGATGGAATCGTCGATGCAAATGGGTTGGTCGAACGGATTTCGATCGGGTTCGTCACTGGAGGGTCTGTTGACGCGGTTGACGGCACAGCAAACGGATTGCCTATGGTTGTGCATGAAGTTATTTCGGTACGGCTCACACAACGCATCGTACCCGTGGAGGACGAAGGAAGATCGCTTGTATGAGCGGCGGCACTTGAATTTGTCGGAGTTGGTGGCGCCGACGACTTCTTTCCAGGAATGAAGCTCGTGAGGAATCCGGTGGTAGCTTTCATGGCCTAGTGTAAGGAAGCACGCGGAAAAGTTGGTCAGCTATCGGGTGGCGGGTCACGTCGCGGGATGTCTCGTCAGGGTGTAGCGCCGCTTCGATATCATGCACTCACACTTTGTACGGTTTTCAAACTCCCGTCAACAGGATTATCCGGATCCCCGGATACGACGAAAAGTCATGTTGGGCCCGATGTTCCGACGAGACGACCGTCACACATGGAGCAGTCGCCGCAAGGAAGCGACAATTCCTGTGTGAATGATTAGGATCCTTGACGAGTCGTGCGAGGGGTAGCGCGCCCGCCCCACCATCGATGTTCTTTGACGTGATAACTGAATATGGAGCAGTCGCCGCCATCGACGAACGCGACAACGCAGTCGGAAGCCTCCTTCGTACGAATGCCCCACTTCAGAATTCTAGTATACGCGTTGCGCACAGTGCAAGGATCGGAAAAGGGCATGCTCTCGACTCAAGTGCATGCGCAACAGCTCCATGCGATCACTTCTCCGCCTGGAGCTGCACCAAACAGCCACGCCATGAATCAAAGCTAGAGGCAACATCGACACATGCATTCATTTGATTGATCAAGATGGCCCAAGCAATGATGCATGCGATATTACTTTGGCGACTGACCGATCGCGTGGACTGTGTCGAGCGCGTCCTTGACGGCTTCGGCAAACTTGGGGCTGGACGTGGTGGGGCAGTCGACAAAGCTTGTAATGTTGATTGGGAGGTGGTCGTTCTGAATGAGGTAGCCGACCCCGTAGCCTGTCGGAACGACAGCACCAAAGCAGAAGTAGTCAAGGAACGGCATCGTGACGTTGCTCGTCGACAGCTGAAAGTTGGTCGCGTTGCGGCGAATGGTCGACTTCAAAAAGTCGTGCGAAATTCCCGACGTCGTCGCGACATGGTTGAGCATGGTCAGGTGGCGGTCGACTCCAAGGCCCTTTTGCGCTTCTTTGGCGTTCGCGACGTGGCGGTCCACGGCCTTGACGAGGAACTCGCGCTGCGACGACAGTGGAGCGCCGGTCGTGACGGAGGACACGAATCGGAGCGCTTCCGACGTCGCGGAACGGATCGTTTCCGTGCGTCCGTGGAAGAAGCCGCGGGTCGAGCACGACTCGTACGTGGGCGGGAGGCGGTTGTTTTGCTTGAAGAACGCTAGCTGAAGCGCCATTTGGACAATCCCGTCCGGGCTCAAGCCCCAAGTCTTGATCGTGTTTTTCCCAAATTTGTTGTACCGCAGCAAGTGTGTTTCGTTGTTGGCTGTGTCGGCCGTGGCGCGGGCGGTGGCTGCGTCAATCGCGGCGTGTGCAGCACTGTTCAACGAGAACACCAGGGGCGACGGAGCAGACGACCGCGTGTCGAACGTGCCGTCCGGGGCTGTCAATGGCGCAAAGCCAGAGTCCGTTTTGTGGATGTCGTGCCAAACTTCATGCAACCACCGGTTCCAGTTCGTCCCGTCCGAGAACGTGTGCTCAAAGTTCACGGCAACGTGGCCGTCGGGGTACGCAATCAGTTGGAGCTTGTCGAACCAGCGGTTGGCGCCATTTTTCCCGTGGAGAGTCGCCGCCGACAGCGCAGAATCGTCCGTGTAAGTAGAGTCGTCGAGCACCAGCACAAACAGCGCCGAGTCGATCGCATCGAGGGATGCCTTGTTCACGGGTTCCTGGCGCAGGTTCGTGCGGACGTTTGCCCAAACGTCACGGTCTTCGGATGTGAGCACGGCAATGTTTGGAGCGGTCGACGATGCGCCATGGGTCGAGATGTGGCCCAGCGATGCTTGTAGAGACGCTTGGGATACCACCTTCTTGCCGTCTAACACCTGCACTTTGTAAAATGCGTTGCGGTGCAGCACCACAATGTGTTCCGAGCGCGGATGGAACTGCAGGACATCCATCGAATTGGCCGGGATCTTGGCTGTGCCCAGTTGCTTCGCGTACGCCGCCATGCATTGTTTCGGGTCTTGCTCTAGGGTTCCGGACTTGACCTTGCCAAACCACTTCAACAACGACACCACAATCGAGGAAGCGCGCGTGAGCGGATCGGCCAACGTCGTTCCGGCAGGTTCGTTAACCAAGCCGTACCTACATCGCAAGTGTGAACGGTGTAGTGGAGACGTGATAGTATAAAATACCCGGGGTTGACGTTGATCGGGTTCGGGTAGCGTCCACCCAAGTACATGGCATCCCACCACGCTTCGATGTAGCTGTACGGGTAGGCACGGCCCATGGCATTCATAAATTCCTGCTTGATCAATTCGTCTTGCAACGAGCGTCCAACGCTGCGGTTTTGCCCCAAACCAAAGTCCTCAACAAGTTTCTTGTGTTCCTTGTACTCATCAGGCGTGATGAGCGGCTGCACCGACCGGAGGTACTTTTCAAGAGTGTCGTTGAGTTGCGGCACGGGCAACCGGGGCACATTGTAGTCATTGTTATTCACGAGCTTAAGGAACCAGCTCGGATGCTTTACGGGCTCATCGGCCTTGGTCGAAAGTGCGCGGCGGAGCGCCGACGACGCAGCGGGAGAAGGTCGCATGGTCAACTTCATGACGATCACGGATAAATTGCAACTTCCTCCGCCCCAGACGCGGCAAAAATCCGGATAATCCTCATTCGGATGACCCTCCAATCCCCAGCAGCCAATCGAGTCGTGTCAACACTCACAAAACTTTATTCTCTGGGATTTGTTTCTGTCTGAGGGGCCGCCAGAAATGCGAGATATTCAGACTCTACAACGCATTGAAGCAAGGCTTTTGCAGCGCCCATCGTGGATGCATGACTAAATCTTTCCCTCCAAACGTGCTTGGAACGTTCAGCACGTGACGTGACTTTAAATTAACTTGAACAGAATACAAAGCCGCTTTCAAGGATAACATTTTTTGATGGGCGAAAAAGTGTTGAAAAATCGACTTTTTGCATGCTGTTGTTGTACTAAACCATCGAATTATCATATCTTTTATATCTTCAGGGACCAAAGTGCCGATAGATTTTCCTGTCATTTGGACATATCTTTTGTCAGCTTGATCATATCTTTCTTGTCCCACCTACCCAAGTTATAATGCAGGGAGGGAATGACACACCATCTCAACTGCCGTCAACGTCGGTGGTTCCTCTCCGTTGAGGATTTTCATAACCCCCGACTCAAACGATTAGTGGCGCACGATTTCTGCAGTAGGACGGAGACGACGAACACAGTGTAAAAAGGACCAAAACACCAGCAAGGGACAAAAATATCGAAGTGAAAAGTGTATTTGCCACCGAGTTGACATGTTCAAGATCCTCCGTCAAAGTGTAGTTGGTGTTACCGGTTTTGCCAGGATGACACAAGATGCATGAATAGATATTATCTTGACACGGTGGGAATGAATAGATGAAATATTTACTACTTCGGGTATATTGAAGTATACTTGAAACGTGTACTAGTATACTTCAATTCTCTGAACAGGACGAGCCGTTTCATGACTTTTGAAACCGATCGCGACATTTCTACGACGATGGAAGACCGGCGGCGCGCCGACAGCGACGCCGCGGTAGAAGAAGGTGGAGTCAACGACAAGTTGACTGTGCGGCCAGAGTAAGGCGAGCTTCGGCCGTTGTTGCCGAATGGAAATTTTTGTGGAGATGATCGTCATATTGGTCTGGTAGGTTTGTGTTAGGGGTCCGCGGGACGATTCAAAATAACGTCGAGTTTGGGTCGGACACGCACTTGATCTTTCCCGCGGCGCACCATGTGTGCTTGTACAACTTGGACAGACGAAGTATGGAGTTTTTGCACCCGACACGAGCGATTCGCAGCGTCCAGAGCATGTGCGTGTCTGCAAACAAGGAGCTCCTGGCTGTGTGCGAGCAGGCCGGCGCACGTTTCTCGAAAAACATCAGCGACCAACTCGGCGTGAGCCCGAACCAGATCTCCATTTACAAACTTGCATCTCGGTCGCGGCTCAAAACTCTCCCGTCGCAGTCGCACTCTCCGATTCTGTCGATTGCGTTCTCGGCAGACAACAAGACTATAGCTACGCTCGAGGACGCTCCGTCGTATCGAATTGGGTACTGGAAGTGGAGCACATCCAAGCTAGTGGCCCATGCCCCGTGCCCGTCCAGAGGGACGCGGATCCGGATCTGCCCCGTAAACTCGAATTTTGTCACGATCTCGGGCCCGATGGTCCTGCGCGCGTGGACCCTGACGTCGACCGGAGACCTTCGCATGACCAATTTGATCCCGCAGATTCGAGAGCAAGAGCACTTCGTCGACCATGTCTGGATCAAGGAATACCTCGTGACCGTGTCGGAACTTGGCACGCTTCTGACGTTCCGCGCGGCGGACGACGGCGTCGAGCTCGTCCACTCGACAAAGCTCGGGCAAATCTCGCCGCAGCTCACGCTTGGAAAGATCGAAACCATCACGGCGAGCACGAAAGGCTTTGTCTTGGCTGGCGCCGCCGGATCGTTTGGTGTGTTTGAGTTCTCGGTATGACTCGTCCGCAAACCACCATGTGCCGTCATGCACGACATGATGTCGACTGCGTAGGACGACCCCAAAGACCCGTTCATCTTGATCCACGCCTTGTCGGCAGGCGACATGACGTTTGAAAGCGTCGCGATATCGCCCAACTGCGAAACAGTCGTCGCGTACACCACCAACCAGCGGCTCGTGTCGTTTGCCATGGGGTCCATCGACGTTGTGCAGGACAACACGCACGCCGAGTTTTGCGACGTCATCCCCAGTGTACGATGGCCACAAGTTTTCTCGCTAGGAAAGTCGGTTGTCGGACGGGATGATGACGGGTGGTCGTAGGGCACGCACTGCGGCGGCGTCTTGACGTTTGACGTTTGCTTGCAAAAACCCATCGTGGTCACGTGCGGCGCGGACAAAACGATCCGGTCGTGGAACTACCACTTGTCGGCGTACGAAGTCGTGGCGCAGCTGTCGGAGGAGCCGTCAACGCTGAGTTTGCACCCCGCCGGGTTTCAAGTCGCGATAGCGTTCAAGGAGCGCGTGCGGTTGTACAACATCCTGCAGGACGGCCTGCGCGTCCTCCGCGAAATCTCGATCAAGGCTGCCAACGTCCTCCAATTCTCCCATGGCGGACACCTCTTGGCCTGTGGCGCAGGGCTCAACATGTACATCTTCCGCACCCACACCGTGCGTCGCATCCTCTGTAAAAGTGCATGCACTTGAATTCACGCTTTGTCGTGGTGGACATCGTAGTGCGATCTCGTCCACACATTCACGGGCCACATCAACGTGATTCAATGCTTGCGATGGACAGTCGACGACAGCATCTTGTACTCTGCCGGGAACGACGGCGCGATCTACTGCTGGAACACCCACACAGGTTGGTCGATCGACTCACGTGAGAGGACGTGTCGTTCATGCCTCTCGCACTAGGCAACCGGTGCGACGACATGCAACTTGTTGTCAAACAGACCAAGTTTACGTCCGCCGTCATCGACGCAGACAACGCCAAATATGTAGCCGTCGGCGGGTCCGACGGCAAGTTGCGGGAAATCGTCGCGGGCGACGAAGCGGCATGTGTTGACGTTGGGAGCCCACTGACTCATCTCGCTCTGACCAAGTCGAATCGGTACCGCCGTCTGCATGTGTGTTTGGGAATTCCGACCGTGGCGCGGGCTCGTGATGCTATTTCACCATCGCTGACACCCAACCTGATGGCGTTAGATGGCTATTCGTGGCCACTCGTGTGGGGACTGTGTATGCGTTTGCCTGGCCGTTGGGGACGCAGACTGCGCCTGTACACGAAATGTCACTCCACAGCGAACCCATCACTCAGCTGCGATTGACTGAAGACGATCGGTACTTGATCAGGTAAGGCTATCGTTCATCGCATCGTTTCGTCGTCGATCGGCATGTTGGTGGAGTCGCAGCATCGACTTGCATCGATCGCGTCGGTGGGATTCGCGTGGCTGACGGGACCGGTATAGTTCGTCGGATGATGGGTGTGTGAGCGTCTTTCGCATGGACGAAAACGCGGGGATTTTGGCGGAGGTGGACCTCGTCCACCGGAAGATGCCGACGATGATGACGGACGCGGTGCTCGTGTCGCGCGAGGAGATCGAAGACAAGAACGAACAGCTCAGCGACTTGCAGCAAAAGTACGAGCAGGTGAAGAGCGACATGGACTTTTCGCTGCACTCGAAAGAAAACGAGTGGATCGATCGGCTTCGGTTCCTCAAAGAAGAGTGCGAGCGGTCGCTCGTGCAAGAACGTGTTCGGTACGATCGTTGCCATCAGCTCCAAGAGATGATGGCCACGGAATGCGCTGAGCTCAACCGAATGGTGGTCCATGTAGCTACGAAGAGCTGGAGCAGCGATACCAGACGTCGCTGCGAAAGCACAGCGACGAGTTTGCGCAGAAAGAGTCGAATCATGCGACGATATCGCAGGTGCGTGGGGGTTGCACCTTGGTCGGATGGGCGGTCTCACGTGGTGGTGGCATGGCGCAGGAGCTCGAGAATCGATATGAACACAAACTCGCGATGGAAATTGCTCGGTATGATCGGCTGTCGGAAGAAATGGAAACGACCAGGCAACAATGCGCGATGCTGATTGAAGCCCAGGATAAACAGCAAAAGATCGTCCTCGAAAACGAGCGCCGCGCCGCCAACTCGCGCGCCAAAGAGCAGGTACCACCGAGAGACTAACGGCGACTGGCAATCCAGGGCTCATGGGATGGCGACGTCCAGGTCGAACTGATCAAGCGCGTCAAAGAAGACCTCACGTACAATCACGTCAAATTTGAAGAAATCTTGAGCCAGCAAGAAGAAGACTACGAGTTTCAGCTCCAAAAGGTCAAGCTCGAGTACGAAGACCAGCTGACGGCGGAGCGCCAAAACACAGCCATCAAAGAAACCCAGATCACGGGCAAAAACAGCAAAATCGACTCGCTCAAGAAGAAGATCCAGGAACTCAAGGCGAACGCGTCGGCGCGGGACATGCTCTTGTCGACGGAAAAGGCCAAAACGGCCAAACTCGAGGCGGCGCTCGCCAACTATGAGCGGCATTTTGAGGGCCTGCAAGGCAGTATCGACGAGAAAGAAAAGGCCGTGCAAAGCTTGAAAGCGTCGAACCGTGTGCTCGAGAGCTTTCGATTTGTGTTGGACCATCGCGTCGAAGAACTTCAGAACGAAAAGTCCCCGATGCAAAAACTCATTTCCGGCCTCGAGACCCACATCCACGACGTCCAGCAAGAAATGGTCGAAGAGTTTCATCAAAAGGACCTGGTTCGTTCACACGCCATCCGTTCGCCCCGCATGCGACTCTACGAATGTGACGCACGTGCGTAGGCCGAAGAGACCCTCGCGTCCAAGGAAATCAAGATCAAAGCATTGACGAACGAAGTGAACGCGCTGCGCCTCATCACACGAAAAAAGGAGTCCGAGATCGGCGCGATGTCAAGGGAATTCGCACGCATTGTGCTCATTTCCAACCCAAAAGAACTCGAGCGCGCGGTCAAGGAAGCATACATTGTATTTGTCAAAGGAGAAGCGCCCAAGGAGAAGCGCACGCGCAGCATCTTGTCCGCATCGTCGCAGTCGCCCACGGCCAAGGGCGACCAGGAGCATTCCCACGCCGCCCTGGCCGGCCTCGGCGGCGACGACAATCGAGAAGTCGTCCAAGAAGCGTGCAAACAAATGCAGTTTATGCATCGATCGGTGAGCACGCTGAAGAACGCGCTTCACCACGCCAAGGCGGAAGCAGACCACCGCCATCGAGAAGCCGTCACGGAAGGCAACATCCTCTTGCAGGACATGAATGCCCTGCGAAAAGCGAACAAGATGCTTGAGCTCAAAGTGAAAGAGATGGAAAGCGCGCTGTACTTGGCCAACCAGGCTCACGATGCCAAGGCCAAGGCCAAGCTAGCTCAGCCGCAGCAGCACCACCTCCAACATCATCCTGTCGACGCCAAACCAGGGTGCTTTTTGTCTCCGTTAAAAAAGTCGACATCGTCAGTATCTCTCACCGCCCAGCGCCTCGTCGTTGGCAGCGTCCTGCCCTTCCGAGCCATTGAGAAAGCAAAAGACGCGTCCCGCATTGTCAGCGCTGCGACAGCGATGGACTACCGCAACCAACTGGACGCTCAGAAGAGGGAAATCCAGCGGCTCAAAAATCAAGTGAAACTCCTCCTCGACGAGCAAGCACAACAACAGGGTGCGTTCATTCAGAGGCTGTGCGCTCGTCGTTTCTTGAGTCTATGCGTGCCATGTTGGCGCATCGGACGTGCATCTACGCGCGAACAAAGTGGACGCAGTACCGAGGGGTTAACGTGGGCTTTGCATTAGGTGGTCGATCCACCCCGAAGGTCGAAGTGGGTCGATCCCCCGAGAAGAGGGGACGAGGAAGTATCGGCCATTTGTCGTCTGCTCAAACGGCGCACAGCATCACGCGACGACAATCGTTTGTGTTTACAAGCGACCCAGCCTTGCACCACGACGCATCCAACGGTTATGACATGTCGTTGTCGCCCATCATGGATGGAAAAGCCAGCGACACAGCAGTGCAGCAATGACAACGACATAATGCCAGCCCCTCCTGCTACTTTTGACTGCGAGGGCAGGAAGAGTCCAACCATACTATGGTGAAGGGCACATTCTGCGAGCACGGACATGAATACTCCAAGGGAAGAGGAGGCGAAATACTTCGATGACCAGCCGCCGACCTCGTTGTTGTACACAACCTTGGCAGCCATGGAGCACCCTCCTCCATCTTCGATATACACACAGTGCTTGAAACGTTGTTGGCTTCGACAAAGTTATTTCAACCAGCACTTGCATTCTGAAAGGCATTACGTCGCTGCAGTTGGCCCCCACTTGGGCGCTACCACTGTCTTGCTGACAAACGTTGAGCAGAGGGAGCGATTCGCGGACGAGGCCGTGCAGTCTGTATCTGCTTTGAACATGAGCGTGTAGCTGCCATCTGTGACTACTTGTCGCAAGCCCCGGCCAATGGTGTCTGCAAAAATTCCAAGATCGCTTTCGAGCACTTGGAATCGCACGACTTGGACGTCGCCAGGACCCAGGTGAATTTTATCAAACTTGATCAGTCGCTTCGCCTCGGGCACGTCGCCTTCACGATAATCCTGCCGGACGAACAACAACACGACTTCTTGGCCATCCACGGCACCCGCATTGCGCACGGTCACGGCTACCTCGATCGCATTCGACGTGTTCGATATTGCCATCGTCATATTCGAGTACTCGAACGAGGTGTAGCTCAGGCCA